TAAACGATAAGCACTACTTAATTTTTATTTCAGTAGTTTTTTTTTCTATAGCAAATATACTCAAGACGTTTATGATTAATCGAATTCTAATGATTTATTTTCTATCCGTGATTGAATTCTTTTTACTGGACAAAGTTTCGTCAATCTCAGAGATAAATAGACAACTCTTTCATAAAATGAAAGCAATGGATGAAACTTCTTAACACTAATCAGGTTAATTGCTCACTATGAGGCCCCAAAATCTTGGGTTTAATCTTTAATGGAGTCGTCAATGCAAGCTTCGTCAAGGAGCCGAACACTAAGACGAAACAATTGTCAAGTACTTATTAGTTTTCATCGGCTGTCTAGTTAAGGTCAGTACATGATGTAAATCAACAAAATAATATGTTTTTGTTCACTAGTTCGCAAATTTTTAAACGACTGACCTCAATCAAATGTAGCTAGCTGTTTCGAATGATATCTCAACAATCAAAAGTTAATTTATAGTATAGAGTTTTGGAGATTTTTGAACTTCATTAAAATCATGAGCCAATTTAAGTTAGACAACTATTGAAAACCTTAAAGTAATGGACAGCATTTTCATCACAGTATAAGACTCCTTACCAGTGCTCATCCACGACTTCAAAAACTGGAATCGAATCTAGGACTGAGCTGTGATTAAATGAAGAATAAAGACAAACTAGTGTCTTTTAACACTAAATATAAGAGGCTATCTTAATGCATTAAGCCGATTTCGCTCATGTTCTAGTGAGAAGCCATGACCAGTGGAGTCCAGTCCGTGTCGAGTAGAGACAGGCATATACCTCAGACAATGGATGAATGGTTGCGCAAGATCATGGATCGATGGAAGTTAGACATTTACACCATTAAATGTCGGCTCGGTGGTCTAGAGGTTGAGTGTTCACGCGCGATACAAACGATTCATGGTTTGAGGACCGCGTGCGGGGTCTTGGATGTACACATATTAGGACGAAAAGCCCGTCCAGTGCTTCCAGGTTTTCAGTGGTGGCCTAACATCAATCTTTTCATGATCTGAACCAAAAACTCTTAACAATCCCCAATTAAATCATACAAGTGTTAATTGTTCTCATGTTGTATTATCGATATTTTGTATGTATGTGTGCTTGCAAAATAAACCCCTAAAAACTTTACAATTGGTTTATGAGTATCATGAACAATTGTTCCTAACGAGGTAATTCTACTCAAAGAATAATTTATCACAGAATAACAGAAATCTATGAAAGCAATGAAGACTGAAATACACTAGACATTCTCCTTATTGTTAGTAATGTCCAAGAGTCACTACATCAATTACCAAGTCTACTATCGTTTGAACATTAGGGTAAAGTTGAACCGTAAGGGCAAGCCAACAAAGGATAAGCACATCTTTCCAAGATCACGGCGTACATATTAATACAGAATATTCCAAATCGTTCGCAATATGCATGGTCTCACTGAAATGTTGCCTTACATCAATTATATTGTAAACAATCTCATTCACGAAAGCATCTTACACTATTTATAGTGTATTAGGTTTCTAGGACTAAGAATTGGAATTTAGGGTTTGAGTTAGGATCTAGAACTAGGGTGCGTGTAGGCTAATTGAATAACTTAATGCCAATCCTAAAACCTAATCTTAACTCTAGCCCTAAACTCTACATTCGGACCATAAATCTTAATTCTAGAGCGTAAACACTCGACCTAACATTGTAAACTACTGATTCATATTTCTGTTTTTAAAAAAAGATTCAGCTAATTTACAATACCATTAAATCATTAATCTATGCTAACGATGATTAAAATCTATCGTTGTTACTGATTTTATACTGAAAAATTAGAAACAAACTACTAATTGTTAAATGGATATTGTTGACACACACAAACCGACCAATGTTAGACAACCATTAAGAACCTGGAAGTAATGTACAGATATTTAGTTCTATCATAAGACTCCTCAGCAATCAGTATTAACAACTCCGTAGCCGGAAGTCGAATCCACCATATTCAGTTTCGAGGTGCTACCACTTGACCTCTAAAACACCCAAATGAAATTCGTTGGTTAGCAAGTTAAATTTCAACCAATCTACAATACTCTACCTAACCATCTTCTATTATCTTCGATGGGTGACCTTCATCACACCCGATAAGGCTGAATATCACTCATTGGTCATAGTCATTTGAGTTGAATGAATTGTCAGCGAAACCAATACTAAGAGAATGAGGGATTCTTATCATGAAAATAGAAATAGAGAAAAAAAAGTCTATTTCCCACAAAAGAAAAAACATTTTAGAGTAACTGTATCATTTATCTATTTGTTTATATTGTTCCTATGGGTTAACTTTTAATCCAGTTTTGTTTTAAAGAAAAAACAAAACAACATCACTGTTGCCATCACATGATATAATCTTCTTTTAGTTTTCTGTCTTATTTCTCTGTTTACATGAATGTGTATTGAATGAACAAAAGTAGAAAGATATATGTCTTGTATAGTGTGTGATTAGAGTACATAAATATAAGTAGTAAATTAATAATTACCAATATAATAATTTCATGCATTTCGTTTGAATAGAAAGTCAATTAGTCAGTTGATCGACTAGATCATGAAGACGACAACATCTGAAGGGAAGTACGGGATACAGTGGACATTTAGGATGAAGCTGGACGATCTAGACATCGCAGATGATCTAGTTCTTTTATCGCACACGTAACAACAAATTCAAGAGAAGACGACTAGTGTAGCAGTAGCCACAGCAGCAATAGGTTTCAACAAACACAAAGGTAAAAGCAAGATTCTCCGATACAATACAACATGCACCAATCCAATCACAACTGACGGAGAAGATTTCGAAGATGTAAAAACATTTACATATTTGGGCAGCATCATTGATGAACACGATGGATCTGATGCAGATGTGAAGGCGCGAATCGGCAAAACAAGAGCAGCTTATCTACAAATGAAGAACATCTGGAACTCAAAACAACTGTCAACCTACACCAAGGTCAGAATTTTCAATACAAATGTCAACACAGTTGTACTGTATGAGGCGGAAACTCGGAGAACTATGAAAGCTATCATTTAGAAGATACAAGTGTTTATTAACAGTTACCTACGCAAAATACTTCGGATCCGTTGGCCAGACACTATCAGCAACAACCTACTGTGGGAGAGAACAAACCAGATCCAAGCGGAGGAAGAAATTAGGAAGAAGCGCTGGAAGTGGATAGGACACACATTGAGAAAAGCACCCAACTGCGTCGCAAGATAAGCCCTCACGTGGAATCCTCAAGGTCAAAGGAGAAGAGGAAGACCAAAGAAAACATTACGCCGGGAAATGGAAACAGACATGAGAGGAATGAACAAAATTGGATAGAACTAGAAAGGAAGGCCCAGGACAGAGTGGGTTGCAGAATGCTGATCGGCGGCCTATGCTCCATTGGGAGTAACAGGCGTAAGTAAGCAATCAACATACAGACTGGTATAAATGTGAATCAGTACAATTTATCACATTGTATCACTACATTAACATCAAGTTAAGTACTGGAATATCAATGGAGTCATTACTATGGTAGTGTAATGAACGAAGACTTGAATACGATAAACCAAACTATTCTATAAAGTAAAGTCAGCCATTGCACTTGTAAAATATGAAAACACGACATGTACATATTCTTTAAGTTGTCCCTTACAAACTTTATCATTCTTCAATTCCTGTTGTTATTTCGATTGTCATCTGTTTTTTTCCTTTCTTTTCTCTTCACTTTCTTTGTTACGTAAATTTCATGTGATACACAAATTGACGCTATCATTCAGCTGTAACATCAAATCATTAACTCTTATAAAAGCCCTAACCGAGAGTAATGTGTAGACTTTTAAGAAATTATTTGAGCCCTTATAAGTAATTGACTACAATTTCTTACATTACGATCCCAACACATTTTGAAATGTTTTAACAATATGTTATTTCATTGAAATCATGAACGACAGCTATTGAAAACCTGGAAGTAATGGACAGACGTTTCATCACAGTATGAGACTCCTTACCAGTGCGTATACACAACCTCAGGAACTGGAATCGGACCTAGGACCTCTGATTTACCGTGCCAACGCTTAACCTCTAGACTACTGACCCGCCATTAATAATATCTAACTTCAATCATACCGAAATATTGAGCAACAATCTTTCATTGTCTTTAGTAGGTGATTGCCTTACACCCGATGCAGCTGAACTCTACTGGTGACAACTTCTCATTGGAATTCTTGGAATTTTCTCTAGAAACTAGTCACTAGTGAGCACATGATACTTGTGAGTATGGGATTGTGGAGATCAGCATGAAATTAGTAGAAATTGTAATAGTATTAGTGAAAATAAAAATAGTGTTAAGCATTCGGAATAGGAATAAGAAGGAATTGTCATGCTGCACAACTTTTTTAACCAATAGTCACGAAAATCCCATGGACTCTAACGAGATAGTTTGCACCGACTCAAATGGCTAAGACCAACAGCCAAGGACTTCATAAACTCGTATTACGTTCTAGGTTGATTGCTTCTAGCTTTATTTTAACTTACTTTTACGTCATTCAACGTCACGCATCGAGATAAACGATGGTTAGTTATATACGATACATATTTTGATCACCTCCGTCGATGAAAATTCACAATCTTATTAACTTCAACATTTCTTATTTGTTAGTCCAATTGTATACGAGTAATTCTTCAGATATACTCATGATCAACTATTAGTAACCTGAAAATATCACTTGTTCTCAATGAAGCAGAACAAATTAGGGGTCATGTTAATATACTTATTCATTTGGTTAGTAGATGAACAACTTGCCTACAATACATATATGACACAAATTGTCAGAAATCAATAAACACAAAACCTTAAATAATTTAACACAAAATGATAATCAATGAATCTACCTCATAGTTCATTCACTTATTCAAAACTATGCATATTTTATAATGGACTAAATTCTATTACATATATAACTTACGATTATTCAATGGTATATCATTTGAAACATTCAATTGTTTGACATCTTGAACTAGTTGATGACTTCCTTCTTGTATTTGAAATGAAGTTAACTTCACTTTATTATTTCTATCAACATCAATATTATCATCATCATCATCATCAAATTTTTCGTTCTTCTTAGATAAAAATGAAGATATAGAGGAATTTGAGGAAGAGGACGAGGAGGAGGAGGAGCAGGAGGAGGAGAAAGATTCACTTTTCCCTTGTACTAATCGATTTTTCATCCTATTTCTTCTGTATTCTCTAGATCTTCTTGTTTGATTGTTTTGTATTTTTGATTTTACACACTTTCTTGTCTTATTGACTTTGTTATTTCTTTTTGTTAAATTATTGTAATAATCATAATGATGATGATGATTATGATGGTTCACTGAATCAGTTTGTACTGATGAAGTTACTAAAGATTTGTTATTTTCATAGTTTAATATTACATTTGAATGTAGTGAAGTTGGTGTTGAGATGGATGTATTCAATTCCACTGGATAATTCGTTATACATTTATCATTGAACTAAAAGAAGTTCATAGAATAAAACTGAATAATCAACATATATTTCAATAGTTGAAATCATAAGTCAATTGAAGCTAGACTACCATGGAAAACCTGGAAGCACTGGACGGCCGTTTCGTCCCAGTATGGGACTCCTCAGCAAGTCGTAATAATAACAGTAGTAGCATATTGTATACATCCTGAATGTGAAGATTAGTATAAACCGTTTTATTTTTACATAATGGTCAATAACCATTATTTAAAACTTGACTACAAATTATGTCATGATAGTTACTGAGCATTTGAATAAGTGACACAGATCTAGTGATATCTCATTCTGTAATCAACTCAGTGAAAGCTGTTTGTCGAATTTTCTTGGAATTTGATCGAGAAAAATCAATAAAATTGTCAGGTGAAACGCGTCATTTTAATTTACGTAACACAAGGTTAACTATCCTTTCTCAGTGTTCAATAAAAGTTCAATATCTAGCATTTTTAAGCATCTTTCTATTCTAATAGTTGAATTTATGTGTCAATTACATCTAGATCACCATAGAAAATCTGGAAGCACTGAGCGTGGAGGCGCACTGCTGAAGAGACCCATACTAGGACGAAATGACCGTTCAGTTCTTCCAAGTTTTCCATGATAGTCTACCTTTAATTGACTTATGAATCCAACTATTAAAATTACTATAATATTCACAAAGCAAATATAATGAATGTCAAAGTTTGATATAAAATCATCAGTGAAAATGATGTATTATTCATTCATTAAATAAGTAGGAAAACGCTCTAAATATCCTTGATACTATACACATGTTATATAATGAAAAATGGATAGGCTATACAGTTCATGTAAAAACCTAGTAAGTAATATTAAACATTTTCAAATATTAAGAATTGTTAACTATATAAGTCAATATAAACGAAGTCATATGTCCTAGCAGCAGCAGCAGCAATTTGGAAGACTCTCTCGGTCTCCCACATTGTACGAGTATTCCATGTACCAAAATAAATGGTTGCTCTGGTTGTCAGAAGAGGGACATCGGCCTTGTGACTTCCAAAGGAACTCGGCTTTCATCATGAGGTGTCCTAGCAACATGAATATAAATATGATCTGTGGTAACCCAAAGAAAAGAATAGTACAGAAAGTTTACTGAATTATTTTTGTTTTTTTATTTCCAGAATCAAATACCCCCAAATATGTATTTATTTACAATGTTTTTACATCATGTGACTGGTAGTCACGAGTTGCCTAGTCTACTACTACTACTACTACTGGTAATAATAAAAAAAATAATTGATTATCCTGTAACTAACAGTTAGCAATAAATACAATTATTATTTATGTACAAAAGACATGAAAATGAAACTGAAGTAAACATCAACATTTTGATTTGTAAGAGTTTCAGTTATTACATAGCTGGATATTTTTGACTGAATTTTCTGCTAGTGAAAATTGCCTTAATATAATGAATGGTATTTTATTAAAAGTATTTATAGAAGAGATAGATTGTGACTGGGAATAGAATACAGGACGCGTATTTTGTCCCATTACAAAGAACTTGTCAATTGGATATACCTTCATCCTTGTGTTGACGTCCAAATCGAAACTAGAACTCGGTATTTTAAATTTCAGATTCTGAACACGTTATCTGCTCAGCTAATGGGTTTAGAAAATCAATAATGGCTTGAATTAAACCTTTAGAAATTAAGTTAAATTCATACTCTTTGTACAGGTGAGTGGTTATTCAGACTCATTAGCTCAATGAAAAACATGTTGGATTCTTGAAGCGAAGAGCATTTGATTTGAGTCCTGATGTAAATATAAACATTAGGGTGTATATAGGTTTAATACCGTCATTTTCAATCGTTGGTGAAATGCCGTAATAGTTTACTTCTATTCTGAGCACGATAAAAAGGTATTTCTGTTACTACTAACACTATATTACTTATTTAGTTTCACGTTTTATTATGTTCGAACTATGATTAATAGTGGAATTAATGGATACACGTTGCGTTCTATTTAGAACTTGCCAATTGAAAATACTAACATTTTAGTGTTGGTTTTCACCTTGGGACTCGATTATCAATAATTCTAGCTTTAAACACTCAACGTTACTGAGTTCAAACCGATTTTATAAAACGACATTGAAAGAAAACTCAATTAATTCATCATTTAATGTCAGTATGTTATTTTGTTATATTTTATCATTAATTAACCTGAAAAATAACTGAATAAAGCGTAATTTAATGTAAAAATTGATTTAATAATTGAATTCATGAGTCAACTGAAGATATACGACCATGAAAAACCTGGAAGCACTGGATGGTCGTCTCATCCTAGTATGAGACTCCTCAGCAGTGCGCATCCACGATCCCACCTAACGAGATTTGAACTCAGGACCTATCAGTTTCGCGCGTGAACACTTAACTTCTAGACCATTGAGCCGGCATCCAACAATTTTAATACTTAACTTCAACCAATCCACGAAATTGCGCCACCGTCCACCATTGTCTTAAGTGAATTATTATCCTACAACAGACCCGGTTGAACTCCACTGGTCGCAGCTTCTCACAAGAACTCTAGGAAATAACTCTCGAAGACAGTCACTAGTGAGCATATGATGATTATAATCAGAAAGGAGTGTCGTGAAGATTGTAGTTCGAATCTCGTGAGGCGGGATCGTGGATGCACACTGCTGAGGAGTCCCATACCAGGACAAAACGGCCGTCCAGTGTTTCCAGGTTTTCCATGGTGGACTAGGTTCAATTGACTCATGAGTTCAATTATGAAATTACTACAACCTCCACAAAACTCCTCTCTGATTGTAGAAATTAACGTTAATCCTTACATTATTGATTGAGATCATGAACCGGTCGATGTAAGACCAGCAATGAAAACCTGAAAATACTAGACGACCGTTTCGTCTTATTGTGTGACTCCTCAACAGTGTGCATCCACGATCTCGCTCGTGGGATTCCAACCCAGGGCCTTCAGTCTTGCGCGCGAACGCTTGACCTCTAGACCACTGAGTTGGCATCCAACGGTGTTAATGTCTAACCTCAACCAATCCACGAAATTGCGCAACCATCTTCCATTGTACTGAGGTAGATACCTGTCTCTACCTGACACGGATTAGCTTCACTGATCACGGCTTCTCACTAGAATTCCGAGAATTCACTCCCGAAACTATTCACTAGTAAGCACATGGTATTTTACAGTATAGGGTTGTGAAAATCATTACGTCCAATGCTTCCAAGTTTTCAATGGTGGTCTAACACCAATCAGTTTATGATCTCAATCAAAAACGTAATAATCTCCACAACCCTATACTGATTATCCTTACATTAATTTGATCATTTGTAAATATATAGATCCATATAAATATATGAGATAAATTGATACATTATAACTAAAACACTTGGAATTTTTTACTGTCTAATCTCAAAAGAGAATAAAATAGTTTCAATAAGGGATCAGTTACTAGTAATTCTGTGTTGCCAAAACTAATTAACTACAGGTACGTTGAAATTTCACCAATTAATTAATTTATTAGGTGTTTATATATCATGTTTTCCTTTTTTTTGTACCATCAGTCAGTCAGTCAGCAACAACGTAGAACTTCACACGTACGTACGTACATCAGTATTTAAGTAAACACAACTACATATTTCTAGGTCAACACAAACAAACTTAATAGACATTATATTTGTATATACTTTATTAATTTCATTGCATTATTTTTCATTCAATGAAAAGATTGTTGACAAAATCAAACTTAACTAATAAGTAGTATATTTCATGATGTTACATATAATGAATTAGTAATAATCAATATAACTCAGTACTGTATTGGTATATGCTAATTAAAAAAAGAGGTTTAATTTATTGATCTTGTAAATTGTATAGATACATTAAGTTGCCAGGTAATTCATTGATGTCAAATACTGATTGTCTAGTTTAAAACATACAAAATTGGAACCATTTGGTCAGATAAGTAAATTACATAGAACATAATATAGATTTAAATAAATAGCTTTTGATCTCTATTGAGTGAATAGTAGATTATCATCTACAATCTTGTTAGTGAAACAATAATGTCTGAACGAAATTTTGAGTGACTCCAAAGTGATCTTGAGAAAATTCACTTACATACTATAATCTAAAGAGGATTACAAGTTAATGTAAGAAATCAGTATAGAGATTTGGAGCTAAAAGTTGAGGTGACGTATTAAACTTAGAGTATTCATCATCATCAAATGATATCAACTATAAGTTCAAAATGCTATTTAACCGTATAGAAGAATGAATTTCGCACCGAAATTCAAGACTCGCTATGTTAAATCTGATTGGTTCGTTCAGAAATTATAGTCTCGTCTGTTATATCCCGATAAGAATAATGAATGGTAACCTTTGGGATCCATTAATGGACCAATACTATAAGTATATTTTTATCGTATAATTGTTAAATAACTAAACTGTTCATATTCATGTCCCTCTTAACATAAGCTTTATTTTGATGCATGGACTATTATTATACGATTTACCATTCTATCAATTACTATCTCTCTTATTCACAACTACATTTGGCTAAATCTTGTACGAATGTTGTTTCCTATTTTATGGTACGATGTGGTCTGTCTGGTTGGTATATAAACCCAGTACGTTTCAAATAAATGATTCATATCGCAGAGAGTGAGATTGGTGTTCTGGACTTAACATGCTGAGCTAGGCGGGAAGCAGGATCGATAAGTACTCTAGACTGCTCGTACAGGTTTTCATGCGTCCTTAGTCTGATCGATAATTCACTGCTTTCTAATCGGCTGTATCATTACGTTATACAATAGCAGGGCACACAGGCCACGAGTTATAACATCATCATCTTGCCTACTCTTTTCTATCCGTCCCTATTAATGTTTTGTTCAGCTATATACAACAGGTAACAAGTAACCAGCTTTTTCACTAGGTATAACAAGTGGCTATATTGATGCTTTTTTACTACAGTTACGACGCTACTACAACACTACTTTTCTTCATAGATATTTCTAATTTGTGGGCAGAAAGCAAATATTATGTGAATAGATTGTTTATTTTTATTTATCTAAACACAAACATTTGTACAAAGGGGTACTAAAATATATATTAGCCAAACAAAATTTATGTGTGGGCTGGGATACATCCTGCGTACCTCAACTAAAACAGATTATTTTCTTAGGTGCTCACTCTCTGAGCCTTTGGCCTAGAGGTTTATTCTACAAGAAAGTTGGGCAGTGTTAAGAAATGTTGTCCCATACTAGCCGGTGAACAGGAATAGGTTCCCACCTCCATTTGTTCCCTCAGGATCATATAGCACATTTGCACCATTGGTTTAGGATCAGGGTTAACCCATTCCCACTAATTCGGTTTAAGCCCCCACCAGACATTCGCTTTTCATCTTCTCAATTTTGTTAACAATACTCTCTTCATGAGAAAGCCTTAATTAAGACTTCCCTTGTATTGGGTATATACTCTTGATCGTATGAGAGCATTCCAGAAGAAGAGTGCCGGACTCTCCGGCTTCGGAAATGAGTTCATTGAAAAATAATCCTTAACTGGATTGATTACTTCAAATTGTAAGATATTGAAAATATTTAGAAATATTTAACTATTGTTTAGTACTTTGATTGAAATCATCAGTCAATTGAAGCTAGACTACCATGGAAAACCTGGAAGAACTGGACGACCGTTTCGTCCTGGTGTGAGACTCCTCAGCAGTGCGCATCCATGATCCCGTAACCCGCGAGATCCGAACCCAGAATCAATCAGTTCCGTGCCAGGCGCTTAACCAACTAGACCACTGAGCCGGCATCCAATGGTGTTAATGTCTAACCTTAACCAATCCACGAAATTGCGCGACCATCTTCCATTGTACTGAGGTAGACACCTGTTTCTACCCGACACAGATTAGCTCCACTGGTCACGGCTTCTCACCAGAACTTCGAGAATTTTCTCACGAAGCTAGTCACTAGTGAGCACATGGTACTGTAGTCCTGTACAACGTAAAATATTAAGGTAATTGATTACCCTGCCTGGTTGTATTAAAATATCCTTACAAAACCCCTTCTGTAACGTATAAGGAAAAAAATCTGTAAATGAGGTTAGTGCTGATTTTCATTGTTATATTTTTGACTGTAAAATTCATCTCATCTGATGATGATCCGTAAGACACTGAAAAAATACACTGGTGAATAAATACATGTTTTAAGTTATTAGAGATAGGTAACAGGGAAATATAATTGATATAGATTTCGTTTTAGTTGAGACTGTTCAACAAAGCGTACCTGTAATTTTTAGAGAACTGATCTACAATTTAGGATTCAAACTCGTGACAGCCAGATTTACCCTAATAGCTCATAGTGTTAACGTTTCACACTATGTGAACCTGGGTGAAACGAGTCTGAACCTCATAGGGGATATCAATTCACCCAAGATTACAAGTATACCATAATGATGAATATCAAATATCACAAAACCTAAGTCAAGAAAGTTTTCCTGTCAGCTATCACCGACCACTAACTTACATACCAAAACATAGTGTAGACAATATCGAGATATTTAGACTGGTGATCGCATTATAACCTGATCAATAGAATTCGATCATCAGTACTAAATAATTCGACAAATATACCACAGGTCAATAAGTAGTAACCAATTCATTCTACTTACCTCATTAACTATAGTTTGTGTAGATTTTTCAACTGAACATGTAATTGATTGAATTGTCACATCGACTGGTTCAGTCATTATTGAAATATTCTTCTTTATTGTTTGATGATGAGTTAATGTATCCATACATTGAATATTTACAATGGAATTATCATTAGCATTAATAAATTCCCATACTGGTAATAAATTTGAACAGTTTTTCTGTTTGAAGTTAGTAACTTTTTGATTTCTTGTGATATGTTTCTATGATAAATGATGAAAGAAAACCGGGTAAACTGATTTCAAGTGAAGAAAACAAACAAACAAAGAATGATGATAATACAATTTGAAGACAACATTGATTATTTTAACACCAACAACAACCTACCGTGTGAAAGAACAAACCAGATCCTAACAGAGGAAGAAATCAAGAAGAAGTACTGGAAGTGGATAGGACACACATTGAGGAAAGCACTCAACTACCTCACAAGGTAAGTCCTCACATGGAATCCTTAAGGCGAAAGGAGAAGAGGAAGACCAAAGAACAGACTACTCCGAGAAATGGAGACAGACAAAAGAAGAAAGAAGAAGAACTGGACAGAATTAGGAAGGAAGGCCCATGACAGAATGGGTTGGAGAATACTGGTCGGCGGCCTATGCTCCATTGGGAGTAACAGGCGTAAATAAGTAATTTTAAGATCAAGTAAGTAGTATATCAAATATTTGACAAAAAATACAACCAGTTTTCAGATAATTAAAATAACCCATAGTGTCATTGAATAAGAAAAAGAGAATCCAGCGAAGAAAATTTTCTTTTCGACGAAAATAAAATATTGATTCGAACCCCCTTCGATTCAGTTCCTTTGACTCTGTAAACTATCTTAAACGAAGTTTTTTGGAGCGATATGTCCACAGTTGATTAAGTGCTCCTGTATCGAACTAGTGATTGTTTTTCGTTCCCTTTTCAAGAGCCAGGCCGTATAATGTTCCGAGATACGTTTGGATAATGATCGCTTTGTGCGGCCTATGTAACATGCCCCACATGAGCAAGTAAATTCATAGATACACATTGAAGTGGCCCAAAGAGAAAGTTTGTCCTTAACTGATAAGTCTTGTCGGATTGAACGCTATATTCGTCTCTTAAGCTATTCTGAATACCCAAGCTAGAACTACACAGCGACCTGAACATGAGACAGAAGACTCAAAGTATGCGAGAAGTAGTTTACTCAAACGTTCATTTTAATACAGAAAACACAGGATTTTTATAATATTTTAAATGTCCTTGGGTTGCTAGAAGATTCGGGAAATGCTACTAAACATAGTATCAGTGTAGCAGCCAACCAATCAGAGCCTCTGCATGAGACGATTCGCTTCCTTGATATTTTTGGCCAAGACTCCAAGTGAACGCTGATTGGATGAAACGCTTCTTAGTGCTCGCTTGTCTTTTGCAAGCAATTTTCTGGATCATCCCAACATTAACACACCCCAGTTGGGTTCCATTAAGTAGAAAAAGGAACTTAATTCATTCTTTATCCTCAAGGATTAGGCGAATTTGTTCCAATGACACAATAGATGGATACAAGATTATTATTATCATTATTATTATTAAAAGATCATAGGCATAAACATTACATTGACAAATATCAGTTCAGCTATTTACCTTGTTCGTTGATTTTACACTAAGTTCACTATGATTGTTTATTGATGTGATTTTTTGTTCATTATTTACAGTCTTTGACAAATCATAATTAGTTTTCATATCATTATTATTCAAGTGTTGATCACATTGATAATTATGATTAACACAGTGAGAAGATGATTGTTTTGTTAAGGGATTGACATTTTTATTTGATTGTTCCATTTGTTCAACTGATAATAATGAATTGAATAAAAAATGAAGTAAACATAAGAAGGATAATAAGCAAAGATGGATAGTGGCTAGCAGTGGAATCCAGGACACGCGTTTGGTCCTGTTTGGGACTTGTCAGCTGGATGTACCTGCGAACGGTACTGAGTTCGAGTTCCAGAGTGAACATCAATTCTGAGATGCAGGTACATCCAGCTGACGAGTCCCAAACAGGACGAAACGCGCGTCCTGGATTCCACTGCTAGTCACTATCCATCTTTGCTTAGAATGCTTGTAAATTAAGGCAATATCGAGGCATACGCACAGTATGCACATATGTCAATAAGAGACTGATCAATTTCAGTCCTAAAACATCAATGGGAAGATTCAAGTAAAACAATACCAAGTGAATAAGAAGGATAGTTTGAAGATAGTTAGGATAGACTTATTTTGTAATTCGTTCAATAATTCTCATAATTGACCTATTTACTGTCAGTGACGGGGAAAACAGTTGTTTGAAAACGCATGAACTTGGATTTTCCCGTTTTTGTTTTGAATTCCCCCCATAGCATGAAACATTGATTACGGCTCACAAATATACTCTTACGTAAGTCTCTTGTTTCCAATTACCTGTTGCCATGATAACAGAATTCTAATGTATTTACTATCTACGTTTACAGAAAACAGTGATACTCTCATTATATGCTTCATTTGGATATATATCTCGAATTATAACAGTTGCAGTCGGGATTATTAACTATTATATAATTGTGGATTACTAGACCAAATGAAAGTCAAACAAGCCAATTCTTGACAGTTTAAGTGATGTCCAGTATATTTTTCTTGTGTGTATAGATTATATTTAATATATTATATACATTAATTTCTGGACACAATAACTTTATTTTCGGAATTGCTATATCCTGGGTCCACCACAATAAATTAACTTGGTATTGTTTTACTTGAATCTAGTAATTGATGTTTAGAACTGCGATTGATCAGTCTCTAATTGGCATATGTGAATACTATGCGTATTGTCTCAATATTGCCTTAATTCGCAAGCATTATAAGCAAACATGGATAGTGGCTAGCAGTGGAATTCAGAACGCGCGTTTCGACTTTAATCTCATAGTTTAAGGCAAGACAGAGAGTGTATACACCTACGGCATTGTGACCCATTCTGAGCCATGTCACCCAGAGCCTCCAGCCATTGGTTACGATAGTCACGCGAACAACGGTAGCAGCATTTCTTTATATACAGCTTTCGATTAAATTAAAGAATACTACCAAATTAATCAAGGTCCAGACTTGTTTCAAGAGCATTAACAAGCTAACTTCCATGTCTTGTATGAACAGAATGCTTAATTTCGAACGACTGGTAAGAAATTTTAAAGAGGATACCATGACTGAATATCTGAGAAATGCTGATTAACTTCGAAGAGTAACTTTTCTGCCTTATACAAAGGTTTGAGAGGAAACATTATTTTCAGCCATATAGATGAATTTTTCCCTAGATCATTTTGATTTCAAAACAGAGAACATGGTCAAATTCACTAGTCACATAAAAAAACTATACATACATTCTGATGTTTCTCATTTTGCACTATAAACCATACCTTCACAACAGGTATTTTCTAAATATGGTAATTGGCTAGCAGTGGAACCCTGGACGGGCGCTTCATTCTATTTGGGACTTGTCAGTTAGGTATATTTTAATTCGTTAAAAGTTTTAATAGTTTCCCTAAGTTATTTAACAGTCATTCAACTTCTGTAGTAACTTGTTTTTCTTTAATTTAACCATATAATTTAAATCATAACAGTCAGTTATACTGTATTAGACGAGACTTTGGTTGGGAGGACGATAACAAAATATGGGAACCATACATTAAAAACTTCATTTTGCAAATCTACCATTAATTATCCTTCACATTCTGTATGATTCTTCCAATTCACAAATCCTTACTCTTTTCTCCTTTTGCTTTCTTCAATTCGAAATTCTTAACGTTCTGTTGTCATGCATTCGATAATCGATCGGTGTTACATACTACTTATGTCGACAGATATAAGTAGCATACATCGCAGTACTACAACACCGATAATAGAATATTGCATAAAAATGGTAAAATTTTTGTAGCCACATACAAAGTCATGCAGCACATTAGAACAAAACTCTTACCATCATTCATTATAGTTGGATTAATTTCAATTAATGTCTCCATTGATTGATTATTTTCACATTTAGGCATACATTGTTCTTTTTTGAAATTACACCGTAATTGACTCAATTCATTTTCTAAATGTTCCAGTTTTGTTTTATGGAATGTCTAGTTTGAATATAGAAATATCAATTGAAAAAAATGTTGAAAATAGGAAAGAACAAACATGTTCGTCAGTCATAGTTAACATATTACCTGGTACAGATGTCTACTTACTTACTTAATTACTTCTGTTACTCTCAATGGAGCATAGGCCGCCGACAACCATTCTCCAACCCACTCTGTCCTCGGCCTTCCTTTCTAGTTCTATCCAATTTTCGTTCTTTCTTCTCATGTCTATCTTCATTTCTCGGAGTAATGTTTTCTTTGGTCTTCCTCTTCTCCTTTGACCTTGAGGGTTCCATGTGAGGAATTGCTTTGTGCCGCAGTTGGGTGCTTTCCTCAATGTGTGTCCTATCCACTCCCATTGCTTCTTCTTGATTTCTTCCTCCGCTAGGATATGTTTTGTTCTCTTCCGCAGTTGGTTGTTGCTGATAGTGTCTGGCCAACGGATCCGAAGTATTTTGCGTAGACATCTGTTAATAAACACTTGTATCTTCTAAATGATGGCTTTCGTAGTTCTCCGAGTTTCCGCCTCATACAGTTCCAGATGTTTTTCATTTGTAGACATGCTGCTCTTGTTTTGCTAATTCGCGCCTTCACGAATCGGTACAGATGTATGTTAACTTAATTTGACTTATTACATATTAGTAAGAGTAGAGAGGAAATGAACAAGATCAATAGAAAACGAATCGAATTAATATAGCACTAATAATGTGGTTCGAGATGGTATTTATAAGGAAATAGTGAAAAACAGGATGTAGATGTTAGACAAAGAGTGAATGCATTTAAAGCATTGTGAATGATTTTAAAGCATATCACAAAACTTCTTTAATCGAAGATCACAATGATCACGCGGAATTCAACTAGGTAGTGTAAATGTATCTACTTAACCCATACTAAAAGTTTATGAACTAATGAACTGATACACGTTTCGGTTTGACCGATCCTTGCTCTATTGTAACCTAATTCAATGCCATTTGAAATCGTCCCATAGAAAAAAACGATTAAAAATAAAATATTCTAAAACATGAATCAATAAGTATTGAGTATTTTCTAGTTGAATTGATATAATGAGAAAAATCCAACGAAACTACTGCTACATACTAATGACTTCAGGTTGAGGGGTCATGGATGTACACTGTGAAAGAGTTCCATTCTTTAAGAGTCCCATATTACGATGAAACAGATGATCACTGTCTTCTGGTTTTCAATGGTTGTCTAACTTAAGATCAGTCTATGATTAAGACTGATCTATTTAAACCAAAATCAGGTTCAACCGTAAAAATATTTACGAATCAATAAATAGATATTTTATCATAATGTTATTAAACAGTCATTTATTAATTTGTGGATTAAAGCTCTTTTAAAATTGGTTCATTTATTCGAAATTTCGGATGGTTAGTTGGTAGATCTATATGAAGCAAACGCTTGGTCACATATCACCACCCACTCACTGATCACCACTCTTCAGTCTACGGGCACTCTGAGGACCGACCGTGTAGCTCACTCTTGGTAAATCAGCGAGGATGAAGAGTGAGTGAACCCCGTGGCATTAGCCACCACACCGAGTAGTTGCGATGACAGGTAGTGTGGATTTGGGAGGTGAGAATGGAGTGTGGAAAACATGGAACGCTTCACGATTTTGCGTGTCATCCTTGAGCAAGGGCCATGCTAATCTTCTCTGTATCGTTCCAATTTTAGTATATGCACCGCCGAAGCGAGTAGATCTATATCTATATAAAATTACTATGTAGATTGTTTAATCATTAGGATGAAATAGTTGTCCGATACGATATGGTTTTCAGCAGTTCCTCACTAGCTGATGTTGCTAGTAGGTGGTAAAGAAGTATCTTTATCAAAAACAGGGATTCGTTTACGAATAACAATGAAAAGTTATTAACTGCGAAACACCACTACCCTACACAGAAAATCTCATGTCAATTCTTTCCTTTGGAAATTTCATATACATATACTATCAAGTATACACACAGCCTTTGGGATATAAAATCGATTTGTTTGTATGTTGTACATTCACTTCCTTATTACTGCTCTCGTGATCAAATACCATGATGATAAGAGTTCGAGTTCGCTAGTTGGTCTGTTCTTTTTATGCCTTTAAGATCGATCGCCTTTTCTTGATCAATAACACATTGATCGTGATACTGACTGAAAATTCCTGATTCTAAATAGTCCACAAGCTCCTTATATCCCCAAGTAGATAGATAGGAAATATATTTCACTTTTTATTATTACTAATACATACACGGTGAACAACATTGAGTTACCTGTTGTCCAGACACACAATGACTTAGGAGTCATCGTTAGCCAAGATTTAAAAACTACTGCACGCTGCCGTGCGATAGCCGCTAAAGGTTTTAGACACCAATGGTCAATATGTAGGGCCTTTAGCCGTGTCGATGCTAAAACCTTTTGACTTCGTATACAGTATTCGTCCGACCTAGACTCGAGTACTGCATACAAACAGCTAGCCCCTATCTAAAAAGAGACACTGAGATGTTGAAAAAGGCTCGAAGAACCGCAACTAAGCAGATTACTGAAAGAGCGAAGCTCGCTTATGATGCTCGACTGGCTAAACTAAACCTATTTCCATTGTCATATCTAAGAACCAGAGACGAATTGATCATGGTTTTTAAATCACTTAGTGATAAATCTATACCTGATATGTTCTTACTTTTCTTGTTTTCCAAAATAGTGAATTTACGGGACATTCCAAAAACGTTCGCAAGCCCAAAACAATTTACTTGCCAGCTGACTATCGATTTTCCAATCGAATCATCAACGAACCTGATTGAGGTTCCATCTGTCGACTCATTCAAAAGAAAGTTGGATCAACTGAGAGACCATCATTGCCAAGACTAACACAGGCCACCTAGCCTCATATCTTTTCCAAATAGAAACTGAAACAATCAGGTTCACAAGAAAACTCATACACATTTATTATCCGGCTTAATCACAATGTCTATATAACTAAATCAAAAGTCATACAAAACTGAATAATAAGTCCATAATTAATTAACCACAATTCGGAGACGGTGAGGCATATGACAACAGCTATTCATGGATGGAAGATTACACTAAGTACACAGTAAAAGTATACATCATAATTCTTCATAAAACAGTCCGGAAAGCTTCATCCCCTTCTCAAATATCCAAGCTTCTATATAAGAATTTTGTATTAAGGCCGGTATTTTCAAGATATCTCATCTAAGAATTTAGATTGATTGCTGGTCATGTGCATGTATCGAATAAATCCATTCATTCTTCTTAGTTAGCGTTAAATATCTGAGTCGACTGAATACAAAATTATGCTTTCATACCGGGTATTATTTTATAGTTTAGCATTCTGAATGATACTTTTGGTTATGTACAGTTAAGTCAGGCTAATGGATCATCTTAGTCAAAAGTAAAAGAATCTAATTCTTAAGACTTAACCATCATCGCAGTTAGACACATTTTGCTTTAGATTAGGAAAACTCGAAAAACAAGCAAATCAAACTATATCATTGAAATCATGAACTGATCTAGGTTAGACAAACATTAAGAATCTAGAAGCACTGTAAAACTGTTTCATCGTAGTTTGAGACATCACTACGAACACCAACGCTTAACCTCTAGACAATTAAGGCAAAATCTGATAGTGCATAAGTCTAACTTCAATTAGTCAGAGATATTGCTCAACAATCTTTCATTTCTTCGATGGATACTTTCCTCAAACTCTACATGGTATAGTTCCACTGGTCATGTCATCTCATTAGAAGTAAAGCTTGTGTACCATTGTATATCAGCTCAATGGTCCCATACTGTGACTAAACATCTATCCAATACTTTCAAATTTTGAATGATTGTCTAATTTAGATCAATTCTTGATTTGAATCCATTTCAACAATCTCTACAATTTGATAGTGAAATTTAAACTATAACACTACTACTACTACTATTACTACTACTACTACTACTACTACTACTTACAATGAATTGATCTGTATTTGATGATGAACATACTTTCTGTTCTACATTGAATGAACATGCTTCAGAATTTAGAAACTGATTCGATTTCAACCTGTTATCTTGTTGAATGTCATTATTCTTTATAGATTGTTCTTTTAATTTAGAATCCATTTGATTTAATGCTTCTTGAGCTTCAGCTAATTTCATAATTAATTGATTCAATTTATAACGATCTTCAAGGCATAAATCTTGTAAACGACATAAATTTGGTTTTGAAATGAATCGTTTTGTTGATTGAACTTTATTTGATTTTTGTTTGAATTGGTTCAAATTCTGAAAAAAAAAGGAATGAGTGAACATGTAGATGAAGGAATACTTCTTTATAGATCAGTGAAGTTTGAACGTGTTTGAAGTGGAATAGGCGTCATCAATGAAATGGAATAATTGTTGTATCATATACTGAATTGATTATTATTGAAAATATGTATCATTGAAGATGTTATGTCTAGAAGTCGTCAAATTCAGACATAAATATCCATACAACAAAGAAATTTACTGGACCAGTTATGTAAGTTAGAAAGCTAGGATAAGGTGATGGTTGGTGGCAGTCAATAAAAAACCCTGGACAAAGATTTCGTGCTACTATGCACTCGTCAGCAAGGTGTACCTGGAATCTTGAGAGAACTGATGCTCCTGACGAATTCGATCCCGCGTCACCCAGTTTCACAGTCAGAGACGTTACTATTGAGCTATCCGGGCCGCAACTGATATCCTGTAGGACTGAGATGTATTTACAATTGATTGATCACTGGGTAGTGATCAATGTCATGTATATGTTTGAAGTGAACGGTACTGGGTTCGATTCACAGAGTGAAGATCAACTTTGAGATGTAGGTACTATCGAGCTGACAAGTCCCAAATACGATTAAATGCAAGTTCTAGTTTCCATAGCTAGCCACTATCCATCTTTGTTTAAAAAACTTTTGACTTCAATCAATATCAATCAAGCAATCCGCACAGGATGCTTACTTACTTACGCCTGTTACTCCCAATGGAGCATAGGCCACCAACCAGCATTCTCCAATCCACTCTGTCCTCGGCCTTTCTTTCTAGTTCTATCCCATTCTTGTTCATTTTACTCATGTCTATTTCCATTTCCCAGCGTAATGTGTTCTTTGGCCTTCCTCTTTTCCTTTGACCTTGAGGATTCCATGTGAGGGCTTTTCTTGTGACGCAGTTGGGTGCTTTCCTCAATGTGTGTCCTATCAACTTCCAGCGCTTCTTCCCAATTTCTTCCTCCACTGGGATCTGGTTTGTTCTCTCCCACAGTACGTTGTTGCTAATAGTGTCCGGCCAATGGATCTGAAGTATTTTGCGTAGACAACTGTAAATAAACACCTGTATTTTATGGATGATGGCTTTTGCAGTTCTCCAGGTTTCTGCCCCATATAGTAGAACTGTCTTGACATTTGTATTGAAAATTCTGACCTTGGTGTTGGTTGACAGACATTTGTTTTGAGTTCCAGATGTTCCTCAGTTGTAAATATCCTGCTCTTGTTTTGCCGATCCGCGCCTTCACATCTGCATCAGATCCACCCTGTTTATCAATGATGCTGCCTAAATACGTAAAGGTTTTTACATCTTCCAAATCTTCTCCGTCAATTGTGATTGGATTGGTGCATTCTGTGTTGTATCGGAGAATCCTGCTTTTCCCTTTGTATATATTGAGACCTATTGCACACATACTAATAAGAGACTGATTAATTACAGTCTTAAATAACAATGACAAGATACAAGTTAAACAACATTAAGTATAAATTAAAACTGATTAAATTAAATAAATTTAATTACTTTATCATTTGTTTGTTTCAACTTTGATTTAATTACTGATTTAGAATTATTATTGATTAAATTCAAATTGTTTAATGAATGGACAGTTTTCTCTGGAATATTCATTGATTTTATTGATTGATTAACATATTGATCATTGGCATTATTCAAGTAATTCATTATCTGAAAAGATAATAGAATAGAAGAATAATCTGGAACAGTTTATCAATATTTGGTTACCAATAGACTTGAATTGATGATTCAATGGTGTTTAGTTTAATTATCAAGTTAAATTGAATACGATACAAGTATATCATTCAGTTCAGTAATTACTCTTTGATAAAACTAATTCAGCTATTAGTAATCCATAGTTAAAACAAATACAATATGCAGAACACCAACTCAATCACAATTGATGGTGAAACTCTGGAAGATGTGAAATCTTTCATGTAACTAGGAAGCATCATTGATGAACAAGGAGGATTAGATGCAGATGTAAAGGCGAGGATTGACAAAAAAACGGCCGCATTCCTACAATTGAAGAACATATGGAACTCAAAACAACTGTCTATCAACCTACATTAAAGTCAGAATCTTTAATACGAACGTCAAGACAGTTCTATAGTACGAAGTTGAAACTTGGAAAACTAATACAACCATCATCTCAAAGGTACAAGTATTTATAAATAGTTGTCTACGTAAGATACTCAATATCGATTGGCCGGATACCATCAAAAACAGCCTACTGCAGGAGAGAACAAACCAGATCCCAGCTAAGGAGGAAATTAGAAAAATATGATGAAAATGGATAGAACATACATTACGAAAATCACCAAACTGCATCACGAGGCAAGCCCTAACCTGGGATCCTGAAGAGAAGCGGAAAAGAGGAAGGTCAAAGAACACATTACGTCGAGAAATAGAAGCAGATATGAAAAGGATCAACAGGAACTGGAAGGAGTTGGAAAAGATTTTCCAGGACAGGGTTGGATGGAGAATGTTGGTGAGCGGCCTATGCTCCTTCACGAGGAGTAACAGGCGTAAGTAAGTAAGTATTTAAAACAAAATGAAATCCAGTTTTTCCCCGTTGTTAATGTTATGATTTAAAGTTGGTCAATCTATTTTTTAGCAAACTAAAAGCATTTTCCTTTTTGAAATTAAAATATGAATTGTAGCGTCATTGGACTGTAGCTAGGGATGCAACGCAAAACACATGTTTCGCTCTATTTAATGCCTATCACTTGAGTTTTGTTCACATCGAAACAAGAGGCCAGTATGCATTATATACTGACAAATTACAAACCTTGGTTTATACCTTCATACCAGATGAATAATTCAATAAATATTCGCGCTTAGTAGCTCAGTGGATAGTGTTGGGTGTAAGAAAAGAAAATTAATAATTTCAAGTCTTAATGTGAACAATACTAATGGAATACAAGTATATCCCGGTGGTTAGTCTCAGGATAAACTGAGCATACTGTATCTCATTGTGACACATAAACCAACTATACTATATAACTTCAATTCAAATGTACACACTCTATTATCAGAAGGGGTTTGTGGAGATTTTAGAAATTTCACAGATTGAAATCATGAGTCAATTGAAGTTAGACTACCATGGAAAACCTGGAAGCACTGGATGGACGTTTCGTCCTATTGTGGGACTCCTCAGCAGTGTGCACCCACGATCTCGCACCCCGCGAGATTCGGACCTAGGACCTATCAGTCTCGCGCCAAGCGCTTAACCAACTAGACCACTGAGCCGGCATCCAATGGTGTTAATGTCTAACTTCAACCAATCCACGAAGTTGCGCTACCGTATACCATTCTCTTCAGTGAGTTGATATCTCACAATAGACCTGGTTGAACTCCAGTGCTTCCAGGTTTTCCATGGTGGTCTAGCTTCAATTGACTCATGATTTCAATCTGTGGTATACACTCTATATTTTATAATTTGAAACAATTTTTGTACATTTAACTTCTTCAAGTCCCACTAATGATGATGTTACTGTTGAGCCTTCAAAATGACATAAACAATTACATATCATGAGAAGGAATATGATCAAGGAATAGATACAAAGAAAAACTAATCTATTAATTAGCGCCAACACGAAACTAAGGTTCAGAGTTTCTTGATAATACCTGTAACCACATAACATCTGAAAATAATGCACACTATCTCGAATCACTTGGACTAGTAGTTACATTTTAGTTTAATAGATAGTGTTTGGTTAACCAATAAAAGGGACCAGAATAACATAACAGGAATAGATCTTTAGTGTGGTGGGGGGTTGTTGGGCGCGAACCAGTGAGGGGTCTTAAACTGGGACGAAACAGCCACAATGTGCTTTCATGTTTTTAGTGATTTTTTAAATTAAGATAATTGCATCATGTTAAATATCTGAATAAGTGAAATTTAGTGTATAAAAGTCACACGATGACCATCCTATCAAACAAATTAAATTCCGTAAAACAATGGCAAAACTGATTAGCAAGTTTGTTAGTTTTGTGCTTCAGAAATAATTTTATAGCGTTTTCCTAGTTCAATCTAATACAAATCATCATAAAGCAACAAGCTTGTGGTCAGTGACTGAGCCCATGCTACACATGATTCCAAGCAAGCTACCAGAAACTTCTAGATTAGCTCCAACACAAATGAAAGGTAAAAGAAAACTAAGATAATCAGGAAAATAATATGGAACTCACCAAGCTGGATAATAAAACAATACTATGAGGGTAGGTTTATGGTGAAAATAAACTGTTTTTGAATGCATAAATGATATGTCCTGTCGTTTAATGCTACTTTTTGTATCTGGTCGTCGTCGTGTTTTGGGGGTCAAAAAATCTTTACTTATACCAGTTTTTGTTTTCTTACTTTCGCGTCGTGGGGATTGCAGAGGTCCCTCATTTCGAGTATGAGTGATAAGAGTTTCCAACATAACAATCAGATATAACAAGTAGCATTCAAACAACAAGATATATCAATGAAGGACAAACCAGTACCTTGATTATCTTAGCTGTTGTCTAGTTCAATATAAAAAGGGCTTGATATGAGGTCTATTTAATAGGACTGAATGTATTTGTACAAACGAAGCTATTAACGAAGAAGTGAAGTTGTTGAATAAAACATTACTGGGAAATGGTTATCTTCTGAAATTCATAAATCGATGGAAAAGCGACAATATGGCATAGAAAAGGCCTTTCCACATTACCCTACCGCTAAGAGGTGAGTCAAGTAGCCTTTTATTGAAAAAAAGGATTAACTCGGTTACTAGCCAAACATACTACGCATGGGAAAAACAAGGCTCACGTTTCGCCAAATCCTAGAAGGTACGAAAACGATTGTGTCACATCCCAATGTTTACGAATTTAAATGTGTGCGCGATTTGAAAATTAGGGTGTCTAAACGTGTATCTAAATGGTGGCAGCAAACTGAGACCTAGGACCTACCCCCAGCGCTGCTGGGTAGTAGGGGCATATATGGAGGAGATCGGACTAATCGACGATTCCGTTGTAAACCGAATTTCCTTTTCAAGGCTCCCTGATATGTATGCTTATGTCCATGAATTGCATGAGTTTCGGCATGTGCGGTTTATCTATGTAGGTGCATGTAAGGGGTACGCGCGTGAGTTGACACAAGGAACATAAGCTCAAAAATTTCTGTCCCATATTTAATAAAATCAGCGGCTTAACCCTTTAATTAGAAGACATAATAAAAAAAATATGGTAGTAAATACTAGGGTGAGGTGACCATCAATATCTCCAAAAAGAGTGGTCATGCTTATGTATGTCATGCAGTATCAGTGATATGAATGCAATATGTGAGTCAGCTGTAGCAAATGCGTTCAAAGTGAACAGTGACAATCTGCTCTCCCAGGTGAGTGAATGTGTTGTGTCTTAGCTTCGTTAATCAATCACATTGATAACTGTTATTACATAAATCCCAACGGTGTTGCAAATCAAAAGGCAATAAAACGCGGCGACTACAGTTTATTAGCGGATAGTACAGATAACAAAGTTATAGACACATAGAACGAATTAGTAGAAGAGAGGAGAATGTGTGTATGCGAGCGAATACCGAGGCGAATTTATAATCAAATCAAATGTAGGCGCAGCTAAGCGAGGCAAAGTCTAATAATAAGACTCGAGAATGACCCATCAAGTGATATTTAGGCGATTAACATTTTAGCTAGAGAGAGAGATATTTGCGTAGGCTGTCACATGCGTTCAAGAGTACACGTATACGGACAAGATAGTGATCATAATAGTACAAAAAAATAGACAAGTCGCTACTGCTAGAACAACATTGTTAAGTTAATAAAAAGGCTTAACAAAATTTAACCATAATCGAAATTGATTGTAAGAGAGTTGCCATAAATATACCTATATTTATGCTGTGGGAAGCATGAGTGAAAACTAGTGTTACTGGTGTGCATATTACGGACCTCTGCTCACAGGGTAAGATATATATATATATATGCCAGGAGACGCATAGTTGAAAACTTGTGTATTGCCGGCATATATGTAGATCATACTTGCCCTTGGTGAGACCCACGCACACCAAGTGATGGGATTAACGAAGTCCCCATAAAGTCTCATCCACACTGTGGGTTTATGAGCCTTCAAAAACGGAAACCACTCCCCCCCAAAAAACCAATCAGTTTCACCAGATAAGGCATTACCAACCTTAGCACAGCTAAAACACCGCACCTAAATGGTTACAAAACAAATACAATCAAATGAACCAATTGAAACAGGTTATAAGATCGATCTTAATTCAACTTTTGCGGTGTTTTACAAGTATTCGATGGCATACACTAAAGTTTACTGAAACATTGATCATACAAAAATGCAAACTCCTCATATGTATTCACCGTAAAATTACCATGGTAATTTTGTTTTATTGTCCAGCGTAGAGAGTTCCATATTGTTTCCTTTATTATCTTTGTTTTCCGTTACCTTTTATTTATCTAGTTGACCTTTATGTCACATAGTTCTGATAATCTTTGTCTTCTTCTTCTTATAATACTACGCAAAATTCTAAAAGTTTAAGAATTAATTAAGTGGATTGATTTCAAAAAAAGTCTCAAACTGATACTCAAAGTGTACAAACAACGGAATTTTATCAGAATGTTTATTTAAAAAAAAAACTATTATATCTTCTGTATACTTTAGATTGTTCACATGATATGAAAGGTAACCAAACATTCAGAAGTTGAATGATGAATTCATTTCTAAATATCGATTATGATCAAGTTTAATCAATGTGTACTTTCATAAAGGTTGGCTTAGTAGTTTAGAGGTTAAGTGTTGGTGCGCAAGACCGAATTCTGCGAGCGCGATCATGGATACGCACTACTGAGGAGTCCCATAATAGAACAAAACGGCCGTTCAGTGCTTCCAAGTTTTCAATGGTGGTCTAACATCATGATCTCAATTAGAACGACAAAATATTAAATTCACTTGGTATTGTTTACTTGAATCTTTCCATTGATGTTTAGAACTGCCAATAACCATCTTTGCTTATAATGATTGTGAATTAAGGCAACATCGAGGCAATTCACAAAAGATGTATATATGTCAATGAAAGACTGATTAATTGCAGTCCTAAATAACAATGAGAAGATACAAGCAAACAATACCAAGTGATTTTAAACTTCACCCCATTGTACGAGCAGGTGGCTATCAAGACTCAGTAGCTAAGTAGATAACGCGATGGCGTTTGAAGTGAACGGTAGTGGGTTCGAGTCACAGAGTGAACATCAACTCTGAGATACAGGTACATCCAGCTGACGAGTCCCAAATAGGACGAAACGTGCGTCATAGATTCCACTGCTAGGCACTATCCATCTTTTCATATAAAACAAAATATTGTTTATTAATTCCAGCCATCTTTGTCATTGACATACACATATACAAAAAAACCTCTCTTTTTGAAACTAAGCTGATAAGAATGAATAATCTATGCTGTCAGTCGTCATTATCGATTATTATACAAGGATTCTTCATTAGAACATCTAATAAGCTTGTCATCATAACAATGTAATTTACACAGTAAAAATGTATGTGCAAAATATGATGATAAACAGCGAAAATTAGTCCATTGTGAAACATTTCTTGAGTAACTAGAGGTAATAAGAAAAAAAGAAAAAGAAGAGGGGAAATTTACTTTTCTCTTAAATTGAATGTCATAATTTTTACATAATGAAAGAGAGTACAGTTTAATTACACTGAGATTTTCTATTATTTAAATAGACTAGAGCGTTGATTTTACTTATGTGGTTTATATTTGATTCAAGTGTATTAACCTTTAAACATTTTAGGATATTTTACAGTCCATTAAAGAAGACTTTAGATATCTGAACTTCTACGTTTAAGAGATTCAAGATATGAATAGTTAACAGTTTTGATTTTCATTATAGGAGTTGTAGAGATTGTTGAATGATATTGAGATCATGAATGGATCAAAGTTAGATAATCAATTAAAAACCTAGAAAAAAAAACAATAGTAGGTAGCTGTTTCATTTTAGTATGGGACTCTTCAGAGATATCACGAATTGATTGAATGTCGAAATATGAATCACCGAAATGTGGCTCCATGGTCTAGAAGTTGAACGTTTACATGAGAGATCGGATGTTTTGAGTCTGGACAATGTGGTTGGATGAGTATTACTTAGGAGTCCCATACTAGGATGAAAGAGCCGTCCAGTTCTCTCAGACTCTGAATAGTTGTATGAGTTCAGTTTGTGAGAGAAATAACATTTTTGATTTGTTCGAAATAAAATGAACGTATGTAAAAAAAATCGTGTTCCTATATAAGCCTTGGAAATTTATTTAATGTCTATCTCTATTTAATATTATTGAATGAAAACAATGACGGAAAAGAAGAAGACCGAAGAACACATTAAGTCGGGAATTGGAAGCAGGCCTGAAAAAGATGAGTAGCAACTGGAAAGGACTGGTCAGAACAGGGTTTGATGGAAAGTGCTGTGGACGGCCTATGCTCCTCCACGAGGGGTAACAGGCGTAAGTAAGTAAACTAAGGCTATTATGACCTCACGGAAATAAAGTTAATTGAAACAATACTAAAAAGATTTTTATAATTATTTCCGAAGAACTACACATTGTAAATATGTCAGACTAAAACAGATCTATTATTTAATTCATCTACCAAATATAAATAAGAGTGCTTCACTTCGGGACAAACCCTCAGAGCTCAAGTTAGCAAGATTACCACGTTAGTCAAACCGAAAAAGATGCAATAGGGTTCGAACTTGAGACATAATGGTTGAAATTTGAATGACTTAATCATTGAACCGTAGCTTCATGTGTTCAAAAGAAACATGTATACAGTAAACAAGAAGTCATAACTACAAAGTATTTGTAAGAAATCTTAGTACCTGAAGCTCTGATTCAATGGAGACATAGCTAGTAATTTTTTATGCGATCGATTAGATAGAGGTCTTAAAAAAGCTTTGGCATTCCCAAGTTGAGAAATAATAGTCCCACAAATGAAAGATTAGTTACTTAGTTTTACCATTTCAGTGTGAATTTGTTAATTTAGCCGCTTTTGTGAAGAAAGTTGTAATTGATTGATCAACCAGAAACTCCTTTTTTTGTTTGGGAAAGGATTAAACAAAACTGAGGTTTAGGTTTGTTTTATCACAGATGAATGATGGTGGTCATGTGATATTGGAAAATCAAGTATTTATACTGATCTATTGTCTAAATTTAGTTCCTAAACATTAGATTTCAATCCCGTTTATCAAAGAGATAACGAATTCAAGCCAACAAAAGGTCCGGGGGAAATCTACCCTACAATTCTAAGTTTCTCAACTCCTTGTCATATTCATTCACATTATCTGAATCAATGGTAATCGATTTTCATGTTTAGTTTTTTTTAACGCTTTGATCTACTCCCCATGTCGATATACATTTGTTCATTTTATCGTACTGTTGATTATTCTTACAATTACTACTGAATCTTTCAACTTACAAGGTTTGGTTACATAATCCTTTATTGTTATTGTCACTACTGATTTACAAATTGTTTCGATTAGTTCAATATTTTTTAGATGTATCCACATTGATGTTATTGTATATTCGAAATAGGGCAATATCACTAGTCCATGTACAGTCAGCTCATGATTTATGAAAAAAATTCTGCAATCTCCATAACTTAATCTCTTACTAACAATTATCATGTCCTCAGTGGTGACTAATTCCGAGCAGGAAATCCCCGAAGACCTACTGAGTTATGCCTATATTCAGAGTGATGTCGTTACTCACCTATAAGATTGGGTGCTGGTTGGTCACTCATGAATAAAGGTACATCTTGTTAGTAAGTATCAACTAGCACAAAACTTATACCATACTTGATTTGCTTTTGTCGATTGCATCTAAGCATCTAAAAACTTATAAATACACATCGCTAACGAGCGATGAATTTCTGTTCACAGTTAGATATACTTATTATTCAACAGTATTTATATATTACAGTTATAGAAAACCAATTAATAAACTGTACCCTAATCATCATCAATGTTTGAGTTATGTGAACGAACGCTCGAGGAGTGGACCCCTTAGAAAACCAACTACGTCGGTTTGGTCGCCCGGGCAGTATCCCAGCCCGCACACAATATGAATGATTTATGTGGTGTTGCCCCCTTGTATCAATGTCTACGTGTTTAAATAAATAAATTTTCAAAGTATACACAATCGGAAAGTGATTACTATCACCATCACTCATAACTTGTCTTTAACAACATTCGATATCATAATATTTTGTTAGATGTAACTCAACTACATTCAAAGGACCAATACAGAGTATAATAATAATTCAACTAAATATAAGATCATATACGCATTATTCATTTATCATGGTGCAGATCATGTGTAAACCTAGGAAATTAAAAAACAAACAAAAGCACAAACTACTTTAAGCGCTATATCGTACACTCACACACACACATACATACAGACAAACACATTCTTTCAAGTCAGAAAAAAAACCCATGAAATAAATGTAGAAACGATTTTTCTTTCGTAATTTTGTTTGCTCTAAAGAGAGAGATAAAGCATTCATTGTTTTATCATCACCGTATAACACAACATTAGTCTTTTCCTATTGTTATGACTATTGCATTGGTTCGATTCCTATCAAGAGTGTGTGTGTGTGTGTGTGTAGGTGTAAGAGAGAGAGAAAGAGAGAGAGGGAAATGTTTGTCCTATAGATTATTAGTAAGCTTACAAACAATTGTTAAAGAAAAATATGGATAAACAAACAAAAAGAAGTGAGTAACCAGGTTGAAATGTATGTTGTCATTTATTTGTTTTTATATGTTATTACATATTAATGTGTATACATAAATAAGACAGAAAGATGGATACTTAAACGATATAAATAGTATCAAACTATTCATTGAATAATTAGTTGATTTCTACTATAACACAACATAAAAAGATTTAAACACTTTTTTTTTTAATTCATGGTTACTGTTGTTATACAATAAATAAAACAATCATTTGGCACAGTTACACACATTTGATCAATTCGCATACATTACATTTTGATACTAAGATGATAGTTTGAAAGAAAATAATAAAGAAAAGATGAATGGATGAAGTACAAAAATTGGACATTTTTATTATTAAAGTACATGTATTTAAAAAAAAATTTTTTTTTGCTTTTCATCAGATGATGTAAGTGAGAAGACACAAAACAATGTTTATACTTTCTTTTTCGATTCAAAGTGTTTACAAGAGGGAAAAAGATCTTGTGTGTGGATGTGGATGTGTGTTTGTTTGTTTGATTGTTAGTGAATCCATGACTCAATGGATAAACTAAAAAATATTGCTAATTTAAAGTAGTAAAGTCGGATAAATCATGAACGTGTCGATGAGAATTTACCGATAAATCCACCACCACCACTACCATCACCAGTAAGAGAACATGATGAAGAAGTGTTTCTTCCATATTCACCGGTTGTTTGTGTTGTTGTCAATGTTGATAGATTATTTTTAGTAGAATAATTTTCAGTGGATAAAATTTGCATATAAATATTTTTTAAATTAGAATCTGCATTAATAATACGTAATAATTCGACATAATGACGATTTTTATCTAAATAAACAAAAGTACAATAAAACAAATAAAACATTTTCATATTTTCTTAAGTGAAGTAATAAAACAACAACAAACAAACAAACTAGATAGCGATCATATTGAAAGTTATTCAGTGACTTACTTTTTTCTTTTCTACATAGTTACTTGTATAATGGAAGATCTCCAATTAAAGCTATAAATGATCATCTAGACAATGTTAAATTTGCCAATTCTATTCATATTCCTATTAAAATATTACAAAGTCCATTTATCTTGGAACAAGTCATTAATCGATTATTATTATTACTATTATTATGATTAAGATCGTTTATAGATCAAAGTAAACATTATACAGAGGAATGAAAAATAGATATTAATTGAGGCGGATGGTACTGGGTTCGAGTCCCAGAGTGAGCATCAACTATGGGATGCAGGTACATCCAGCTGACGAGTCCGAAATAGGACGAAACGAGCGTTCTGAGTTCCACTGCCAGTCATCATCCATCTCTGCTTACAATTATTTGAATAGATGTCAATTCATAATAATCAGAAGGGGTTTTGTAGAGATTTTTAGAAATTTCACTGATTGAAATCATAAGTCAATTGAAGCTGCACCACCATGGAAAACCTGGAAGCACTGGACGGCCGTTTCCTCCTAGTATGGGACTCCTCAGCAGTGCGCATCCAACTAAGTGGTCTAGTTGGTTAAGCGCCTGGTGTGAGACTGATGGGTGCTGGATTCGAATCTCGTCGGGTGCGGGATCGTGGGTATGCACTACTGGGGAGTCCCATACTAGGACGAAACGGCCGTCCAGTGCTTCCAGGTTTTCCATGGTGGTATAGCTTCAATTGACTCATGATTATAATCAGTGAAATTCAAAATAAGATTAATAAAACTCTATAAACTGAAAATAAAACTTATTGGAATGTGCATCAAAGATGAAAAATCAGTTCGTGGGATTATAAACCTTTATTAAATGACGTAGTTGAAACATATCCTGTGTATCCACAACCATCGATTAACTCAACATATAGCTGTTATAACGCTTCGTTTCTCCGTCTACACGAAAGGGACGTTATTTTACCATAGACAGAAGATTCACATTAGATACCCTTCGAGTGTCTATTCTACAGGACTTTAACACAATTCAGATCAAGAACATGTGACTAGTCTAACTAGAACGTAAGTATATTTCCACTCCAAGAACCGACAACAAAGACAATAATAATAATAATAATAAGGAAAAGAATTCATCTGATACCTGTTAGATTATCTACTAATGTGACTAATTTGCCTCGCCCACCTATCAATAGTGTTAGTTAGTGTAGAGAAAAAGATTAGGAGAAAACTAAGAGTAACGAAACTAATAGTATAGTATAAATTCACTAGATAATTTACAAAGAAATAAATGCTGAGTATCTTTGATTAAGGTTGATGCGATAACTATGACGGGAGACATATGATATGACATGATGATATAAACTAAGAATTGGTTACAATACCGTTGATTAACAACTTAGACTAACATTTGTACCACCATTTGTATTATGATTGACGAATTGATATTTCATATTACTAACGCTAATCAAATCGAAACAGCAATAATAGTATCAGGAAAGTTCTTTCATCCTATTCCAATTAAATTTGACCATCACCTTTAATGTAGTATAATTTGTTCTTAGAAACCTTCCGGCAAATTTTACAGAAAGTACTGGCAATATAAGAATCATAATTTGATATGTTCATAACACTGTGGTGATGTTGGCCGGATACAATCAGCAACAGCCTACTGTGGGAGAGAACAAACCAGATCCCAGCTAAGGAGGAAATTAGAAAAAGATGATGGAAATGGATAGGACATACAGTACACAAGTCATCAGACTGCATCACGAGACAAGCCCTAACTTGGAATCCTGAAGGGAAACGGGAAAGAAGAAGGCCAAAGAACATATTACGTCGAGAAATAGAAGCAGATATGAAAAGGATCAACAGGAACTGGAAGGAGTTGGAAAGGATTTCCCAGGACAGGGTTGGATGGAGAATGTTGGTGAGCGGCCTATGCTCCTTCACGAGGAGTAACAGGCGTAAGTAAGTAAGTACTGTGTTGATGTAATTCGAAAGCTTAGAGAAATACATATTTGTCCCAGAGCTTACATTGATTATGACTAGCTCCTTTGGATATAAATCTTCGGATAATATATAATATGGTCAATGAAATATATATTCTGATGTTTGATAATTCCATAACCTTGAAAAATCAATAGGATGATCTAACTACAGTTATAAGTTATAATTAAGCTGGTTGGTGGAGAAGATATGTAATTTGGGATAATGATCTATGTGAAATAACCTTCTATGACCCAAATGGTTTAATCATCAATTTTCTATTTCCCCGATTTAGACAAGTTTGAAAAGACGTGAGCTATTCAAACTACTCCACATATGCATAATATCTTGTTTTGTAGATCTTTCATTTGGACTAACTGTTGGTAATTCTTGTTCTGAGGGACAATAAAAGCCTCAAGATTAAACCATTAAGCTTAGAGAACGTTAGTATATTCAACAAAACTTACAGATTTTCCTCAACTAAAAAAAATTTTTTTCGGGATGATTAAAAATGCCAGGAACAGTATAAAATGAAATTAGACAATTAAGGAGCTGATGACTGATTGTAAAAACCAAGCATTCATCAAACAGTACAAACATGAATCGTTTATCAAAAAAAAAAGAAAAGAAAGGAAAGTCGATCAAGAGTATTTACATCATAACATACCAATATCATCAATATTTCTTAAACTGACTATCAATCCAATAGCACTTCGATTTAATTCTTGCATTTTCTCCATTTCTTGTTTAACCCAATCATCTTTAGGTTTGGATAAAAGAACCGCTTTTAATGGTACAGCTAAAATTTCCATTTCTGATCATGATAAAAAAAGGATCAACAAAGATATCAGATTAAAAACGATTATTATCAGATAAAAAGCTTTAGTACAACAATAATGATGGTAATAGTTAGGACAAACACAATGGTCAATCTTGAGTACAATGCCAAATTAATCACAACTGGGAAAGTGAGTTCAAGGTCATAGCGCGAATATAAAAATATGTCGCCTATTGTCTTATCTTATTACGAAAAAAAAACAAATCTAAGCTACATATTCACTCAATGAATTGGTGATTTAGTGATTAAAGGATTCGATTTCAAACTATTAAGTCGTGAGTTCGAAACCCACTTCGGCCACTTTTATTTGAGTAAGAAAATAATACAACTAAGCCTTAAACTAAGAGAATGGCTCGAAGTGAATTACACGGATTTATACCTGATACAAAAGTGAATTTCTAAAAATCTTCCAACAAGATGTCAGCATGGGATAAAAATGTCAAATACTGGTTGTATTGATCTTTATTAAAGAGGACTTTCATTCGGTCAAGTTTTTTGCCGTATTAATTCAGTGAGATTTGTTGCCCTCAGAATAACATTGAGTTAGATTAATTCATTATTATTTGTCATTTAACTAGCTTTTGCTCAGTATGATATTGGCCTATATTACTTTCGTGATTTTCTGTCCAGGTGACAATTGTTTATTGAAATTATGAACTGATACAAGTTAGACAACCAGTGAAAGTCAGGAAGCACTGGACGGCCATCCCGTCCCAATATGAGACTCCCCATCAGTGCGCATCTACGACACCAGGAACCGGAAACGAACCCACAACCTTTGGTTTCACACACGAACACTTAACCTTTAGATCACTGAATCGGCATTTAACGGTGTTAATATCTAAGTTAAATAGATCCGCGATATTAAGTGACTATTTTCAATGGCCTTTGGTGGGCAACTGCCTCAAATGAAACATGGTTGAACCCCACCAGTCACAGCTTCTCACTAGAACTTCGAGAATCCCCTCTCAAAGGTTATCACTAGTGAGCACACATGCTCATGGTCGTTTTTGTCCTAGCGTGTAAGTCCTCAGCAGTCGATATCCACGAATCAGCATGTATTAATCGAACCCAGGACCATCATCCATTGTCTACGATGAGTTCAAGATTTCGATGGAAACTCTATAACCGTATACTGATGAACTTCCTTAATTATTGAAATTAATAAGTATGTAACGGAATAAACTTGGAATTTAGTTCGGGAGTTTTCTATCAAATGAATCTTTCTGACAAGATTTGTTTTGAAGCAATAGGAGACTAAGTGACTGTGAAGGAAGTTGTAATCAACCTAGTTCAAAGTATTCATCAGTATTAATCTGTTGATATTATAAATTATTTATTTATTTGAACACATAAACATTGGTACAAGGGGGCATCAAATACATATACGCCACACAATACCAATGAAGCTGGTAGTAGTTATCATTGATATGTGTGGGAGCAGTGATACTAACCGGGTACCCAAACCGAAGTAGGTGACTTTATCAAAGGTCCACACTCAGAGCCTTCAAATTGAAGGTTTTATTCACAAGATAGTGGTGCAAATATAGGAGATCCAGTCCCATAGTAGCCGGTCACCAACAATAGGTTCATGTGTCATTTTTGCCCTCAGGAACCTGAAGCTTATGTGAACCATAGATTTGGAATCAGGGTTTTCCGATTCCCCTGAGTAAATCCTCTATATCCACCAACCCGGGCATATCGCCGAACGTTCTCTTTTCGTCCTCTCAATTTCGTGAACACCCCTATTGAGAGAAGGGAGTGTGATTAGGTCTTCCCTGGCAGTGGCAATATACGTGCGGCCATGTGAGAGCACTTCGAGAGGGAGAGCGGACTCATCCCATCCTCGGCCGTACCAGGGCATAATACAACACACTACATCACAATCAGGTTTCATCATCTAATTGAATATGGTCACACAATATCGTAGAATGATTGAGGTTGGATATCAATAGCGTTGTTGGGTTAACATTGATTGGTTCAGGATGTCAGTGAGGCTCAAGAATCTCCTCAACCCCTTACTCATACTTAAAAAATAAACAAACGAAATACAACTAAACTCATCAACTTACTGGCAGATATTTCCATTGGTCTTATTATTGAAATACGTTGAAGTATTTGATAAGATAATAATTTTATATCAGTATGATCACGTAGACCGTCAATTAATGATTCCAGAAAATTCGGTATTACAAGTTTATCTAAACATGTCTCCAGTAGTGTGGACATGCATTCAAATGCACACTGTGGAGGGAAAAAACGCAAATCATAATAAAGATAGAGTGTTAAAGTAGGAATGAAGATTGCACATAAAAATATAAAATAGTAATAATTAAATATCATTTCAAGTTTAAAGATGAGAACAACACACAACGAGTAAATAGTATACTGCGAATTGTCTTCAAATGAGGAACATTTTAAGCTTAGCTAGATATTTACGGTAGTGTTCTGCTCTCCGAGATAGACGGTTTACTTGTTCAAATTGGCAATGACGATTAGTTCATTTCTTAGCCAACGAAATTCACTTGTCCTTTGGATCACTTCTGATTGCTATCGACTGACTTTCTCATTAGGCTACTACTGATAAGATCACCATACGACGGGATAAAAGACATTTTGATTTGTCGACTTATGTATAAAATTTCAAATTATATGATTAGTACATCAACTGTATCGTATTAAGGAAGGAGTCTAAGATGGAACTACGTAAGAACAACGAAAGTAAACGATGTTGTGCAAAACAATAAAGTTCAATGCCATTTTGGATTACTGCAGCACTGGAAATTCCGAAGGTTGTGGGTTTATGTCCCATGGGTAGGATTGTGGATGTGCGGTGTAGAGGAGTTCGATACCAAAACAAATGTTGAACTAAGTTATGTTGGTAAACGCAGAGTATAGGGTTGGAATCTGTACACATAGCTGACACCAATGGTTGGAGACGTTGTGTGTTTCGAAGTCTTTGCTTTTCATTAGATTTAAACCACTCCTTCTGTAAACACAATCATTCTTCTTGAATTCTATTATCTATGAATAACTTGTCTATTACGACTGAAAATGTCACTAGTTTTAATATTATGGCATGTCGCTGTGGCGACTTAAACCAATGTCAGATTCTGCATAAGATTAAATAACTGATGTAGACAACGACATTGCTTTCGAATGATCCTTCTACGATATGATATTGGTTAATGAAGGTGTTCAAGCTATAAAGTATTGACATCAGTTGTAGGTAGATTAGCTGATAATATGACTACTTATTACAATTGTGAAATATGACAATTTGTGTCATTCACAAAACCCATTTTATAAATAATAATATGGAAATATTTCTCCTACATATCAGTGGTATAGTCACATTTTACGAAAGACGAAATGAAACAATATTGTCAAACGTTTAGTTACGACTGATACTTCAAAAACACCTATCTGAAGTCGGAGACGCGAGGCAGGGACTTTCAAACAAATATTTATGGGGATCGTTGAATTCTTAAAGTACAAATCACGTACTGATTTTAGTTAAGTCACATTTGAAAAGCAAAAGCACTGGATAGTTGTTTCGTCCTAGTTGGGACTTTTCGGTAGTGTGTATCCACGAACCCAGAACCGTTAACTCGTGTGTGAGATTTTAACCTTTAGATCATTAAACCGGAATCTAATGATGTACACGGCTACTGAGTAGTTTAATACTAAGACGAAATAATTGTCCAGTTTTTCCTCACTTTTAGAGGTGATTTAACTGAGATCAGTCCGCAGTGTGATTAATCAAAATATTTTATAAATTAAATGCAAACAAAAATAAAACTCACCTTCCTCAAATCTAAACCATCGTCTTCATGATGTTTGAATGGACCCATCTCTACTTCACGGATCAATTCTTTTCGTATAACTGTTTCTGCACATAACATATCTAATAGAGTTGATGTTTCTGATGAACCAGGCAATTGTATAGGTATATTAAGTAATGGACGTACAAGACCAGGTCTATGATGTGCCACAGTATTCAATGCAACAAGAGCTGCACGTCGAACTGATAATTCCTGATCTGCAAGACGACCAAGAAAATCTATCAATGCAGGAGGATTACCAGCTCGTAGAGCTGATTCAATGTCATTAGTCACAGGTGATGATGGCATAGAAGTTTCCTGAGATGGAACCGTAAAATATGTTACGTCTGGTAGATCGTAACGCATACGACCGGTATATTTTGTCATTGTACCTGCGTCTAAATCAGTAACGATTAGAATGAATTTCACCGCAGTAACTAATGTTGAACGCATTAAAACTGACGATGAAGCCTCAGGTGAATTCAGCTATAAAATAAAGAGTAGAAAATGATTACACAGGTAAGTGTAGTGAATATTTTTGTTGGCTAAAAAACAATGATAAATTATGTGTGAACCTTCTTAACATGTCAGGTAGAGATTTATGTACTTAGCTAGGTGAACAGAAAAAGCACCCGAAAATCCTTGATACCACACATCATATTACACTTTGAAAAATGAATGTTACCAATTCGTAGAGGTAAAATACTTATATTAAATCTAGTTTATAATAAACTCATAATGAAGGTAATGAGCTCAACAGTAATAATCGAATCTCAACGTACAGAGGTACAAAAATGACCGGTTAAATAGGCTAAATCAGGACTAACCGATAATAGAACAGTCAGCTTGCAAATAGGTTGGTAGGGTGAACTCTAGCTACTCATGAGTAGTTACAGTACAATACACATATTTTAGAGAAATATGTGTAGGCTCTAGGTGATGCTACACAAGATAATATCAATAGAATAATACTTAATTTCCCGAAAAAAAGCCCGAAATTAACCAAATAGGTTTAACAAGTGATTGTAGAAAACGATTAATTGTTATTTAACTGAATATTAGAAACAAACAAAATACTATCTATCAAAATTGGAAGTATGGTACAAAAAGACAATTAGTAAATGTTACCTGTTGACGTAGACGACCAACTAGTTGCGGAGGATCGACCAACGTTAATCGGCCAAGACATTCTGAGACTAGGTTTCGTGTACCCTCTTCCGATAAACCAGAACACGCTAATAAAAGGGACCTAATACAGAATGAAAATACGAAAACAAAATATTTGTGAAGAGGCTACAACTATGTTATTTAGTGGAGATTACTGAGCAAACAACAACCATACTCATGTAACCGTAATTTACTTTAACCGATTACCGATTTATTTAGAGCTTTTAACCATGCTTTATGAGTAAAGATGTAGTGATAAGAAAACACGGTTTTTAAGTGGAAAAGGGTTCGACTCTATTTTTAATTTAACGGCAGCTAAACAAAAACTGTGGTTGAAGTGATATGTATGTTAACTAGTTGGAAGCATTCGACAGAGTGCTGCTTGAATTGTATTTCGGGTTAATTGGCGCTCATCAACAAGTTATAACTGTAATTTTGTTATTCGAACCACCGTCACTCAACTTTACAAACTGGGAATGTTACTACTGGGCAGCTATTCATCTCGATCAAAGAAGCATTACATTAACCACTATTACACATTGATTAATGCATTTTGAAATGATACGCTGTTTACAGTATTTGATTAAAAAGTAAAATGATTCTGTGGGTTTTTTTAGGTTCATCGTATCAATGGAGTAATACGGTAGTAACACAAAACCGACAAGAGTCTAATAATTACTTGCGTAATTCAGGATTAAAACCTAGAAGCCATAAATAGTAGTCTTCTGCAGTCAAAAATTATTCAATGTTTCAAAGTTGGATAGATTTTTATTAGTACACTACTTTACCACTTACAATTGAAGAATAAATGGAAGTAAAACAACTGTCAGATAAAATTAAAGCCACAATTCTCAAAACAAACGTTCTGTTGTACGGATCTGAAACTTAGAGTACTACCATAATCAAAAAGGTACAGGTATTGATAAACAGCTATAAAATCAAGATACTTCAGATCCGTTGGCCAGATATCATAAGTAACAACTTACTATGGCAGAGAACAAACCAGCTTCTAGCTGAAAATGAATTTAGGAAATGACTCGGGAGGTAGATAGGATACACAATGCGGAAATCATCAAACTGCATCATGAGGTAAGCGCTAACTTGGAGTGATGAAGGTAAAAGGAAAAGAGGAAGATCGAAGAATCTAACACGTCGAGAATCGGAGGCAGACATCGAAGACGATGAATAGTACTTGGGAACAACTGGAAGGAATAGTTGAAGATAGAGTTGCTTGAAGAATCCTGGTTGGCGGCCTATGCTCCTGCACGAAGAATGACAGGCATAAGTTAAGTGAATCTATTGTCAGGTACCGTGCCACTGGCGGCGAAATCCGACCTAAAGCGTCCTCGAGGCGCTACTAGATAATAGGGACAATCCTGCTAGCCAAATTAGGTGGCCGACGGAAATAGGACTAATCACCCACTATGTGGTCTTTGATTAACTCGGGTCCCAACTCGAGGCTCACTTAACCACATCGAGCCACTTGATGTGCATGCATATGAATAAGAATTGCAGAAGCCTTCGGGCCTATGTAGTTCACGCATGTAGGTATATGCAAAGGGTGTGCGTGCAGTGTCGTACAGTGGGGACGTTAGCTGAAACATTATCTGCCTCATGTCTAACAAAATCAGCATCCTAATCTATCAGGTTGAAGACATAATAAAAAGATATGGTAGCAAATACTAGGAACAAGTGACCGACAACCTCCTCTGAGAGAATGCTTCTGCTTATGTGTGTGTCAGGAAGTACTGCGGAGGTAGCTATGGGCTGAATGATATGCATGTAATGTGTAGAAGACAGTCTGTTGTAGCAAGTACCTTTCTACGGAGGCGGTGAACATCTACCCTTCCAAGTGGATAAATGTGCATTTATGTATGCTATAGGATAAAACCTGTGTGTATGTAACGTGTATTTGATCACAGGGTAGGTATATCTGTATATATGTCAAATCCATGCGTTACTTAGTATGCATGCAGACTCTCTAGGGTAAATAAAAACCTTGAAAATCCTTTACTTGCCCTTCTTACGATACCTAGGTACGCACAAAAGACCTACTGGACAAAGGTTCTCTAAAAACCACATCCATGCGGTTTTTGTGAGCCTTGAAAACATGGAACCCATTCAAGAAGTGCCTACATAAGCCTTCCCAAAAATAGCTTTACAAACCAATCTAGCTGAAACACTATACCATACAACCCATAAATAGCTCGAAAACAGAAAAATACAATTAATTTAATAAGAAAGAACAATACATGTTAAAAAAATAGAGTACCATTGGTAAAATGTTCTTACGACCACTAATTAACTGAATATAAAGCTGATTACAAGGGATTTAAAGATCGATCTGTTTAGTAGTAAGTCAACAATGCAACAGTTGTTTTCATTAATCTACAGGACTGATGTAAACATAATAATATAAAGTGAAATCGACAAAAACAAATTACGCATATGTAGGTAGGTAAAGCATTGATTATGACAATCGTCAATTCTTATTATCACTATACCATGTATCTTTAATGGGACAAAATTTTCAGCTCTCAAAATGAATACGTGCAGCTTTTAGTCTGATTTCAATGATTGAGATCAAGTGTATTTATGAGCCTTGGTGAAAAACTCTTACCACATTGAATCTAGATAATGTTTCAAAGATTGATTAGGATCCAGACCAGCAAGATTAACAAGAACCTGTTAGAAAAAAATTTTAATGCAAAAAGAAAATGGAACAATCATAATGAACAAAAAGAGAAAAGAACAACTAAATGCAGAATATTTCATAAATTCAAGAATGATATTGTTGAATTGTGACTAACAATATTCAGATTCATTGATTGAACAACAACAAAACCTAGTGAAGTACACTACAATGAATTCTAGTGAAAAAAAGACCAATAGAATTAAACTATATGCCAGACATAAGGTAGGTACCCATTGACGATAAAAGAAGGCATTCTCACTCAATTTCATGGATTAATACAATTTAGTGCTAAACCCATTATTCAATAAACCTGCACCAATCAATAATATTCGAGCTAAAAAAAAGGCTCACCACTTAGAACTCATTAATTTCATTATCACTTTCTTCTTACTTAACTATCAATTATGAAACTGTATTAGTCTTTTATGTAAACATGACCCATACTTTCTATTGGTTCATTTTGTTGCGTCTCTGTTGTTGTTCAGTAGACATGGATTTATGGCGAGACTATAATTTATGGAAGAACCAATCAAGTATAAGATAACGGGTCTTGGACTTTAGCGCACAATTCGTTCATCCATTCGACTAAATAGAATTTTGTCATTATCACTGATGAAAACACTAAATCCAATTCCTAACCCGTAATTCCTCACACTGGTTGATAACCCTCATTTAACACTAGTAAGTAGGTGGATGTTCTGAAGGTTACGTTAGCGTCATCCGTAAATTACAACCTTTGAGTTCCGAACAGTTACCTGACATGGGTCGGTTTATAATATCAATGAAACTGACTGTTAAAGACACATGAAGAACGAAAATTGATTTAAACCGTGATGGTAACTATATGTTAACTTCTGCTAAACAAATTGACTAAAAGGAGAACATTTAAACTATAGTTGGTAACGGAATCCAGGATGTACGTTCCATCCTCAGATGGGTGTGCCTTCGCACAAAACAACCCTATTTATTTTTTAAAAAATTCTAAACAGCGATAATTCATCAAAGAACACACTGCAATATTATGACAAACTTTGCAAAAAGCTAACCTCTCTGAGAGCTTGAATTAAATAATATAATTGATGTTGACTTGTGTTATTTTTACTACCACTGTTGGCACCGATACTGCTGCTGCTAGTAAGAGATCCTGAGGTGTTTGTCAGTTGCATATGGTGTTTTACAGCTTGTGAAATGCTTTCAATTAATGGTGGCAAAAGAATTTCGGGTTTACCAACAACCATTCGACCTAAACTTAACGCTGCTGCTGGTTTAACTTCTTCGCTGACCATAAATCCATTGGATGATATTGTAGAATGAGATAAACCGGTTGGAGTATGAGGTGTTTGTTGGTAATAAGGTGAATTGTTGGTTGATGACAGGCAAGAAATTAATAGATCACGAAGATCGGTACGTGAACTCAAATCACTAGAGGGAAAAAAAGGGAAGATAAAAACAGAACAAACATACAAGGAGGAAAGATGCAACAGAACTATGACAAGAAAATTACAGGACAAATGATAATTTTAGGACTTCCCAGTATGAAAACGGAGAAAAGAAAGTATTGTAAACAAGACACTAATTTTGCAAAGGTGTTGTAGAGCTTGTTGAATTTAATAGTTTACATTACAGACAATCATTGAAAGCCAGGAAGTAATGGATAATTGTTTCGTTCTGGTATGGGCCTCTACAATAGTACACATCGACAACACTGGCAGGAATAGAACCTACGACCTACCTCATTAGAACAACAAGATTAACACCGAATTCATAGAAGCAGTCACTTCGATGGTAGTAATGTATAAAAGAAAGATTGTATACAAGGATATGATACAAGGAGAAAGAATTAGTTCGTAGAAAGAAATATATAGTCATTTTAATCTCACGAATTAAGAGAAGACGAAAAGTGTATACACCTACGCCATTGTGATCGATTCTGAGAGTTTATGAAGTATGATCAAGTTTCAAAAAATCGATTTCTCTTGTAAACTATCGTAGATATATATCCAAAGTCTGTAAACATATCTAATTTCGGATAACTTTGACCAACAATCGGTAACTTCAATCCCGTGTGTCTTTGATTTATAAGCCTAAAATTACTTGCTCGATAGGTTAATGATACTCAAATAACTTTATGATAAAAAATATAACTGAACATGGATTCTCAATTTTTTCATGGGGTTCATCACATACGATTATATTTAGGAAACAATATTTTTTTTGTAGTTAAGGTGAACAGTTTGACATTATCGATAGTGAATGTTACAATAGGATAGTTGTTCATTAAAATTTATAAAGATTACACATTCTATTTAAGCATTTCACCAGCAATCTAAGTAAAGTTTTCAACAGTGATTATATAAAGAGTTAACAATCATTCCGACACCTAAGAACACTTAAATGGTATTAATTAACGATTAGAAAATATAAAAGCATCCAAATCAATAATTTCGTTTTCTTTTCTCAGTCATAATAAGACTCATAAATCGCTAGCCTTCAAGTTGGACTAAAAGGCCTATTGTGTAAAGATCTTAAAACAGATTGAGACAAATTTTCCTCTGTTTATTAATGGAAATATGGATCAAGGAATTAACAGTGGCGAGGTGAATCGCTCATTGGTAACATCTCAGATTATGAATCTGGGTAACGCAAGTTTGGATACTTTAAGTTTCCAAAAAGATTACAGGTACACCTTACGGATAAATATAAATTAGTGTGAAATTTAGATCGAGCAGAGTTTTCTGTCGGTAACCTCTAAGTAGACAAAAAAAATAACCAGGATATGATGAAGAAAAACTAACTGATCAATCAATAGTTATTCCGACATTCGTTTTTATGTTATAGATTAATATTCATAGGAAAAGAATGAACTATTTAAAAAGGCACTCGGATTTAGTGTATCAATGATATTATGTAACTATAATGTAACTTAATCACTTGAGTAATAAGCTTTGAAATCAATGTTTAGTTATGGTTCCTTATATAAAGGCTAGTGATACCATAAATTAAAGAACTTGCATATTTAACTATACAGGAAATGTTTTTAGTGATTGGATAATACTTTATATGAATGGTTCTTATAGAAAGAATACACCAATGATTAACATAATCATAAACTCTTTCATTCCTTTAAAAAGATTTGAAATTTTCCCGCTGGAATGTAGCAATTATATGCAGTTGAAGAGAACCAAATAGGACGAAACGATAGGTGTTCTTAATTCCACTGTTCGTTATTAGAAAAGATTTGCTTAAAAACGGACTCTTAGTTAAGATTCCAAAAAATCTGATTAGGGCTTATGTGTGTGTGTGTCAACATAGTTATGGTGTTATTATCTACTTGAAGTTATGTAATAACACACAGAAAAATAAATAAGCATTTATAATAGATGAAATGTGGCTAGCAGTGGAATCCAGAACGTGTGAGATAATACAAACCGTTTCGAATTAAATTAGATTTTATAACTGTTGCAAAAGTGAGTGACTATTTGAATACAGTAGTTCAGCGGATAAAGTAATGCAGTTTGAAGCCTGGATTCCACTCTCATCCATTTTTATCTAAACATATTAACATTCGTAAAAAGAGGCACCAAAAATATATGCGCCAGATAAATCATTCAATTTGGGTGAATACTTGAATACCATCCGGGTGCCCAAACCGAAGTAGGTGGCTTTCTTAGGAGGCCACACCTTGAGTCTTTCACCTAGAGGTCTAATCCACAAGACAATGGAATATCGTTAGGAAATGCAGTCCCATGGCAGCCGGTGACCAACAATAAGCTTATACGCCATTTGTTCCCTAAGGATCCTGGAGCCCATGTGCACTATTGGTTTAGAATACGAGTTTTCCAAATCCCCAAGGTGAATCCTCCATTCTATATCAAATTGTGTTATAATAGCTATATCGAGGCAATACGGACAGTATGGACAATATGTCAATCAAGATGGATCAAAATTCAGTCAGAAAATATATCAACAAAGGGATAATTCAAATTGAATTAGAATAAGTATATACTTTAAACTTACACTTTACGACCTAATTCACCCAAAATAAGCAAATTCAGATATAATTGTGTTGGAGATGTAGAAGGATCCTGAAGATAAATGCAAACACACATAAATAAATATAGGACAGATATGAATCAAATATGAAGTACCATTAAGCTTGAATAACAATGATATTTCTTAATTGCATCACTATATTTACAGTGTGAAATTATTTCTCATTATCTTATTATTATTATTGTGGTGGGTGCTAATGATGTCTACAGATATAAGTAGTATGTATCATCAATCGAAAGTGAAATGCTTGGCGGCAGAAGGTTGAGAAAATCAGAGAGAAGAGAATGAAAACAGAGAATGATCGGTATGGAAACGAAGGAACAACAAAGTTTGAAACATTTGATGTATAATTTGCAAATGAAGTATTACTGTATGGTTTTCACATTTGGTTGTCCCCACTTGTGTTTTCGTTCACTACACTACCATTAGTAATATTATTCTCACCTTCACAGATACAGTATATGATAAATTATGTCATACTTAAACAAGAAATATGTAATAATATTTTCATTACCACCAATGGTGAATAATTGAGAAGCTTATCAAAAACTGTAATTACAATAATAACTGGAAAAAATAATACTAACAATAAATTACCTTGACAGATATTAACAATTGATCAACCACATTGTTTACACTACTCAGTAAACCATCGAAATGAGATATTGATAATGATGATGAATTTGATGAAGTCATCGGTAGTTCAGCTAACAGGGCAGCCATACATTGAGCTAAACTAGGCAAAGCGTCTCGATGTATACCGGAAGTTCGATTCGATGTAGTATTATTAATATTATTACTACTGCTAATAGCAGAGTTGTGACCAAACAAAGAAGTATTATTATTAATATGATTATTTTCAATGGGATCAAGTAAACGCGATAAGAAGAGCTGTATGTAGTGTGAATAAATGAAAAAAGAAGTTTAGGTAACAACAACAAAATTAACCAAACAGGCGGAAAAAAAACACTGGTCAAAATATTCATCAAGAACAAAATGTTAACGTTATTTCTGAGACATAATAGTCGATATCCCTCTAGATTTAGCAACCAGAATTTCACTACTCCCCACGTATACTATTCCATATATAGTTTAGTGTCTTCAATTTTAAATAAGAAAGAAAGATTGGTTCAGCGAAGAGTTCTCTTTTCGGCGAATTCATTTTCAAAGCTGTACAATCGCAAATATATATACTTATTTTTACAGGGTGATAATAATACCGATAAGAATCTCGCCACAAGAATACGAAGAATCTGTAGCCCCGAGGTCGTAGAGGAAGAATTGAACCTTTTAAAAGAGGCTCTTAACAAAAACGGATATCCTCCTACATTCGTTGATAAGAACGTGAAGGCGGAAATGCCAAAACCACAAACAATTACAGTAGAAAAGAAAATTCTATACATGAACATCGACTTCAAAGGTGACAGAGCCGCATATATCTTAAAGAGGAGAATTTCGGATTCTTTAAAAAGAACATTCTTCGCAGCAACATTGCGAATATTATTCTCTAGCCGATCACTGTTCACCAATAATCTGAAAGATAAATTATCGCATCTGACCAACTCAATGTGCATTTACCAATTTACCTGCTCTTGTGGAGCTAGGTATATAGGTCGTTCGATGCGTACTTTATCCAAAAGAATTCAAGAACATTATCCGGCTCAATAAGAAGTTCTATAATCGAACACCTTGTGAACACAGGTCACTCAATCAAGACAGACTCTGCGTTCAAAGTCATCTACAAGGTAAGTAGAAGCCTTCCTAAGACAATTAGACTGCATCTTCTTTGCATTGCCGAGGCAATAGCCATACATTTTGAAAAACCAGAATTATGTGTACAAAAGAGACTGGTACAACCTCTTCTTCTACCATGGTCTTAATGTATTAAAAAAAATTTTCTCTTTCTTCATACTCTTGTTCCTTTACAGCCACCTGCTTCACCTTCCATCTTCCCTTCAAATCTTCTACCCCAAACCGGTTTGTTTTTATTTCCACGATCATTCCGATTACACTTCATCTCTGTTTCAACATTTTACTGAACTTTCCTTGTTTTAAAAATTTTTTCTAATACCCTTGTTTATTTAACCTCACTTTCACCATATATAACAGAAGTTTATTATCAGTATTATTATCACCCTGTAAAAATAAGTATATATATTTGCGATTGTAAAGCTTTGAAAATGAATTCGCCGAAAAGAGAACTCTCCGCTGAACCAATCTTTCTTTCTTATTTAATGTCATAATGGGTGTATTCCGTTTATTAAAAAATTCCAAGGACCCTTCGACAGTAAATGAACTTAATGAGTTTCTGCGTTATTCTTTAATTTTAACCAATGATGCGTCCCGAATAACCTTGATCTAAGGCTAATGCACACTTCACTCCCATTGGATCCCCCATTCTCAGAAGAAAAAGACGGTCGAAAAGCTTGTATTAATAAGATTTGTATTAGTTTTGACTATACTGTTGTTGATATCTTAAATGAACTTCGATAAATATTAGTTGGGATGCGTGCATCCTATGCGGATTGCCTCTATGTAGTCAATATAACACAGGTTTACACAGAATAGGTGTAGTGTGGCCAGCAATGAAATCCAGGACACGCGCTTCGTCCTATTTGTGACTCATCAGCAGGGTGTACCTGTCACATTTCATAGTTGGCATTCACTTCGGCATTTGAAACCAGTACCATTTCCTTCCTATGTAAACGTGTTATCTAATTAACAACTCTGGGATGGAGGCATATTCAGCGAACGAGTCCCGAGTAAGATGAAACATGCATCTTGAATTCGATTGTTGGTAACATTCCATCTATTTTATACAAGGTTCTATCTATTTTCATCCACGTAGCACAGGAACTATCTCGGATTTATAGGCGAATACCGGGTCAAATCACACCATAAAATAGAAAACCATGGTTAGACACAAACACGTCGAAAGTAACACTGAAACAAAGTAACCTGTATATAACTGTTTAACAATAAATTAGAAATGATAATAAGATATATGGTAATAGTCAATGGATCAAATGGAACATAGAAACATAGCAGTCAAGTTAATTAGTAGTTATACAATAAAAATATCTGTAATAATAGTTCACAAGAAATGTCTTGAAGGTTACCATCCCTTCAGTATTCGCTCCGTCACAATGATTAATTTATAAGTATTTCGTGTCTGATGGTTGATACAAGGAATATCAAAATATAAATTTCGACAGACAATTTAGTTAGTAAAAATTTACAATTCTATCAACTGATTTGCAGCATTTACCTAGTAACCTGCGCTCAACCAGTATTCCTTACTTAGTGGTGCCAACATAGACGAGTATCACTTTGAAACAAATATCAAAATAATCAAAATAAATTTACCGTCAACTGTTGTCGGCCATTTGGATCTGTTTTCTTAAGATGACCAAAAGCACGCATTAAACGAAGCATTCCATCCAAAGCTTGACCACGTAATAATGGAGAATGTGCTAAATTGATGAGACATTCGAGAAATGGTTCTTGTATAACAATCTGAAAAACTTGACTAGCTAAAGGATTAGGTGATTCCAAGAATAAGGAGGTAAGGTGAAGAGCGAGCTAGAACAAACGAAAAAAGGAATTGAAAAATTGATCGATTTTTCGAAAGTGAAATGTTTTTTATATCTCAAACAAACATGTCCAACCCAATTGGACAAAGCAGTATGTTTATAAAACTGGTGGAACGCAGTAAAGTTGAAAGTACCTATTTTAACTACGAATCCATCAATATTTCTGCCTAAACAATAGACAAAAAGGCGAGTTGATAATTATCGACTAATCTTAATTAAACAACCATCAAAAATCAGAAATCACTGGACAACTATTTCGTCCTAGTACAAGATTCCACAACACTACACATCAGCGACTTTCAGGTCTTCCGGAGAATTTTTAAGCATCTAGACCATTGAGCTGATATCTATTAGTTTACATACCAATCAGTGACTGATTTCAAGAGAAAATTCACAGACTTCTAGCGAGTAGGCGTTACCAATTCAGCAGAACCATATCAGATGTGTCAGTCAAGCGTCGATGGCATTGGAAGACAATTATGGACATATGGTAGATTTTGAAATGGTGGAGATTTGTAGATCAGGTGTATGATTTTGATAGTTCCGTTCTCTGTTCTCCAGCTCAGAGAACAAAACCTCATCAAAATATGGTGGATTGTCCAGCTTTAAAAAAATATTCTGTTTGGTTTAAATGGTTTCTCAGCACGAAAACAGCGTTGGTAAAATATCAAGAGACATTTATCAGAAACACTCATTTCTGATGAAGATTGATTCGGCTTGCGATTTTTAACCGAGTTTTTATTGACAGCAAGTATATCGGAGAAAGAATATACACAACCATAAATGGGTATGCAAAAGAAAATTTACTAGCTTACTCAGTATAAGTAATTCAGCAACCAGGCTGGAATTTTCCAGTTAAAAAGTACTAATCACGATTGGTACAAGTTCCTACTGTGCAGCAGCCGTATAGTATCCATTTGGAGACTATAGAGGATATACACATCTAAGTTTAAAATACTTTCGTCAGTCAGTTGGCCACAATGTAGGATCAGGTATATATAACCGTCAGTTCAAGTTGCCACACCTCATTAGCACAACTTAAACTACTTTAAGAGGGGGCAAAGCGAGACACGAGCGTATGTGCATTATTTACCCATTTATCATATTAAATGATATGAACTATATAAATTCAACATACACACAACCTTCTTACACCTTTTAGACTTTACACATCTGATCCGTTAACATGTATATCTTAAATATCCTAATCTCAAAATATTTCGTATAAAACTTTTAATATAATGTTATCAAGTGAATTTGGGACTACACAATAAAATTACTCATCATAGACCTACTGATGAAAATAACGTTCTCGTCGACTGAATTCTCGGGCATTAATCTCCTTCCAGGAGGTCCACTTATCGACTTAGAATACGCAGATGATATAGCCCTGTTTGGTAGAGACGCTGGGTCTTTTCGTAGCACTGAGCAACAATGCCAGAATGTTTGGAATGCGCTTCTCTTCCTCTAAATGCAAGTTGTTGCTTCAGGACTGGTCTGCGTCAACACCTGAACTAAGGATAAGGAGTGAAATGGTCGAACGCGTTCACAACTTCACACATCTTGGAAGTCTGATCAGCCCCAATGGGTTGGTGTCTGACGAGATCTCAGCACGGATTCGCAAAGCACACTTGGCTTTTACAGACTTACGTCACCTATGGCTAAGGCGACGTGTCCGTCTATCAATAAAAGGACGAGTATACTAAGCGGCAGTTCGTTCTGTTCTACTTTACGGCTGCGAAACGTGGCCATTTAGAGTAAAAGATACTCGTAAGCTACTAATACTTGATCACAGATATCTTAGAAATATTGCTCGCAACTGTTGGGATCACCGAGTAAATCATAGTGAGGTTAGATACAGGGTATTAGGGAATGATGATGGTAAATCAACTGATGAGGTTGTAAATCTTCATCGACTGAGATGGTTGGGTCACGTGTTATGTATGCCCGAACACCGATTACCACGACGTGCAATGCTAACCGGTGTTGGGGATGGTTGGAAGAAATTTAGGCGCGGCCAAAGCAAAACGTGGCATCAGTCCACAAAGTCACTAACTCCTAGTCTGAGCCATGTTGGGAGATGCACACTACTTGGTTGGGGTCCGCGTGACTATCATAACCAATGGTTGGAGACTCTTGGTGAGATGGTTTAGAATCGATCACAATGGCGTAGGTGTATACATTCCTAGTATTCCGTTAAACGGTGAGATTAAAATCGCTTCATATCTTTCTTCCTACTAACGAATTCTTTCTTTCTGTACTATGTCCTTATACGCGATCTTTCTTTTATATATTACCACCATTGAATTAACCACTTCTATGAATCCAGTGTTCATCTTGTTGTGCTAATAAGGTATGGAAACTTGGACCGATGCATATATGTGCCTGGTCCTACGTTGTTGTTGACTGACAATAAAATTACACTATGAAGTATATACAGTTAGTTATTGAGGAGTAGGTATTCATACAGTAGGAGAGTTATATTCTATTACAAAACATATCAGAAGAAAGAATATGTATTTTTACTATTCACTTACTTGTGTTGTTTGTAAATCATGTTCGGTAATTAATAATTTTGGCATTAAATTCAATATAGTCATTATACAATTATCATCCAAACTATTAGGATATTTTAATAAAATTGTATATAAACAACGAAGTGTTATCATACGCAAATTACGATCATTTTTTGATAAAAATGTTCCTAATTCATGCGATGAACCAGGCTAAAGTGATAACAATCACACAAAATAATTAAGAAGAAGAAAAAACAAACAAAAGTGAAAATCGAGTTAATGAGAAGTTAAATTTATAGATACATAATCAACAGACTAATATATGATGATATAGACTGAATCGATCTAGGTAAGTGAGCAAGTTATACACAACATAGAAGAACTGGGTATAGGTGTATCTGTATCATTACAAGTTGTCACATACTATATCAACACAATGAGTTCCCTAGAAGTGTAGAAACAGCAGGACAAGGTTAAACAAAGACGATATGATTAGAGAAGCAAGAATGAATTTGTGGTACGGCCGATGGTGTGGATAGTTAGCCATCCCTCTCGAAATGCTGACATGGCCACGAGGATACAGCCACTGGTAGGGGAATCCTAGTCACTGTCTTACCTAGGTGTATTTTTACACAATTGAGAGGACGAAAAGCGAATATCAGGTGGAGAATTAGACCGAGTTAATAAATACGATGGAGGACCCACCTAGGAGTGTCGGAAAACCCTGATTCTAAACCAATAGTGCACATTGGCTTCAAGATCCTTAGGGAACAAATGGCGTACAGGCCTGTTGTTGGTAACCGGTTACCATGAGACTGAATCTCCTAACGTTGCTCCACTGCTTTGAGGATTAGATCTCTAGGTAAAAGGCTCGCGGTGTGGCCTCTTAAAAAAGCCACCTGCTTCGCTTTAGGCGCCTGGGTAGTATCACAGCCTTAACACTACTTTTGTTTTGCCCATATATATTTCCGTATGCCTTTGTACCAATGATTATGTGTTTAAATACATAAATATCAAACCATGAATTAAGATAACTATTCCTGAAACTCCTCTACAGTTACTGCCGGTCCTAAGCCCGGGTGAAGGAGGAGGGTTTGGCATAGGGTTAGCGACCCCATTCCATAGAAAACTAACTCGCTAAAAAAACGCTAACAAATTGATTATAGGCGGTACAATATTTCCACACAAACGTATACACAATGCTACACACGTCACACCGGATCACACCACAGAGAACCAGATAGATCATATTTCCATCAATAAAAATTTCCGAAGGACAATGGAAGATGTGAGAAGCAGGAGAGGAGCTGACGTAGCTGGAGTTCATCACCTAGCGGTGGCCAGGAAGAAACTGAACCTAAAGAAACACTGGACAACTGGACAAACAGCATTACAAATACGTGGAAGAACTAGCAACGACGGCGGAAAAAGCTGCTAGAGAAGGAAATATGAAACAGCTTCACGATACAACGAAGAAACTGTCAGGGAAATACAATAAACCAGAGAGACCGGTCAAAGACAAAGAAGGCAGACCAATTACTGAAATTCAACAACAGCGGAACAGATGGGTAGAATACTTCGAGGAACTCCTGAATAGGCCGGCTCCAATGAATCCACCGGACATCGAAGCAGTACACACAGATCTTCCTATGGATGTCAATCCACCAACGACGGGGGAAATTAGAATGGCCATCAGACAAATCAAGAGCGGGAAAGCAACAGGACCTGACAATATACCAGCTGAAGCACTGAAGTCAGACATCGAAGTAACTACAAACATGCTTCAACTTCTATTCAAAAAGATTTGGGAGGAGGAACAAGTGCCGATGGACTGGAAAGAAGGACACCTCATCAAGATTCCAAAGAAAGATCTGAGCAAATGTGAAAACTACAGAGAAATCACACTACTGTCAGTACCAGGAAAAGTCGTTAACAGAGTGTTGCTGAACCGGATGAAGGATGCAGTAGACGCCCAACTTCGAGATCAACAAGCTGGATTCCGTATGGATCGGTCGTGCACAGACCGAATTCCGACACTACAGATCGTCGTCGAACAATCAATTGAGTGGAACTCGCCACTGTACATCAACTTCATTAATTATGAAAAGGCACTTGACAGTGTAGATAGGAGGACGTTATGGAAACTTCTTCGACACTACGGAGTTCCTGAGAAGATTGTCAATATTATCCGGAACTCATATGATGGACTACAGTGCAAGGTCGTGCATGGAGGACAGCTGACAGATGCATTACAAGTAAGGACAGGAGTCAAACAAGGCTGTTTACTCTCCCCCTTCCTCTTTCTTCTGGTGGTGGACTGGATTATGAAGACCTCGACATCTGAGGGAAAACACGGAATACAATGAACAGCTCAGAATCAATTAGACGATTTGCACTTCGCAGATGACCTGGCCTTCCTATCGCATACACATGAACAAATGCAGATAAAGACAGCCAGTGTAGCAGCAGTCTCTGCATCAGTAGGCCTCAGTATACACAAGGGGAAAACCAAGGTCCTCAAATACAACATAGAGAACAGCAATCCAATCACTCTTGATTGCGAAACTCTGGAAGATGTAGAGTCCTTCACATACCTAGGAAGCATCATCGATGAACAAGGAAGATTAGATGCAGATGTAAAGCCGAGGATTGACAAAACAACGGCCGCATTCCTACAATTGAAGAACATATGGAACTCAAAACAACTGCATATCAACCTACATTAAAGTCAGAATCTTTAATACGAACGTCAAGATAGTTCTACTGTACGGAGTTGAAACTTGGAGAACTAATACAACCATCATCTCAAAGGTACAAGTATTCATAAATAGTTGTCTACGCAAGATACTAAACATCCATTGGCTGGATATCATCAGAAACAGCCTTCTGTGGGAGAGGACAAACCAGCTTCCAGCTAAGGAGGAAGTTAGAAAAAGATGATGGAAATGGATATGACATACATTACGAAAATCACCAAACTGTATCACGTGGTAAGCCCTAACTTGGAATCCTGAAGGGAAGCGGGAAAGAGGAAGGTTAAAGAATACATTATGTCGGGAAATAGAAGCAGATATGAAAAGGATGAATAACAACTGGAAAAAGTAGAAAGGATTGTCCAGGACAGGGTTGGATGGATAGTGGTGGTGAGTGGCCTATGTTCCTTCACGAAGAGTAACAGGAGTAAGTAAGTAATGAATTAAGATAATGGGGAAGGCTACAATTATATATTCTGCATCTACCTATATAACACATTCCAGTAGTCAATGATTTCATGGAGATGGAGGTAGTAGGAAACATTAGTAGTAGGGAGACCATCCTATTGACGAAGAAAAGTTTCGTATACAGTTTAAAGACTTACATAAACCTCGATAATGATCGCATCTTCGTTCACATACAAAACAAAGTATAACAGTAGAAAATAAAATCGACACCTTTTATATAAAAGATGTTGCACACACTAACTTACCAGAAATTTTGATAAATCCAATTGCAAAGGTGATCTGAAATGCAAAGAAACACACAATGCAATCACACCACCTAGTGGTTTTACACTAAAAAGGAAAGTTATTATACATCAAAGAAACAGTAGTATGTATATACTTGGAGTGCATAGTATACTGTTGACTTCTACTGACTTGAGCGGTGTAGAGGCAACTTCCTACCAATCAGAATGCACCTTATATTTAGGAGTTGAGATTTAGGCTTTAAAAAATAGAATCAGGTTTATAATGTAGCGTTGTAAGTAGCATTATTAAGCTATCCGGGTGTTTTTATAAGCTGGTGCTTGGAGGTAGTCAACAGTAAACTATGGACCTAGATTTCGCGTTCTTTAGTACTTGTTAACAGGGTGCACCAGTAATCTTGAAGGAACTGATGCTCTCTGGTGGATTTGATCTCATGTCAACTAGCTCTTTATCGAAACACACCGATCGGAGTTGACACCTGAACTTTAACGGTTAAGAATAGGAATGCTTCAACTACTCTCTTCACTATACACTATCATAATGTCTCTATTTTCCAAAAAAATAATAATAGTAATAATAATCAGTACATAAAACATACGAAGCGATAATCTGTATAGCACGAACTGCAGCCAACCGAGTTAATTCATTTGTTAGACGTCGATATATCAAATCTAAACAATCGTTAATATTCGATTCAACCATGTAACCGATTTGTGAAAGAAATACTGCACTACAAATAAAAACCAAAATAAATAAATAAAACATTAACATAAAACAATAAACTGAAAACAGTGGTAAAGCTGTATTATATGACAAAGTGGATAACACTGATAAAACGAAATATATATAGGAAATGAGGAAAAAAGGATAAAGTACTTCTACAAATAAAACATAACTAGCTTGATTATAAACCAAAAGTTTATGTCATCACGTATGCTTATTAACAGATCAAATGATGATATAATATTGATTGGGAACATGAACCGATTGATGTTAGACCACCATTGGAAAGCTGGAAGTACTAAACCGTCGTTCCGTTCTATTGTGGGACCCCTCAGCAGTGCGCATCCACGATCCCGCTCGTGGGATTCCAACCCACAGCCTTCAATCTCGGGCGCAAACGCTTAGCCTCTAGACCACTGAGTTGGCACCCAACGGTGTTAATGTCTAACCTCAACCAATCCACGAAATTGCGCGACCATCTTCCATTGTACTGAGGTAGATACCTGTCTCTACCCGACACGGATCAGCTCCATTGGTCACATCTTCTCACTAGAGCTCCTAGAATTCCCTCACGAAGCTAGTCACTAGTGAGCACATGGTAATTATGATATAATAATCTGGACTGTAGCTTCAATTTCAAAAAATCTATCGACTGTAGAAAAAAAATTAATGAGAATCTTATTTTAGTCACTGTACAACAGATAACTAATGATTATCTTATTCAATAAAACCCTCCAGGAAAACAAATAAATGTGTAATTTAGTTACAAATTAATGTAAAGTAATTATCGATCATTTCAGAAATAGGCCTATGTACAGGAGGACAATTAATCAAAACTATATTGACCTACTGGTAACAGACTAAAGACTACAATACATGAATATCTTTGTTTTTGTATACTTAGTTCCTTTTATGATCTTGAAGAAAGCAAGAACAAAGAATGGAACAGAATAACATGAATTCTTTCGATTTAGTTTGGTTCTCGATATCAACTGCTTACAACCTATTTGATCGTATCCCAGATATTCTCATGGCTAATCTTAAAAAAAGATAAAGTTTAAAGGGGAGATTGATGAAAGGTGCAAGGCATGTTTATCGACGCTTTTGATGTATGTAATGATCAACAACAAAAAAACACCTGCTAAACCTTTTCAAAGACCCTTATAGAAATATTCAATTTACCATGGAAACGATGGTAAGTTACACGTCCTCGTCATTCCTATACAACAGAGGGAGGATGGTAAAAGCAATTCAACAATCAGCTTATCGAAAAAGATACATAGGATGGTATTAGTTTGAATTTTAATAACTTTAATCCAGTTGGTTATAAAAATGCGCTTTGTCAGAACGATACTTAAGAGAACGGAAAGAATATGCACTACCGATACAGTAGAAGAATTAAAACCCAAAGAACAATGGGTATCCAAAAAAATTTACTAAGATGGGAGAAGTAAAAACAGAACCCCCAAAGAAACTTATTTTCAACCGAAATTGACTGAACGGTGATGATGCTCCAGCGAAAATAAACAGATGATTAAAAACCACACTAACCATCATACAACTAAGCTAATTATCTTGTATAAAACAATATGTTTTTTAATCCAAATAAAGATCGTAGGTACCCCTTTTGTATTACCGACAACTTTCTATACAGATTTACATATACCTGTCCAAGCAGTTAAATTAATAGAACTGAAAAAGGTACACGTTTGATTCAAAGAACATATCGCAAGAAGCCTGATGTCAATGGGATTAAAGGCTTTTGGCAGTGGTATTGCAAAACACCTCTGTGACATTGGGCATCTATCTGGTCGATAAACTGAAGTATTTCAGGATCAACAATCGACAGTCAAATTGGCTGGAGCCATAGCGATCAAAGTCAGAATTATGTAACTAAAAAGAAACAGTCGCAAATCTTCCCTTCATATAATCATTCTACCGTCAGTTCATTACATCATTCTTATTTCAAATTCATAAATTCATTTTCAACTAACTGGCCTTACTTATCTCTATATTTATTTGAACACGTAAACAATAGTAAAAAGGGACACTAAAATATATAAATGCGCCATACAAATAGAGAAAGGAACGTGAGGAACGATTCGGTTAAAAAAACAATCAGTAAACAAAAGTTACTCTCACTTATATGAAAAAAGAAAGTTACAACAAAACCGTCACTGGCTTCTATTCCGAGACATGTATAGCAACATTTAAAACCAGTGTTGCATCATCTCTAGGATCCCAACCACGTACTCATGAAGGCCCAACAAAATACAGTCTTGTACAGATTCCCTTCATATCATGACAGCGCCATGTCATACACTGACCACCTTTCCGCCTCTTCTAACCAGTCTCAGAGTTGGCAAATAATACACGATGTGGGATCCGCTGGTACGACATTCGCAGTACATGTCCAAACCACGGAAGTCGGTGTTCAGGTTCCTGCCAGTCTTGTAAAAGTACTTTGCACTTGGAAGTTCCATACAGACAATGAGTTTAACTCACGTTATTCATAATTACTGTTGACTTATGTTCAACTACATTACAAAATCAATTCATTATTTAACCTGTATGATCTCATCACCATATCTGATGAACAAGAATCCTCTCTCAAATATTATATTTATTTACAACACTATATGTCTTCATCAATCATAATACATTTATTCGAATCATTATTCCACGATGATGATACCTATCCGATTTTACTGCTATAAGTATTTCAACACTGTAATAATTTTAAAATATCATAAACTGTAAGCAATTGATGAGAACCTAATGAAATAAGGTGAATTTATGTTACTCCGATCAATTTTTTGTCCAGGCTATTTTTAAACATCTTTGTTGCTGAAACATATAGATTGTGTTGTGCACAATGTATAATTCATCTCTTATTTCCAACATCAACACAAATATAAATATACAGTACCGAATGACAGCAATAAATAGATCAATAAAAAGGAGAATTAGATATGGTAAGAAAATCGAACATCTAACACATGATAAACCCATGAAGTTGCTCAAGAGATGTGACTTCCTTTTCTATGAAATGAGCTACATTTTATATAGATACGAATGAGTCTACAGTTACTTTGAGATTCGATTGACCAACAAAAGCTTCTTTTTCAATTAAGCAGTTGATTGGACTCCGAAACACTTTATCATTATCAGAATCGGATACCGTACAACACAAAAGAATTTTACTTATATAAGCAATCGTGTCGAACAATATAATCTACTAATTAAAACATATATTCGGTCCAAAACCTCAAAAACTACATCTAAATACGAATTATATGTGTCGATTTCATTTATAATTACATTGTCTTATAGCTCACTTATTTTTGTGAATTATGTTATGATACTTATTAATATTCAGTAACTTATGTCATCATCAACCAATTTTTGTATGGCCTACAATGCCTCTTGGTCATAATATTTGATATTTCTAAATATTTAAGTTTAATCCATTTTACTGTTTTAATTGTATTACATAAATATTTTGAATAATCTATCAACAATTTTTGTGTGTAAAGGAGTGTAAAAGTCTATCACTTATCTTGTGTCTCATCAACCCTTGTAGTCTGATGTGTGACGAAATCTCAGCACGGATACAGAAGGCTCGATTAGCTTTTGACAAATGGCGTCATTTATGGCGTAGGCGAGATATTCGTCTATCAACAAAAAGAACGTGTTTACTGCTCAGCAGTTCTTTCCTTCTACTTTATGGCAGTGAGACATGACCGGTAAGAGTAGAGGATATTCATAGGTTACTAGTATTCGATCATAGGTGTCTTCGAAACATTGCTCGTATATCCTGGAACCATCGAGTAAGTAACTCAGTTGTTAGGAAACGGGTACTAGGTAAGGATGGCAAATCAATTGATGAAGTAGTAAAACTTCATCAGTTGAGATGGCTGGGACACGTGTTACGTATGCCCAACTACCGACTGCCTCGACGTGCGATGCTTAATGATATAGGAGTATGTTGGAAGAAAGCTAGAGGAGGCCAGACCAAAACATGGCATAAATCCATGAAGTCACTGACAATTGGATTGAGCCATGTTGGTAGGTGTAGACTACCTGGTTCGAGACCGCGAGATGATAACAACCGATGTTGTTATTCAGTTCATTGTATGTTCCTTTCCTGTAAATCATCCATATATTACGACTGAAGGAAGAACTTTTGATTGGATCGTACTTTAAAGTGTGTGAACATTTTTTAAATACTTCATGAATAAAGGTTTGTAAACCGAACTTATTACTTATTTTGTTATATTATACAGTATTATTTCCAGATTTTGGACAGAATCCTGGAAAGGATTCCACGAGGTATTGATATCATCAAAACCAGATATAAATACGTAAACCTTATTTTCTTATATCTTCACTGTTTCATTGGTCAGTGCATAGCACTTAATAACATTCATTGTGATTCCCTCCTTCATTGTTTCGATTGAAGCTTTGATGATCCTGGATCCATGGGATTCTCATCCTATAATTGATTTTCGTGCTACTTTTGACAGCATTAGACAAACGCCCTCCGAGAACCGCCAACTTGTATCTCCTCATTTCCGCAGAAATTTGATTGACCTTCCCGTTCTCCCACATTGTCCGAAAACTCCATGTATTTATATTACTTGTTGCTCTGGGGTATCTACCTCATGACTTCCGACAAATCTCGGCTTTCACAATAAGACGTCATGATTCTTCTGAATGAAGATCCTTCAACTACTATGGCAGAGTCCAAACGGTTTAAATAATTTTTTTCTGGTTGGCGTTTTTTAACTATGTTGTTTTGTTTGGGAAGGGGTTGCTGACCCTACTACCCAACCCTCCTTTTTTACCCAGACTTGGGATCGGCAGTAACCCTAGACGAACTACATGCGGAGAAACACATTGCGTCGGGAAATGGAAGCAGATAACGAAAGAATGAATAACAACTAGAAAGGATTGCCCAGGACAAAGTTCGAAGAAAAAACCTAGTGAGTTCTAGTAAAACAGAGAAAATTCTGCTAGAAAATTTTCAGTAGAAGTACTGAAATGAAAATCATTTCTGTATTAAAAATATCACAAGTCGATAATGATAGTTTAATTCAAGAAGTTGAACCTATTGTCAGGAGAAGAGGATGATATGACAAGGCTAAATAAAAAAAGAATGAAATTATGCTTTAAACCTTCGTTTTTATTTAATATAGTGATTACTCATAGTAATACTTTCAGTGTGAACCTTTGTCCACCATAATATTGATTTATATCAGTGTGAAATCGGTAGCTTGAATTTTCGTAATAATTCTGTTTATGTCCATCAAACGTGATAATTATTAAACAGTCATTAAATGTGGGTAAAATCAATAAATAAATGAGTGTAAACATGTATCATTTTGATTTATTTCCAGGGTCAAATAAATCCATATCACCAGTCTTTGTGTATTCTCACTAAAAGTCGTCAGATTCAGGGTTTTCTGGTGTCAAACACAAGTCAATCAAGCATTCCAGTAGAAATAACCAGAGACTGATACGATATAGATAATTGAATTTGACCTACATAGTTTTTTACATCATTTAAACGTGACATTTGAAATCTTCAAACATATTAATATGATGTAATCACTGTTCCTTATCTTTCCAAAAGATTAATGTAGTCATCGAATCACTAAAAAATACAGCTTCAATAGAAGTAAATGATATCATTGAAATAAGGAAACTATCTTTATTGGATTGATTTTAATTCTTCTTTAATAGTATAAATGATCACAATTAAATTTACGAGTCACGCGCGAGACCAAAAGTCTTGGGTTCTAGTCCCACGTACAGTATCGTGGATGCACACTGTTGAGGAGTCCCATGTCAGGGCGAAACGGCCATTTAATGCTTCCAGGTTTTCGATGGTGTCTTAGCTCAGATCGACTCGTGAACTCAACTGTGAACATACTATAAACTCCACAAATCCCCGTACTAATTATAACATAAATGGTCTATTTTCATCATTATAACTAATTAAATAAGTGTCAGAGGTTTTACAGAGCTTTCTGTTTCTAGTCACTAATTAATGATTAATCCAAAAACCGATTGAACTGGCTTAGAAGACAATATTTTAGGTCAACAACAAGGCGACGATTGCCAGATACCAGGAAAAATAACCATTTAATTATAAAATGACGTTTGTTTCATTGAGATCAACTAATCAGATAATACCTTGAACGAAACAATGACTGTACAGTTGGTCACATTTATTACTCATTTCAACTTGTAAATATTAAACTACAAGGAGAAAAACTGTTATGATTAATAATAGGAGAAAAGTAATCATCTCATTCAGATAATGACAATCATAATAGTGACGGCTGGAACTGAATCAATTGATCAATCGAAAAATTCAATGTGTAGATTCAAACAACCAACATAAAAATGAATTAAACTTCATCCGATTCCACAAGCTAGCGACTATCTGGACTAAATAGCTAAATAGATAACGCGATGGCGCCTGAAGCGAACGGTAATGGGTTTGAGTCACATAGTGAATAGCAACTCTGGGTATATTCAGAGACAAAGTCCGAAGTACGACGAAACGCGAGTCCTAAATTCCACTGTTGATGATTGAGAGGAAGATAAAGAGTCAGTCACAACGTGAAATCTGGTACATATGTACATCGGTTTAAGTTTCCATGCCTAGTTAACATAGAGAGATGAAATTATCAGATAAAATCCCACAATAGTGGAGGTGATAATAGTATCAGTGGTGACTGAAAAGAATAAACATCAAAGATACCATTCGAGAATATATAAATTAGTGAAATAAAAAAGCTATGAGAAATTCAGGAAACAAAGAATGGATGAACCTCAGTCATTGCGAACAATTTTGAGCAATGTCATTTACGGTCACTAACTATTGGTTACGATAATCACGTGGATTTCAACCAGGTAGGTACACTTAGTAACATGGCTCAGTTCAAATGTCGCTGGCTTCATCGAATGATTCCATATTTTGGTTCATGCGTTGCTAACTTTCTTCCATGTTACTCTTACACCAGGAAATATCGGGAAATAAAGAGAGTATGCACATGGTCAATGTTGTAATCGATTCCAAGACATGTCACCTAAAGCCACCAATCACTGACTGTTGTTATAACCCGGCCTTTAACTACACAAACCAGACCAGTGCTCAATGACTTCATCACTTGATATCACGTCTTAGTTTGGCTTCTGCTAGTGACTTGTGTGGCGCATATTTATTCGGTGGCCCTTTGCACCAATATTTATGTGTTCAAATCAATAAATAAATAAATTCTCCTAGCTATATCCTACACAAGTAAACACTGCTTATTAAGGTAGGAGATGGTTAGCGATACACAACACATATCCTAACCCACTTTCAATGAAGTAAATGTACACTATAAATAGTTTTTTTTTTGAAACTTACGTCACTGTAATAGCTTTCTCCTTCAATTCAAGATCACGATCGGTAGCTTTTAATTGATTGAAAAGTGGAGTAAATAAAACTTGAGCATATTTTTCACCGCCTATAAACAATGAGAAACCGTAAAAACTTATCAGCTCATTATTAATTAAAACAAAATTGTGAAAAATAACACAATCGACAATATGAAGAAAAAGAATAAAGCTAGTCAGATTTCATGTGAGATGAATTCATTTCCAGAGAACGTAGATTAATCATATTCATGTGAGATAATTAAAAAAATAGAAACGATTTGTGACGTGATAGAAAACAAAAATGAATAGGTTTTCTTGTATTGGTATTGAGGTCCATGTGATCCGGTTGTTATTATGGGGAGCAGTAGTTTTTTCTCTAGACCAACTATTGATTAGTTTGCTTATATTACCAGTAGGATTGGTGACACTCTATTTATTAAATAGCACAGCGATCAATGTGCAACAACAAAGACTCTAGACTTTATTGGTTCTAAAGCTTTTTTTAAGCCAATCAGATGATGATGTTTGTCTAACTTAGAGAGATTCTTGGATTCCAACAAAACAGAAAAGGCAATCAACCTTTTTTTCTAACAGGCTTTACATAAATAAAATTATAATTAAATTCAAAAGATCATTTACCTAAGCTTTTTAAATGTGTACATAGAAGTTGTAACAAATCCAGACCTTCCAAAGCAACACGATAAAATGAATTGTTAATCGATTGTACCGTTAACTGATGAAATAGAGAGAGAAAAGAAAATAGTGTAAAATTCTTTAATAGATGCAGAAAAATGTAATCCACCAATTCAGATTGATACAATTTTATAGGTAAGTTAGTTTATCTTGACTTTTACGATCACCATCAGTGAATCAGTCATCATCAATGTAGAATCTGAGAAAAACGTGCATCGGCTCAAGTTATTACAAAATATCAGCAAAACGAGATAAAATGATCAAAATGAATAACAAATTGGTAGAACTAAATATGATGGTTAAGAAAAAAAGACGATTAGGAATAAAGGAATATGACTCGAAAAGAAAGTGAAATGATCAATCAATTAATCTAACAGAATATCATCATCGGTCATGATCTTGAATCCGCTGTTTTACACATGTTGTATTCAATTTCAACTCGACTCAGGTGTTAAAGCCTCTTTGTGTTCAATAACTGTCTTCCCAATTCTTCTAATCACTATTAGTTCAAATAAATAATGTTATTTACTAGGGTTATTATTGAGTCGGCTTTCCAAAAACTGCAACGGAGCCTCCAGAGGCCCTAAAGGAGCCGAAGAGTCCTAGCCAATCAGAGCATGGTGAGCCTTATAGAATGTCAATGTGCCGTGCTACTATTGGTCAGTGGCATAATATGTCTTTTAGCGGATTGGCCAAAATATGATGTTGATTCAACAAATGTTAACATCTATAAAGACCCGTGTTTTTCTGTAGAAAAATGAACCTTTGGAGTAAAGTTTTTCGCTCATTTTGCGACTTTTCTCTCGAGTTCAGGTCGCTGCGTAGTTCTGGATTGCGGGTTACCAGAATAGCTTAGGAACCAAATAAAGCGTTCAAATTAACAAGACTTATCAGTGGCGACGAGGATGGGAATCGCACCCACGCAGGGAAACCCCAATGGATTAGACTTATCAGTTATGTAAAAATTGACTAAACAGAAGATACCAATGTTGTGAAATGACACCACTGAAGAATTAACCGACAATAGTATAAAGCAGGCAGATAACAACAAGTGAATTTCCAGTGAAGCGGTATATGTAGTCAGTCACTCTTCCTTCACCTGGGTAGAGGGCAATAATAATGAAACAAAAAGAGGACAAGAACGGTGTATACCATATTGCATTTGACTAAATAAAGACTAGCTGCATCTGCCAAAAATCCGCAGGATTCATAAGCTATTTGATTAGCTTCAATTTTTCACTAGCAAACTTCTGAAACGTATAGATCAATATCCCTACTCGAATAATCACAAAATTGTCCGAGATCGTTAGAAAAATATCGTATTCATTGGGTTTATTATCGATGGACGTGTACTTTTATTTGCAAAGCGGTGAGACTATAAGTTATGGACGATCTTCGAGAAACGTCATGGTGACCTTGAGAATGTCCACCTACTTGACAGAGCTAAATGAGGGTTATAAACCAGTGAGAAATCAGGATTATGATTTTTAGTTGATGGTTCGGGTTAGCAAATAGATTTAGTGTTTTCATCACGAACTAACATCAGCTAAAATGCCAAAACGCTATTGAGACAAACGGGTGAATGAACTGTGCACCAAAATTCAAGACCTGTTATCTTATATCTGATTATTTGGCCCATAAATTATAGTCTCGCCTTTAAATGGAAATAAAACAGGTCTAGCTCAATAGATAACGCATCGGTATTCAAACAGAAAAATATTGAGTTTAAGTTTCAGTGCGAACAGCAACAATAGGGCATAAGTACATTCAGCTGACGAGTCCTAACTAGGAAAAAAAACAGTCCATCATAGATTTCACTACTAGCAACTACCGGAACTAGTTTTTTTTAAAGAAAAAACATTTAGGCAGAATTTTTTTAAAGAAAAAAATTATATGTTTTGCATCAACCTACTTGAACGAGAAGATCAAGTTTTGATTCAAAATAACTAGCTGGATGTGTACTCAACAGAAGGACAAGAACATTAATCATTTCCATTTTTGCAGTATGATTTGTATTCGGATCACTAAAATATAGTAACCATATTAACAACAACATTAAAGAGTAAAATATTACATAATTTTAATGTCAAAAGAACAGTTAGTTGTTGCTTGAACCAGATTTAAGCCAGTACTTACTACTGAAATTTATTCCTTTAAATTTTACAGAAGACTAGTGAATAACGTATATTTTTTATTATAGGTATCATCATCAAGGTATTGTTTGTGTTTCGTTTAACAAGTAAATAAGTTATGTTGAGGTTAGGTAACTAGGCATTAGATATGCTCAGCCATGGTTTATCTCGATGTATAATTTCGGATGATGTAAGATTCAGTTGGAAGAAAGTTAAGGGAGGCAAAACAAACACGGTATCAGTCTATAATATTATTGACAGTTGTACTCACTCATGATGGTGAATGACAACTAAGTGTTTGGGGTCTGCTGCCAAATGCAACCAAAATTACTTCCATCCCTTTGTTATTAGTCTCGTTAACTTCCAGTCTCATTGAGCTGGTATGCTATGGTAACTTGGACAAACGCACATTGGTGCCAAGCTCTATGTTGATAATACATGACTTAAGATTTATTTATGATTTAAAAGTTGTAGACTGGTGAGAAACCAATTAAGGAATGAAAGTCGTGAATGTTCAGTGTACTACTATGTTAGCAAGACATAACCGTGACGATAGTACACTGAATGAAATATAAGGTTGAACGTACTGATTGGTACATTTTCAAGTAACCAATGCTAGCGGAAAAGTCGGTAAGATATTGGATGTTTCAGATGTAAATCCTGCGAAAAATAAATATTTTCTTACTGAACATTATCATTTTGGTTTAGTGGAATACATTTCATTTCTAGCCCACTTTTGTTTATATTTATGTCAAGTCGAGTGAAGTGCAGTAGTAGTGATCAAAGACACTAGACAATAAAGAATGAGACGACGGGAAAGTACATATCCACGACGTCAACTTAGCGGAATAGAGTTTTATAACAACAACGGGCACAATGAGACGATCAAGTGTTGTTGAATGAAGCTCTAACTCTGTAGCTCGCTGTCGACTGATCCAATTACTAGTACCTTCTCAGAACTTATTTATGGTTCATAATGTGTGTATACTTTTCAAACTCAGTTCAATCTTTGCAGAGATGAATTTAAAACGGAATTCAGCAAGCTAAATGATATGTCAATAACTCTCTTGTTGATTCAGAAGCTGATAACAAATAAACATGCAAGTCACGCTATCTTCTGATGAAATCATCTAGAAAGCACAGTTTCGAAGAGGAAGTAGCTCAACTGTCAGACAATTCTAGTTGACCGTCTTCATTGTTTGGTAATCAATAACAGTGTTTTAATTTGATAAAGTGTGAAATCGATGGTTATGGTATGTCAGAAGATATCATTAATCAAGATTGAGAACGCTTGAAGTTCCGTTCATTGACGGAGGATCAGTTTAAATGGTTAGCATTCATCAGAGACCTTCAATCAGATCAAGATGTTAATTTTATGATGAAACTCCTGGCTTGGTTCGATTAGTATTCGAACTTTAAACACAATGAATGACGGTTATAAAAGGCTGCAAAACACGATAGAACAATCCATTGGTTGAACAGATAAATTCAATCCTAATCAGATTAAAAACTAATTGATTAAAGAAGCGTTATCGTATATTCTAACTTAAGAAGAAACGTAGAACTTTTCGACACACAGTGACGTCACTTCCATACTTTACATGAAACAGAGCTGAATAAGTTTGACAATGCATAATGGTACACTAAGACTATAATAGGTGAAAAATCAATCTAATATATATCACACCATAACGAAAAAAGCATTCAGGAAAACTAACAAAGCAAAAAATTTAGAGAATAAGATTTAGTTCGATGCATCATATCTGTTTAGTAAACTTTTCACATTTAACCTGAGTTGACCTTTTTTAACTCTGTTCTTCTGCCGTTAGACAGTAGCATTGCTATAAGTGTTAGCACCACTTTACAGATACTATATCCACTTCTGTAAGTAGCAACGCATAATCCTTATAAAGGAACAAATATTTCAGCCAATATGGATTGGTTGGGTTATAAAAATTATCCACACTCGACCACTACATTAAGGTAACAGCAGCAAAAATCGAGCTTGTCTGGATCGGTGTTCCTAACAAAAATATCATCGAGACAGTACAATACTTTACTTGCTCACGCCTGTTACCCCCAATGAAGCAAAGGCCGCCGACAACGATTCTCTAACCCACTCTGTCTTGGGCCTCATTTTCTAGTTCCATCCAATTCTTGTTCATTTTTTTCATACCTACCTCTATTTCCTGGCGTAATGTTTTCCTTGGTCTTCCTCTTCTCCTATGGCCTTGAGGATTCCATGTGAGGGCTTGTCTTGTGACGCACTTAGGTGCTTTCCGCAATGTGCGTCCTATCCACTTCCAGCGCCTCTTCCTCCGCTAAAATCCGGTTTATTATCTCCCACAGCAGTTTGTTGCTGATAATGTCTGGCCAACGGATCCGAAGTATTTTGCATAAACAACTGTTAATAAACACCTGTATTTTCTGGATGATGACTTTCGTGGTTCTCCAGGTTTCCTCCCCATACAGTAGAAGTGTCTTGATATTTGTATTGAAAATTCTGATCTTGGTTTTGATTGACAGTTGTTTTGAGTTCCAGATGTTCTTCAATTGTAGTAATTCTGCTCTTGCTTTGCAGATCTGCGCCTTCACATCGGCATCAGATCCACCCTTTTCATCAATGATGCTGCCCAAATATGTGAAGCTTTTTGCATATTTCAAAGCTTCGCCGTCAATTGTGATTGGATTGTTGCATGCTGTGTTGTATCGGAGAACCTTGCTTTTCCCTTAGTGTTTAATGAGACCTACTGCTGCTGAGGCTACTGCTATACTGGTCGTCTTCTCCTGCATTTGTTGTTGCGTTTGGGATAGAAGGGCCAGATCATCTGCGAAGTCTAGATCGTCCAGCTTCATCCTAGATGTCCACTGTATCCGTACTTCCCTTCAGATGTTGACGTCTTCATGATCCAGTTGATCACCGAGAGAAAGAGAAAGGGTGAGAGTAAGCAACCTTGCCTGACACCGTTATTTACTTCGAACGAGTTTGTCAACTGTCCTCCAAGCATAATTTTTCAGTTTAATCCATCATATGAATTCTGTATGATAATGACTATCTTCTGAGGCACGCCGTGATGTCGAAGAAGCTTCCATAGTGTTGTTCTGTCCACGCTATCAAATGCTTTCTCGTAGTCAATGAAGTTGATGTAAAGCGATGAATTCCATTAAATTGATTGTTCCACAATGATCCGTAGAGTTGCGATTTGGTCAGTACAGAATCTATCCTTACGGTATCCTACCTGTTGGTCGCGAAGTTGGGCGTCCACGCAGTGGAGTATCCTTGCAGTTGCCGCTACGTCTGCTTTTAGTGCCTCTGCTGGAATGTTGTCCGGTCCTGCTGCTTTGCCACTCTTGATTTGTCTGATGGCCATGCTGATTTATTCAATTGTTGGTGGGCCAACATTGATTGGGAGGTCGGTGGGTGCTGCTTCGATGTTGGGTGGGTTCAGTGGAACTGGTCGATTCAAGAGTTCTTTGAAGTGTTCTACCCACCTGTTTTGTTGCTCTTCAATGTTGGTGATTACCTCGCCTTCCTTCCTTTTCACTGGTCGTTCTGGTTTGCGGCGATTTCCAGAGAGTTTCTTTGTCGTGTCATACAATTGTCTCATGTTTCCTTCTCTTGCAGCCTTTTCCGCCGCCATTGCTAAATCTTCCACATATTTACGTTTGTCGGTTCTGATGCTCCTCTTCACTTGTTTGTTAACTTCTGTGTATTCAGCTTGTGCCTTGGCTTTTTCTGCTCTTGTTCGACTGGTATTGATTAGTGCCTTCTTGTTCCTTCTTTCTTGAATCTTATCCAGGGTATCAACAGTGATCCATTCCTTGTGATGGTGCTTCTTGTGACCCAGGACCTCATGAAATGTTGAAGTGATTGCCTTTTTGATCCCCTTCTAGTTGCTCTCAATAGTAGTTCCTTCTCCATTGAGTAGATCATGAAAGGCCTAGAACTTATTGCTGAGGGCTATCTTAAATTTGTTGAGTTTGTCAGTATCCCAAAGAAAAGCTGTATTAAACTTTTGTGATATTGTCCGCCGCATTGTCCAGTGCTTCTTGAGTTTCAATTTCATCTTGGCAACTAGCAAGTGATGGTCTGACGCTATATTAGCTCCTCTCTTGGTTCTCATATCCTCTATAGTCCTCCTGAACTTTTTGTTGATGCAGATATGGTCGATTTGGTTTTGCGTAATGTGATCCGGTGAAGTCCATGTGGTTTTGTGAATGTGCTTATGTGGGAATATAGTTCCGCCTATGACCAGTTTATTGAAGGCACATAGGTTTGCAAATCTCTCACCACTTTCGTTCCTTTCTCCCAGTCCGTGTCGTCCGATGATGTCTTCATATTCAGTGTTGTCCGTTCCAACCTTGGCATTTAAATCTTCCATCAGAATGGTCAAGTCCTCTGTTGGGCACTTCTCGACGATTGACTGAAGCCTGTCTTTGTTTTGAAGGAGGATTTGATGATCCTTGGTCCATGAGATTCCCATCCTATAAATGCATTTTGTGTTTATTTTGGACAACATCAATGCAACTCCTTGTGTATGTGGGGCATTTTCTTGTTCATGGCCAGAGTATAACAGAAGCTCCTATGAAGCTAGTCGTTGTTGTCCAGCTTGCGTCCATTGTGTTTCACTGATCCCGAGCACCTCCAGGTTGTATCTCCTCATTTCTGCAGCAATTTGGAAGACTCTCCCAGTCTCCCACATTGTACGAACATTCTATGTACCTAAATAAATGGTTGCTCTGGTTGTCAGAAGGGTCATCGGCCTCGTAACTTCCGAAGGAACTCGGCTTTCATCATGAGGTGTCATAACTCTTCTAAATGAAGACCTTCTGTTTCCCTGGGCAGAGTTCAAATGGTTAGAATAATTTTTTTCTGATCAGAGTTGTTTTAGCGAGTTAGTTTTCTATGGGATGGGGTCGCTAACCCCATGCCCAACCCTCCTTCTTTACCCGGGCTTGAGACCGGCAGCAGGACCCGGAGGGGCTCCATGCAGAGTTGATACAGTACCATGCCGGAGATTAAATGAACAATGTGAAGAACATGACGTACTATTAACGTAAGTAGGATACAATTAAACAATTAATAATAATAATAATAATGATAACAAAAACCGAAACTTACTCAGACGAAATTTTTATCATCATTAATATATTATTCAAATGAGCGCCTAATTGACCTGGTAAAGCTAGAGCCAAATCACGATTCAACATAAACGCAGTATGTCGATAAACCGATAAAATCTTTGTATGAGGGCAGGAAGGGAAGGAAAAGGAAATATTATTTATTTTTAAAAGAAGCGGGAATGAATAAAATCAATAATTAGGAAAATCAGCAGGTAATGTAAGCTATAAAAATCTAAAAAAAATCACAAACACTAGTCAACTTGTACTCCTAATACTGTGCTTACTTAATTACTCCTGTTAACCCTCGTGGAAGAGCATAAGCCGCTCACCAGAATTCGCGACTGAATCCTGTCTTGGGGGATTCCTTTACAGTTGCTATTCGTTCTTTCGATATTTGCTTCTAATTCTTGACGCAATGTGTTCTCTAATCTTTCTCTTTACCTTTTACCTTCAGAATTCCAAGTAAGAGCTTGTCTCGTGATGTAGCCTGGTGATTTCCGTAATGTATGTCCTATCCACTTCCAACGTCTATTCCTAAATTCCTCTTCGACTGGAAGCTGCTATGTTCTCGCCCACAGTGAACTGTTGTTGATAGAATCCGACTATCTGATATTGGGTATCTTCGTAGACAATTGTTTATAAATACTTGTACCTTTTAGATGATGGTTGTAGTAGTTCTCCAAGTTTCAACTCGGTACAATAGAAGTGACTAGCTTGACGCTTATATTGAAAATTATGGCTCTCGTGTTGTTTGACAACTGTTTTGAGTTCCGGATGTTGACTAATTGAAATGATGTGCTTGTTTCGCTAATCCGTGCCTTTACAACTGTACCAAATCCCTCATGGTTATCAATGAAGCTGCTCAGGTACGTAAAACTTTCCACATATTCCAAAGCTTTTCCATCATGTATGATTTGGTTGGTGATCGTTGTCTTGTATTTCAGGATCTTGCTTTCCCTAGTGTATGTTGAAGTATTCTGTTGTAGAGGCTGCTCCTACAATGACTGTACTCTGCATTTGTTACTATGTATACGATAGAAGAACTAGATCATTCGCGAAGTTAAATCCAAATCCTGTGCTTACACTAGTGATTAACTTCCAGAAGTGAATGTCCAAGGTGTTAGTGAAAAGCTGTGACTGGAAGAGATCAATCATATCGGCTGTGAGATGGTTACCCACAGTAAGTAATGTAAAATGGTTATAAAATATCGTGAATTGACTGAATTTGGACATGAACACAACTGGATTCCAGTTATATACTCTACATGTTAATCGTTCGAGCGCAAGACAAAATGTTCTGCGTTTGATCCACTATGGTGAGGTTGTGGATGAACATTGATGAGAAGTTTCATACTACGACAGAACAGATCTCTAGTGCTTCCAAGTTCTTAATGGCGGTCTAACTAGAGTCAGTCCGTGATGCAAACTACAAAAATTTAACAGGCTCTATAAAAATCCCCATACCAACCATAGAATGGTACAGCAATGCATACTACTAAAAACTTTCAGATATTTAGAATTAAAGGAGTAAAACTATACCATGCTGACGAACTAATCAGATTTAAGATAGTGGATCCTGGATAATTTTGCAGAATTAAAAATACAATAATGGACAGCACATACTTCATTAAGAGCTACATACAGATGGTCTGTACCTAGTTCTAAAAATGCTTAAATTTGATAAACATACATGTTGTGAATGTAAACGATGGTATGTAAACTAAACTACAAAAAATCCTTGATTCTGATACAAATTTTATCTGAAATCCTAATTACTCAGCGTACTTCATATGATTCAGAGTATTGTTTATTCATTTATTTGAACACATAAACATTGGTACAAGGGGGCACCAAATACATATGCGCCACACAATAACAATGAGGCCAGTAGTTATCATTGGTTTGTGTGGGGGCTGTGATACTGTTCGGGTGACCAAACAGAAGTAGGTGGTTTACTTAAGGGGCCATACCTGAAGCCTTTGACTTAAAGGTTTAATCCACAAGGCAGTGGAGCAACGTCAGGAAATGCAGTCCCATGATAGCCAGTGAACAAACAATCGTTTTATTTATTTTTATTTGAACACATAAATATTGGTACAAGGGGGCACTATATATATACGCGCTACACAAAACAATGAGAATTCGAAGAGAAAAAAGAAGGCAAGGAGCGTAAAAGAAAAAAGAACAATAACGACCACAGATTAGTGTAAAGTAGTGTAATAATAATAATAACAGTAATGGGTGAAACGGAAAGGTACAACCAGAAGAATTCTTTCAGTTAAGGAAGACACAACCACTTTTTATGAAGAAAGTTACAGCAGAATCGCCAATGGCTTCTATTTTGAGCCATATCTGACAACGTCTTTAGCTACTGTGTTGCACCATCCCTCGGACACCAGCCAGGGAGTCGTGAAGGACCAACACAGGCCAGTCCTTTGCAGCCTTCTTTCATACCACGACACCATGTCATACACTGACTACCTCTCCGCTTTTTCCAACCAGCTCCAGCGTCGGCGAGTAATGCACGATGTGGAATTCTCTGGGACGACATTCGTAGAATATTTCCAAGCCACAGAAGTCGATGGGTTCATACATCTTTTTTTTTCAGGATCCTGGAGCCCATGTGCACTATCGGTTTGGAACCCGAGCTTTCCAACTCTCCTAGGTCAACCCTCTATGTCCATCAACCCAGTTATAGACTCGAACGGACAATCGCTTTTTGTCCTCTCAGTTTCGTAAATAACACCCCTTTGTGAGAAGGCAGTGAGTAGGACTTCCCTGGCAAAGCCTGTATACGCGTGGCTCTCCCCACCCTCAGCCGTACCAGAGCATTTAGGAGCTGTCATAAACGTTGTTTGTGTGACCTCTCAGTCTTTTGGTAAGTAACATTTTAACATAATTTCTGACATTTAAAGAGTAACTTGACAGTTTTTGATATTTGAATTTACTATTACGGCTAGAATGTATTTGCCAAATCTTAACTGGCAGCAATAAATCTTAACTTTACTCCTAATCACTAATCGCTAACCCTTTTCCATTTTCTATTGTAAATACTTCAACATACTGAAGGTCTATTAATTATCATGTCAAAAATATTGTTTTCCCGTTAGATGATAAGACGTTCAAAGTTGTCAGATTAGAGCATAGTTTTACCATTCATAGAAACTGTTTGTAAATCAGGAGGATAAGAATATTTTAATTGTTACATTCTTTGGAATAGGTGATCTCACTGTAAGCATTTCATCGAACCACACTACAAATTGTTAGGAAAATAAAAGGTTAAACACTGAAGAAATTGTAATAGCTTACGTACTTTCATGCAATTTGTATGAACTACACTTTTCAGAATGACAATGACAGCATCTTAAGTAAAATTAACTCGGTGTTGTTTTACTTGTATCTTCCCATTGTTATTTAAAACTGCAATTGATCAGTCTCTTGTTGGGATATGTGCATTGTGTGCGGATTACCTCGATATAGCCTTAAGTCAAAAGCTTTATAAGCAAAGATGGATAATAGCTAGTAGAGGAATCCAGGACGCGCATTTCGTCCTATTTGGGACTCGTCAGCTGGACGTACCGCAGAGTTGACGTTTGACTCCCGGAGTGAACATCAACTCTGCGATGCAGGTACATCCAGCTGACGAGTCCCAAATAGGACGAAACGCGCGTCCTGGATTCCACTTTTAGCCACTATCTATCTTTGCTTAAAATTAACTCATCTCAAAAAGATACAAGAACATTTTATGGTCACATAAAGGATGATCACTTAAACAGTTGAAAAAGTAACTTGAATCGCTGATATCTTCAAGCCACTAGTTTGTATTAAGCTACTTTATTCGATCTTCAAGTAACCGATGATTGTTCGTAGTAAAAAAAAAAAAAATAGCCTACAATTAATGCACAAACTTCATCAAAACCATTTTAATTAATTACACAGTTTACTTACTCGATTAGCATTTTGAGATTTCATTTTATTGCTTATCGATTGAGATGTTTGCTTTTCAATGCCACGATACAATGTCGGCAACAGAGATAGTAATCGTGACTGAGCACTTCACAAGAAAGACAAATAAATAAAGGGAAATAATAAATGATACAGAGAAATACTGAACTGATTATTTAATAATAATAATAATAATAATAATCTATGTGCTAGTAAGCATTAATAGTCAATAGAAGTTCTCTGAGCTAGATAGTTTGGTCGTGAAGCTTTCCTCGTTCTTCTGAACACAATCATCAGTACAAACTTTAGGTAGAGGTTTGTGCTTTTCCTCAGATGTGAGGGTCTTCATAATCCAGCCAACCACTAGAAGAGAAAGGGGGAGAGTAAGAAACCTCGTATGACACCGATCCTCACGTGAAATGCATCTGTCAGCTGTCCTCCATGCACGACTTTGCAGTGTAGTCCGTCGTATGAATTCCGTATGATATTGATAGTCTTTTCAGGTACACTATAGTGTTGAAGAAGTTTCCATAACGTCCTCCTATCTACACTGTCAAATGCATAGTAATTTGTCACTATGTATCAACTTTCTTGGCTGAGTTACACAATAGAATATAAAGAATTAATCAGGGATTGAATCTAAGGTTCTAGAGGAAAAATCCTTTGGCGATATTAAGATGTAATAAACGAAGAAAGTATTTACGAAAGATAGATTAGAATTTCGGTCTTCAATTATAGAATGATTTGATCTAATACTCAACCAAGTAACTCAATATTATAACGAACATTATTTGACAACAATAACTAAGAACTATTTGATGAGTAGGTATAATCTAATATTCATAGGATAAGTTACAATATATCTGAAACAAAATTTTCACACAAAAGAAAAAAATAGTAGAAAATTTTGAAAGAGAATTCATGGATGACATAAAGCTATTTAATTAATTAGACATATTTTTACCTATTAGGATCTTGTAAATGCAGTTTTAGCTCTTCCAAAGTAGATTCAGATACAAATAATGTACTTTCATAAGATCTTGGACTACTCTGTTGATTAACAGTAACAGATCCATTAGTAATAGTGGTATTCAAATGAATAGTTGATGTTAGTCGAGTTTGACGCAACAACGCACTAAGGCATGAGAATATAGATAAACGTACAGATTCTTCACGTTCTAAAAAGAAAATGGAGGAGGAGATACACTACTTATGACGAAGAAATTGATATTTGGAAATAATATTTAATAAATACATGTTTATATTTTGAAACTACTGGTTTGGAAGCTGATAATACTAGGAAAACTTTAGTTATAAAAGATTATTTGGATTTCTTAGCTGTTTACATCTCAGTAAGGGGAATAGTTGATCAGTAATAAGTGACGGAAAACTTGGCAGTAATGTACATCAGATCAAGGGGTCATACCACATCATCACACGGAGATGAAATTATCAAGATGAATACTGAAGGGGTAGAAGTTGAAGTACCACTATTAGTGGCAGTAAAAAGAACATTATATTGACAGAATATAATCCCTGAAGAATGAATGAATCCGTGAAATGAAAGGTGGTAAATAATGTTGGAACTCAAAATATAGAATAAGGACATCCAACATCTTTAACTACTGGTTAAGTTCATCATGTGGACCACAAGCAGATAGCATCCATCTATCGTCACAGCTAAGCTTAACAGTTAATGATATCATAGATTGATATATATATATATATATATATATATATATACTTCGTTAGCAATATTGCCTATATTGGCAATATTTTGGTCCTTAAAATGTTTGGCGGTGCCTGAGCTAAATTACAAAACATATAAACTCCTAAGGCAGATTATGTATTAAAATACTTGATATGATTCAATGCCTAGTCAATACCGCTTCGTGCGTCTAGATAATATTCTTCCACTCTAATCCTTACTTTTAACTTCAATCCCAAATTTCTTGAGTTTGTAAACAAAAGAATGACAAAGCACTGCATCATGGGTGATGTCAGTTCATGATGATAACTATAGACCTAATTTATAAACCCATCTCAGAACTCCATCATAGCTCTTAATACTTAATCCTAACCATTTTGCATTATAGCTGATTTCAGTTGGTGATAAAAACTCTATAGGATAATTAACCCTGAATTATAACACTATATAGAATCCTAATATGCAAAACGTAACCTTTATCTTTTATTGCAAAGAATAATTCGACATGTAAGGGTTGATTATTAAGGTTGAAGTGATTATTTCACTGCTGTAATATTGCTTTTCACTGTTAATTGTTTTTTAACTAGGAAGTGTTTCCTGATTAGCTGATAAGCTACCCAAGGCCGTTAGTGCATTATACTTTTATCAAAAATTTCGATTCAAATATCATGAAATAAACAAAGGTATATAAATAAACTAACCATTGAATTGTTTTATCAACAAAGGGGCAATAGATACATAGAAATTAGCAGTCATTTCAGTGAAAACTAAGATAATTGCCTCTAAAGCACGCGCTGCAGCACGTCTAACTTTCCATGATACGTCTTCATCATCGGAATATTCTCCATCTTCATCGTCATCATCATCAGCATCAACATCAGCATTATCATCTTCGAAATCGACATCATTATTATTGACGCCCATTCTAATGAAAGAGTTTAATTGGAAGGATACATAGCTAGTAATTGGATATATATACGGAAAGATTAAATTATTTATTACAGAATGAACTTTTTTGCCGTTCCATTCATTCAGAGTTAAAGATAACCTATAGAAAGTTTACATTAAACTTTGAAGTGTGGCGTTAACTATCAGGGGCGAGATGTATTGTCAAAATTTCACAATTTCAAGGGCTACATCGCTACATCGCCACTGAAAACTAAAAAGTAATAAAGAGCTGTCTCATCCTAATGTATGGCTTCTTAAGATTGTACATCCACGACTCCATCAGATGATCTGAAGTACTAAGCTACACTTCCTGAACGGTACAAGAGATTCAAATGACTGTATGAAAAACTGGGAGGACTTATACAACCTAGTTTTGTATAACATAGTGGTTTTGTTCCCTGTTTTGATCGAATTTCAACGGTCAAACTGTGAATGATCCATTTCGCAGCAGTGCTGAAGCGATTAAGCGCAAAGACAAAGATATCCCCTTCTTAGTGAGAGAAGTCATAATTGGATATCTTAATTTCCCTACAAAACTATTTGTTGTGTTTTAGTTTTGATGATTTTTCGGATGAAGACAAATTTTGGTCCTCATTCAGCGAGAATGATTATATTCTGGAAAAAAAGGATCCCAAATTCCCTATTATGGTCGAGTGTGGAGTGCACTTTCCCATGTATTCAGTGTCTCTGACAGAAAAGTCCCACTTACTGCCTTTACACAATAGGAACGTTGTTTACTAAATTAAAAGGACATAGTGAGAACGTCCAGTTCTTCAAACTAGGTTTGTGGAAACCGAGCAGCCACCTAGGGGAATTAGAAAACCCTGATTTCAAATCAGTGATGTAAATGGTCTCTAGAATCCTAAGGAAACGGATGGCGTATGAAACTTATTCATGGTCACTGGCAATCATGAAACAGTATCACTTAACGTTGCTTCACTGTCTTAAGGACTAGACCTCTAGGTCAAAAACGCAGGGTGGCCTCCCGAGCAGTATTCCAGCCTGCAAGCAAATTTTAAAGTAAGTGCTCAGTTGTACTCGATTTTATGGTAAATGAAACATAATAGGAAATGATCAAGTTTCAAATTATCCACTGACATTTTAAAAAGCTACTAACATCACTCTTTGGGTTAAGATGAGTGAGAAATAATAATTTATAATAAAAAAACCTACTGATCATCTCCATCTTCAACAAGACCATAATCATAATTTGGATCGTATTGCAAGCGTTCACATAGTAAATTAATCAGCTAATTTAATGGAAAACGAAGGAAGAATAAAAGATAAGTAACAGCGAAAAATCGCCAATACAAAAGTGAATTGAAAAAAAAACCCAAAACTATATAGCTTATCATGAGAAATTATGTAAGACAATAATTCCTTCTTAACAGTCAAGATCCAATATTCCAGTATTGTCAACATGATAAAAAAAAGCAAGTGACGAATCATGAGTTTGCCTGATTGATTACTTTATCATTTTTATTGCTTTCTTCAATGACCCTATCTACTTTGATTAAATTACTCTTTTATTGTGAAAAACCATAATTTTCTCAACAAATAAAACAGTATTCTTTTAGTCTACCTAAGAAATAAAGGTTGTGCACAAAAAATCCTTGATAACACTGATTTACCAGGTGTAAATTTGTGTACTTGGCTTAAAGTCATTCTATACTATTCGTATGTTTAAACCAATGTAAGAGGGAAGGAGTTTGAACTTATAACTTAAAGGCTTGATAATCGAATGCCTTGACCACTGTGGCACTACTTAGTGGTAAGGAAATAAAAGTAAAATGAATATAAAAAATTTAAATGAACCATGGTCATCAGAAGATGTATATTTTTTGCCACTCTTTTCCTACACAAACAATTTTAAAGATTATGACGATACAGGGACAATCATCAGGGGACAGAAACATAAGAGCGGACAGGACCATTTGTGTAATTCTTGTTTAATAACTATATTACTTACAAGTAATCAGTATTTGTCTCTATTTTTCCCTGAGCCTTACTGGTCAAGTGAATTATCGACAAATTGAGTATTCTCTAATTGGTGAAAACGCATTTTACTTGAATAGCCATTTTGAACTTCCCATATCTTAAGTTTGACTGCTTTGTAATATACTGTTGTTGTTGTTTTTGTTGTTTTACCAACTTCAATTTCAGCTTAACCTTAGCTAACATTTATTATTTATTTCTATGTATATGAGTATGGGGGATTTGTGGAGGTTGCAGTATTTTCAAAGTCGGAACCATGAACTGTGAAAATAATACTATATTCATCAATCCCCCATATTAGTAACAATCATGTGCTCACTAGTGACTACATTCACTATATAACTCCTGGAGTTCTAGTGAGAAGCCGTAACCAGTGGAGTTCAACCGTGTTGGGTGTGAAACAGCTATCTAACGCAAGTAATGGATCAAGGGTTGCCTGAAATCATGGATTGATTGAAGTTAGACATTACGATTGTTGGATCCCGGCGCAGTGATCTGAAAGTTAAGTGTTCGCACGCGGGGCCAAAGGTTCTGGGTTTGATTTTCGAATGTGGAAACGCAGATACACACTGCTGAGGACTCCCATACAAGTGTTTTAAGGTTCTCAATAAAAGTTTAGCTAAGGTCAGCTCGTGATTTAAACTATGAATATATTCATTTGCAAGTATTTATGAGTAACCAAGATAGACTTTTGATTCGAATGGATTTCGGGTGCGTTGCTCAAATGAATTTGATATCAGTTCTATGGTCAAACCGATCATTCTGTATCTAATAATGCGTTCGCTAACCTGACCAAAGGTCGATAATTAACTCTGATATCGCCGGCTGCGTGGATAGAATCGTGCATATATGTAGAAAGAGCCGGTATGGCACATTTAGCTCAGCAGAAATGGAAATGTCCAGTAGTAAACATTTCATAGACACCTTGAAAACTCTCAAGATGATTGATGAAAGTAACAAGTTCAATTCTCCACAAATTTTCTGAAGCTATAGCTATTACATCTCTGAAATCTCGATGAGGCTGTAATTTCTAGACGATCCTTTAGGAACACTGAGGAGATCTCGAGAAAATTTGCCTCCTCACTAGAGTCAAAAGAGGTTTATGAACTAGTGTGAGGAACAACAATTGAGATTACGAGTTAGAATGTAGGGTTAGGAACTGGTGTGTTCATTATGAACTGGCATCAGTTATAGTGCCAAAATGTTATTTATCCATATGAATGAATGAATTTCGCGCTAAAATGGTCCTATCGTCAATTTCATTGGTTCGCCCATAAGTTAATGTCTCGCCAAAATCTCACTTTTTCATACCCATAAAAATGAAACAGTCAGCTGACAACATAACTCCTACTTGATTACACCATTCCATTTTTCCCGGATCTACCTAAGCTTTTTATCCAATGAGGAAAAACATGGTTATGTAAATTTTATTATCAGAAAAATAAACACAATTGGATACCATAAGGGATAGAATGAAATCAATTTCATGGGTCGCTACTCACTGTCCAGTGAATTAAGCCCAGACTGTTAGTCTTAATTCTTGCTCGTCATATCACTCATCCTAAATTTTTAAAAATGGTTACCGATAATTTTCGATATTTAAATGAAGAGGGAATATGTCAACACACACACACACAAACACAAAAATCTGAGAAACCTACTTCAGGAAGAGAAGGTGAAATTGCTCTAGGACAACGTCGAATTATTGTTTCCAATACTTGAATAACTAACTCTACAATATCATCCTGTTCTGGATTATTTGTATTTGAACTGTACGCAATCGATATGAGTAGTTGAAGTACTGATGGAATACAGTGAGGTGAACGTTGAAGTTGACGACTGTCAGTGAAATGTCATTAATAAACAGATAGAAAATATTATTGGAAACCAAAACAAGATAGAAAAGAATAGATTTTTAAAATCAGGATTTACTGTTGCTTCTAGCAAGGAAAAAAAGGACAACTTGATTTTACTGCATAAATATGAACAAAAGTATGTTTGAATTCATTTTGGATTGTTTGTTTGTATCTTCCCACTGATGTTTAGGACTGTGATTGATCAGTCTTTTATTGGCATATGTGCATACTGTGTGGATTGCCTCGATATTGCCTTAAGTCATAAGCGTTATATGCAAGGATGGGTGGTGGCCAGAAGTGGAATCTAGGACGCGTGTTTCGTTCTACTCGGGACTCGTCAGCTGGATGTACCTGCATCTCAGAGTTGATGTTCACCCAAGGACTCGAACCCAGTATATCATCTTGAACTCATTTATTTGGTTGAAAAAATGGGCGGTAGATAATAAAGAGACTTTATTCATTTGATTATTAATTACTTATGAACTGTACTTGGTCGAGTTGACGAGTAAGCTATATTAGGTGTTAGATATAGGTTTAATGTGATGGAAGTAAACCTGTTAAAGTCACTGGATTGCATTGATTTCAGTCTTTTAATAGATGTTGAACAGGTCTACTTTGTGATTAGTCGGAAAATTAGTAGAAAGTAAGAAGCTTGAACTAAGTCGAATGTAGAACACAGTACTAAAATCCTCAAATCATTTACTGTTATTCTGAATCATGCAACAAACAACGAATTGGTAGACATTGATAAGTAAATAAGGAAGATAACGTAATTCCAAATCAGTCAACGGTTCACATGAATTTCATTCTCCGAAAAAAAACAAATTATTGAGTGATATAATCATATTTGTTGACCAAGTTACAAACAGTCTACAGAAATCAATTTATTGTATGCCTATCTGATAGCGCTTGCAGATAAATACCAAAAAAATACAACATCCGACTGTTACCAGCTTCTTAAATAATGAATACTAAATATTTTATTTTTCATGACTTTATGGAAATAAACTTTAAGATCTTCTTCGTGATTAATTCAACTGATTTGCCATTGATCGTTCTATGATTGTTGCTCATTGAATTGAATTAACATTGTACTGGGATATTTTTGTTACCCCAGTCAGTTATTCGAAATTCTCAAGAGATAACATGTATGAAGTTGTAGAAGGATCGTATATAAAACAACATACACAATCGATTAGTCGAAGTGATAATTTTTATGTAACTTGACAGCGATTTCCCGATCGAAGCTGCTACCTTGACGCGGTGGTCGGGCTTGCCTATCGTGATGACCCAACCGAGCTATATTGGCTGGAACATATGTTCCTGCAGGTTCTACCATGCCAGGCAGGTCGATTGGCGAACGGTAAGACTAAAAGCAGCAACTCAAGGTCTGAGGGCGAAGTCGTACTGCTGACTGTAGAGAGGTGTGACAGCAGTAAGGTGTTTCCCTCGGACAACCAGCATGACAGCGATGCTGCCTTCCCACAAGGAGGGGTGGGGTTAGAAAAGGTCGACCCTAAAAATGCACACCTCACCTTACCTCACGGATTTCCGTCTCCGGCGGTAAGGCCCTTGAAGAACGGAGCTAACACGTCAAAAACCTTCCACAAAAAGGCCGTGCGCGACCGGCCTCAAGCAGTTGTCCCTTGGGCTCTGCGGTCACGCTCCCAGGTCGTCAAGACCAACACTAATCCAATTTCCTTTTCAGGTTCCTCAAGAAATACCCTTCCACGGTGTGGGCAGCCGGGAAGTGACATCAGCCCTCATACCCGTAACAGCACAAGAGACCAAGTTGGTCACATTCAAATCCTTCCTACACCTTCTAATACCTCTCTTATCCTCCCGACTAACCCTCCTCACGTCTCTTTATCACCTCGCACCGCTAGGGCAAACGATTCGAGTACGTGGAACGCCATTCCTGGTCTCCTGAAACCACGCTCTAAACTACACGTAGGAGCTTTTAACGTACGAACACTTTGTCAAATAGGACAGCAGGCTTCCTTAGCTAAAACTTTAGAATCTCGCGCCATCCATGTGTGCTGCGTCTCCGAAACGCGCATACAGGATCCAAGTAGTGTCATTCATTTGACCTCACCATGCCAAAATAAAGAACCGACTCGATTTACGCTTCGTGTATCTGGAAGCCCTGATTCTGCTTCCCGTGGCCTCGCCGGCGTAGGTATAGCATTGAGTCCTAGGGCAGAACTAGCTCTCTTAGAGTGGATCCCAGTAAACAGTCGTTTGTGCGCTGTCCGACTGAACGGAACAGTAAGAATCCGGAAAGATAGGGACACTCGTCGTTGCCTCTTCGTCGTCTCTGCCTATTCTCCCACTGACTGCAGCTCAGATGATGTAAAAGATGAGTTTTACAGAAAGCTTTCGGACCTTCTCCGAAAAGCTAAGCGCTCGGATGTAGTAGTAGTGGCCGGTGACTTTAATGCTCAAGTAGGTAAACTAAGCGATAAGGAAAGACACCTAGGTGGATCTATGGTGTCGTGGCTCAAAGAACAGATAATGGCGACCGTCTGTTGCAGCTATGCTCAGATAACCGCCTGTTCCTTGCAAATACTAACTTTAAGCACAAGGAAAAACATCTTTTAACATGGCGAACCCCTAATTCGTCCCAACGTTGGACCCAAATAGATCACATCGCTATCAGCCACCGATGGAGGGGCTCGATAGAAGACTGTCGCTCATTCTGGAGCACATGCCTAGATTCAGATCATGCTCTAGTGCGAGCGCGTATTTGCTTGCGTCTTACTGGACGTAGGAAAGATCCTGCAAGGAAACCTCTTAGGGCCTACTTAATGATAGTCAAGCTAAGAATATATTTCAGGAACAACTAGGAAAACAGTTAGGCAGCCATGTATGTGATGCCCACCCCGAGGCAGCATGGAACGATATCCGAAAAGCTGTGGAAACAGCAGTGATATCTGCTAGTAAGGTAAACCGTAAAGTTAGGGAGCAACACTGGATCTCAGCAGCATCTATCGCACTGATAGATGCTCGAAAACTCATTCCACCTGGCTCTGAACATAATGAAGAGCGGAGTCAGCCTAAGCGCAAGCTGACAAGAAGTCTACGCAATGATCGCGAACAGTGGTGGGTAGCGAAAGCAAGAGAGATGGAAAAGGCAGCGGCAATAGGTAATAGCAGACAATTGTTTAGACTCGTTAAGGAAACCGGAATTAGGAACCCGACCGTTAGCGAAACAATCTCAGAGAAAGATGGACATATTATTCATTCTCAATCCAGGAGATTGGATCGATGGGCAGAACACTTTAGGGATCAGTTCAACTGGCCTTCAGCCACACTTCGGTTTCCCACGATCTCCAGTCAACCTGAATGGCAAGTTAATGTAAGTCCTCCGTCCCTTTACGAAGTTGAAAAAGCCATAGGAAATCTGAAACGAGGGAGAGCAGCAGGCCCTGACAGGTTTACTCCTGAGATTTTTAAGGATGGTGGTCCAGTATTAGCAATGAGATTAACTGAGGTCTTAGGTAGAATTTGGGAACTGGACGTAATCCCATCTGACTGGTCTCAATCACTGATTGTGCCAGTCTATAAGAAAGGACAAAAGTCCTCTTGTAACAATCACAGAGGAATCAGTTTGACTAATATAGTGTCTAAAATATTAGCCTCAATAATACTTCGACGCCTAACTAAAGCTCGTGAAGAGCAGACTAGAGAAAACCAGGCTGGTTTTCGACCTGGACGTGGTTGTATCGATCAGATATTCACACTACGTCAGGTTCTAGAACAGAGACACACATTCAGACGCCCCACAATGGTAGTATTTCTCGACCTTAAGGCGGCATTCGACTCCGTTGATCGTGAGGTTCTATGGCAGTGTTTGTCACTGAAAGGAGTACCAAAGAAGTACATTAACCTTATAAAGGCTCTCTACTCGAACACAACTGGTAGAGTGAGAGCTTATGGCGAACTGTCATCAGAATTGATCACCTCAAGTGGTGTTCGTCAGGGCTGTCCACTCTCCCCATTCTTGTTCAACTTTGTGGTCGACGTACTTTTAGAGATAACACTCTCCTCATCTAAATTTCCAGGGGTTGAACTTCTACCAGGAGGTTCACTTGTTGACTTAGAATATGCAGATGACATAGTTTTATTTGGTGAAGACGCTGACAAAATGCAGAGTCTTCTGACCACTCTAAGCAGCAATGCAAGCATGTTCGGGATGCGATTCTCTCCCTCGAAATGCAAAATGTTGCTTCAGGATTGGGTTACATCGACACCCGAACTAGTGATAGGGAGTGAAGTAGTTGAGTGTGTCGACCGCTTCACTTATCTTGGAAGTCTCATCAGCCCTTGTGGTTTGGTGTGTGACGAAATCTCAGCACGGATACAGAAGGCTCGACTAGCTTTTGCCAACTTGCGTCATTTATGGCGTAGGCGAGATATCCGTCTATCAACCAAAGGACGTGTTTACTGCTCAGCAGTTCGTTCCGTCCTACTTTATGGCAGTGAAACATGGTCGGTAAGAGTAGAGGATATCCGTAGGTTACTAGTATTTGATCATAGGTGTCTTCGAAACATTGCTCGTATATCCTGGAACCATCGAGTAAGTAACACAGTTGTTAGGAAACGGGTACTAGGTAAGGATGGCAAATCAATTGATGAAGTAGTGAAACTTCATCAGTTGAGATGGCTGGGACACGTGTTACGTATGCCCTACGACCGACTGCCTCGACGTGCTATGTTCAGTGGTATAGGAGTAGGTTGGAAGAAAGCTAGGGGCGGCCAAACCAAAACATGGCACAAATCCATGAAGTCACTGACAAGTGGACTGAGTCATGTTGGTAGGTGTAGACTACCTGGTTGGGGACCGCGAGATGACAGCAACCGATGGTTAGAGACCCTGAATGACATGGCTCAAAATCGTTTCCAATGGCGCAGGTGCATCCACTCTCTGTGTTCTCCCAAACTCTAATCTTCTGAATTCTTCATGTCCCTTTTTTCCTCTTTCCAAATTTCTTTCACTGTATTATACTCTTTAAATAACATCTCCAAACCCTAATCTTCCCGATTACTACTTATACTCTTATTACCTCTATCACTACGGGATTTGAATCGACAAGTGCATCTCTGTGCTAATGTGGTGTGGCAACTCGAACTGATGTACGTACGTACGAAGTTCTACGTTGTTACTGACTGACTGACTGACAGCGATTTAACATGTTAGTGACATGCTTGGGGATGTATAACACGATTCTTTGAATCGTAAAAAAGAGTGAACTAGTAATTCTTTAAGTTAGTTTGACCTAGTAGTGTTATTCTTACCTGAAACCTGATATTACTTCCTAAACCATTCTATTTCATAATATCTATTTCGTCAACAATTTATATAATCAGAAGATTTATTGTACAAAGTATGCTGTACACGTTAATAGTAATGTATTGGAAATAACATCTACTTGATTGATTACTAATTCAGAAAGTAGGTTATAAAAAGAACTAAAACACTTACGAAACAACATTGAAGCATTGAAGTAAGGTTTTCATAACATCGACAGAGGGTACTTGTTTTAGTTGTTCCAATAAATGTGGTCGTTGAAACAATGTATTTTCAGTAATCAGTTTTGACAAATGATCGTCGAATTTCTCCATTGGTTTTGATGTTAAAAAAGGACTCATTTGTAAACGGAAAAGGAGAAAGCTAACAAGTGAACTGAAATATTTTTGTGGTATAATCCATGATAGATAACCCAATGCTTGAATAGCACGTTTACGTAGAGTAGTTTGTGGACATCCAAGGCAAGTGATCATGCAATCAAGTAAGTCCAAGTGATAACTTGTCAAAAGATTTCCAAAACTAAAAACAACAAAGCAATACATCATCAAGGCAAATTATGGGATGAATAAAACCTGTGCAAAACAGTGAACATGTCTCTAAATACATATTACGAACTATGAGCCTGTAATCTACATTTGCTTATTTATTTATTTATTTATTTGGACACATGAATATTGGTACAAGAGAGCGCCAATATATATGCGCCACACAAAACAATGAAAATTCAAGAGGAATACAAAGAAAGAAAAAAAAGCTAAGGAGCGCAACAAAAAAAAAGAGAGAACAATACCGAAGAGATTGGTGTAAGGTAATGTGCTAGTAATCAGGGAACGCAAAGGTACAATCGGAAGAAATCTTTCAGGTAAGGGAGACAGAATCACTTTTTATGAAGAAAGTAAAAGAAGGTTACAGCAGGATCGCCACTGGCTTCTATTCTGAGCCATATCTGATAACGTCTCTAGCCACTGTGTTGCACCATCTCTCAGACCCCAACCAGGGAGTCGTGAAGGACCAACACAAGCCAGTCCTTTGCAGCTTTCTTTCATGCCACGACACCATGTCATGCACTGACCACCTCTCCGCTTCTTCCAACCAGTCCCAGCGTCGGCAAGTAATGCACGACGTGGAATTCTCTGTCCCAGAGAATCTACATTTGATGAGGCATAGCAGACTAAGTGTCGGATACAACCCAATCGTATAATCGAAATGTCATGGAGCATTGTTTGTTTTTACATAATAAGGGTAATGAACAGTTTGTTGTCTAGTAGACTTTGATCTTCAATAGTTAAGACAAAATAATAGTAACAAGCAGAGTTCAACTCTGTTGGGTGTGCGACAGTTATCCACCTCAGGCAATAAAAGATGGACAATATCGTTAATTAATCGAAGTTACAAATGCGCACCACAAGATACCAGCCCAGTGGTCCGATATATTAAGCGTCCACATACGTAACCGAAGGTCCTAGGTTAGATTTTTAATGAAGGGGTGGTAGATGAATGTTTCTAAGGCCGTTGTTCAGTGCTTTCAGGTTTTCTATGATGATATAGCTAAGAAACGTTAGTGATTCTACATGTCCACAAATCCCCCTATGCTTCTAAATTTATTTGAAATCTAAAGTTCGTTCACTTAAAATTATCAGTATATAACAATAATTAACGATTATATTAGTTATTAATTACAGAAAAATATAACTAATCAATTTTACATGACAATATATATATATATATAACAGTCAGATACGGGTAAGTAAAACATAGAATGAAAATAAAATCATATTGATATAAAAAAATGATAAATCACAATTTACAATAAATCACATACTGATTAATAATTTCAGCTAAAACTTCACAAGCTTCAACGCGTACATTATCATCTTGATGTGACATAACCATATGTAATAATGGAGAGATGGCTTCACGAACAGCTGATTGAACTACTACCATATCAGTTGCATTCGGTAAAGCATTAACAACAGTCTTGAGACCTGTGAATATAGTGGGGAGAAAAATTAACGAATAAAGTGATTGGATTTTTTTTAGACAAAATTAGATAAATGACCAGAAGAGGTGATATATTCCTAATTGTCTAAAAATGTTTTTTGCTCATCAAGTACAGATTTGTGTACTACACTTTTAGTCACACTTTTTGTATGACAGTTGGTGATACTACCTGAGTTATTCAAACTATAGTTTATGAAGTGATATAACAAACATACGTAAAATAAATATGAACACTAAATTAAGCTGTCTAAATACTGATATTATATTCTTCAATATAAAATACAAGGAGTATTTCAGAAAGTTGTATGCTTATGTTTTGACTATAAACTATTCCTAGTATACGGGTGCTACAGACATCACTTAACTGTCAGGGTCAAAAAAGATGAAGTGAGTCTGGTTTTGAGACAACGAAGTGAAAGTCCCTTCTTTACGCTGATTAGTTGAAGATCCATACAGTCAGTCATAAGGAACGTTCTGGGCTAACGTTTCTCATTATCACAGAAACTAAATTATTTCGACCCATTCGTTACTCAGTGTTAATTTCATCTCGTTGTAGTAAGGTTTTATAGTAACTTGGGCTAATGTATATTTTTGCCAGGCTCTATGGTTATTATGACTGATTGACTGACCGGAAGTACTTTATAGAGACGTACTATTGAAATAAGAAAATGTAACAAAAATGAACTCATCAGTAAACTACATGGAAGATAATAATCTAATCATTGACTAAAGGAATCATGTTTGTATTCAGACACAAAACTTAGTAGCTCAGTTTCACACAGTACTGTGCTTTGTGTCACATGAAGCAACTCCACCTGCTAACTTAGCAGTTATATGTAGATGTGTGTCAGGAGTGACTAGTGTGAGGGACAATTACACTGTTTGGTTACTTAAGCCTTGGTTAGTTCAATGAGGCTTAAATCCTGTGAACCGCTGGTTAAAAAACGAGTACTTAGGAAAACAAGACACGGAGAAACACTATAGTGCTTAATTATTAGATTTTTTGATGCTTTATCAGAGTGTAAACACGTTTTATCTGTTGGTACTTTTTTCAAACATGCAACATGAAACCTTACCACTGACCTATTCAGACCGTGAGTGAATCATAGTTATTTAGTCAAGCAAAGACATTGGTACAAAGGAACACAAAAATATATATGCGCCATATAAAAAGTGACATTGTGAAGAAATAAAGGAAGGCGAGTATAATAATAGAAAAAAAGGAAATAAATTAGTCTGAGTGAATAATAACAATAACAATGATAATCATAATAATGAGGAATGATTCAGTTAAGGGAAAAACAATCAGAATGGGATCCTTCAGTAGACAAAAGTTACTCTCACTTATATGGTCAGTCAGTCAGCTACAGTGTAGGACCAGGCACATATGTGCATCAGTCCAAGTTGCCATACCTCATTAGCACAACAAGACGAACACCGGATTCATAGAAGTAGTTAATTCAGTGGTGGTAATATACAAAAGAAAGATTGCATATAAGGACATAGTATTGCACCATCTCTAGGATCCCAACCACGTACTCATGAAGGCCTAACAAAATAGTCTTGTACAGATTCCCTTCATACCATGACAACACCATGTCTTACACTGACCACCTCTCCGCTTCTTCTAACCGGTCTCAGAGTCGGGAAATAATGTGGGATCTGCTGGTACGACATCCGCAGTACGTGTCCAAACCACGGAAGTCAGTGTTCCAAGATGGTGACACCAACTGAATTATAGTCACCATATACGAACACACATTGACGTACCTCCGCATCACTGACATGGTGTTAGCACTGGATGCGAGCGATCCTTTGTAGGAAACGACAGTGACCAGAACTGAAAAAATCCGCCCTCGCTTTAATTCGTACTCTCACAAATTGTGCCTACATTATGCACGTTATTTCACTACTAGTTTTATTTATTTATTTGAACACACAAACATTGGTACAAGGAGGCACCAAATGTATATGCGCCACAAACGATCCAACTAGACAGTAAATAGATGATATACTCTAGTTTTGTTCCAACCATGTTACACCAGTCAATTTTCTCGAGGTTTTGGCCTGTTACTAACAGCTGACTAGAAAAAATTGTCTATAACATATGAACTGACAATTTTTCGGAACTTTACAAAGTGGTAGAAACCATGTAACACAGATGAACTGTGATATGACTTTAATAAAATCAGCTAATTTGACATAGAGAATCGGTGAAAATTTCTTTACAATCTAATACAAAATGATAAGGGTGAAATAACTATTTTCTTGAATGAAGTTAATTACACTAATCAATATCCAGTATAAAATATAACACTGGTTGAAGTATCATCCATGTACAGAAACCTACCAATACTACAAATGCTACGAAGCTGTCCTTCGCCTCCTTTTTCCATAGTTCCAACAAGATCTTTGACGATGGTAATAATCTGCTGTTCTTTTACTTTAGTCGCTAAAGGACCTAGTCTATTTTATATTATCAACGATTTGTCAATAAAAACCTACGATTTTACTGCAAGACTTTGAACTTCACCACTAGGATCCCTCAGAAGACGAAGAATGAGTCCAACAACCTAGAAGGAATGTGAAAAGAATAGATTGTCACCTACTCTCTTTTCACTTTGGAGATCCAAACGAAGGGTGTTCACTTGTAATTCATTGATAAGATCATTCATAGCCATAAATCGATAATCAGTATCAGCTGCCACCATCTATTTGAGATAAATAATTGCGATGAGACCATCACATACCTTCTCCAGTAATGATGTCAAAGACTTATTTGACGTATCCATCGCCATTATGCTGGTTGTAGTGTAATAAGCCAAGTAATTGTGAAGAATTGGTCAACTTCACCGTTCAGTTAACCCAGCTTTAAGTGTTAGGTTGCCAACTAAATGAGTAATCTAGAGAAAAAACAGTGAATAAATGAAATGACCGAGATTCTAATAGTCTATGAACTTCCTCGAAAATCGCCAAGGTCCCCAAAAACTAGATACTAAATTATTTCATTCCATAATTTACAAAAGTTATGAATGATTGCTTCACACGAATTCATACTAGATGTGGCTCGGCAAGGTGAACTTGCAGATGAATTATTTAGGCTATGTTATGAAACCAAGTTTGAATAAGTCGAACGTCGAGTACTTCGTGACCACAAAATCTATTATGTTAAGCATTTATTTGCATCAATACCTAGTTTGATCAGTTGAGATCAATGAAAACTCTACTTAAAGAATGAATCGACTAGGATGATGATTGAAGTTTTAGCATCAAAATAGGGTTCGTCAAGAAGTCTCCTCTACCAAATTTTAAGTGTGGAGTGCGGATGTTGGATGGGATACAAGACTACAATAAAGATTAAATTTTCAATATTCCCAGCACTTCTCAAGTAGGATCCAATCCGAGTAAGGTATATGTAGATCAGGGTTATTTCTCAAGCGTAAAACTGAACTAGTGGATTTGTGAATATGGACCTACTGAAAAGGTTATGCATCCTATAATGCCACCTGGACTTATGTATCACGTTGGTTGTGATGAGTAAAATCAAACATAGTGACTAAGAGACAGAGCTACTCTTCGTAGTCACTAACTTTTTAAGTCATATGAACTCTATAGTGAAGATTTACAAAGTAAGCCAGAATAAAAAGCGTTTTTTTAGTGTATCTTCATACCAGGCACAGAGGTACAAAGGTATTTATTATTTGTTTTACCGCATTTCCGTCATATTTTGTACAAGAATGTGCTCTGGGATTATCTGTTAGTGTGGTTGGAAAATTTACTTAATTCTGGAAGAACGTACAGAAATAATTCAGGCAGAATGAGGGCATACAAGTGCCTTAATTCATAATCCCAATCTAGCAGTGAGGTTAGAGATGATCGTGTGACTTCACTATGTTTTAATTTTGTGTCTGATGATACTTTAAGTACAACTTGAGAAAACCCAAGATGGTGGCGGAAACTTTTCGACCCTGAATATGCGTACGAGTTTGTCTTACCATAAGATTTGAAACACGATATCCAATGTTTACTTATTTAATCGACAGTCAGTGCCATTAATATGGTACATACCTTGTGTTTACGAAACGCTAAGTATTTATCCAAGACTAAAAAAGCATGTACCTGCACTCACTATTTGTTATGAAACGATGGAAATCGTCCGAAAGTCAGTGTCCGGATATTCGTATCAGTCCAAGCGGTGTTAGTACAAATGCAAAGATCGACTACACAACCCACAGATGAGAGCTTATCTACTGTAAACTTAGTTAACTAGTGTCAAGTACCGACTATTTTAATTTATTCAGACTTATTAGGTTGTGCAGCAAGTTTCGATTTGTTATAGTACAAGATACAACCTTATGAGTCATCTTACTAATGCTAAGCAAAAAACGGATCCTCATTGCAAGTGGCGGTTTATCTCAGTCATATCACACTCTACTTTTCTACCCAATATACTAAAGCCTATGAACAACACTTGTCTTGAATCAGGGATTTCCAACGGACTGAAAAGAACACCATATCTACCAGCCCGTTTCACGTGTCAGACGTTCGGTTTGTAACTTTTCACCTTAGTTAATAGCAATCTTGATCCATGAAGGAAAAAGGACATTATTGGTAGAGCTTACAATCACGCAGTAACGTGGTGGAGAGCAAGTAATCCTCATCTTTGGCACCACCCTGTATTTGGAAAGTTCCTTAGTTCAACCGGTTTTCCAGAACCATGAATAACATATGGAATTACATTAAACGTTGCGAATGTCTATGATCTGAAATGTTTACGAATAGATGGTCAAAAATACACAAGTATTGGAAACCAACGTATCAGTATCTCCGAATATCCGTTTGCCTTAAAAAGCCAAAAGTAATACCGTGCAACTTATACAACCACTGATACTGTCAGAAGTCGTTAAAACAGTAAAAATGAAGTCAAATGAATACCAACGCCTGGTACGAGTTAACGGAAATTTGTCTAAAATTCAACCACAAACACGAGTGAAATAGTTCGACGCACTTGAGCCTAAAGTTACAAATGTATGGCACATATATAAGGCTAAATACATATCCTAAAACAACAGTATATGCAGACTACTCACTTTGAGGTAAGTATTTGAAGGGTACACGGGATGCGAAGTACCGTTCAAAATTGGTCGACACGCTGTTTCGGTTTTCTGAAACCGAAATCCAATACCTATGCGATGATGTACTGAAATCAGTTGAGAGTTTTGAGCTTTAGGCAGTGTTCAGAAAAACGTGGAGTTTTTTTGTTTTCTCCTATGAGTGAATTTGAGCGCGGTGAAGACTTTTGCTGAGTTAAGCTTGTTCTGGCTTTTGTCGATCAAAGATTCTAGTTACATCCTACCAGAAAGCTAGGACGCTGATATGCACCCACAAAGTAGGCAGTATTTCTTTCTCTGATAAGCTAAAGGTCATTAAATGATATTTCTGGGGTTTGAATTTAAAACTTACGTTTAACACTTTCATTCCCAGCAGCACTAGGCCTATTTTCGATCTCTCGTGGATTGCTTCCACACTTGATATCTTCTCACATGGACAAAGATCGATTGTCTGAAAAGCTCCGGGAGGTTATTGGCAAATATGAGGATCAGCGGAGTGACAAAAACGATTTCATTTGATGCTATTGACATTAACTCTTTCCAATTTCGACGCTTCCTGTTAACTTCGGTGAGAAACACTTTGTCCTCAAACGATCAGAATCTGATTTTCTGGCATGTTTTTTTGAACGTAACTCTTGCGTTCCTCATATTGGCGATTGTGTAGTTTATACACGTATTTTGTTTGCATTACCATATTGTCATTCTGAGATAACAAGGTCAAGCACTAAAGTGAAATATTCCGTATTTACCGTTTATTTCGACTCAGCTTTTCTTACCAATCATGGCTAATTAGGTCTGATTTCAATGTCCATCAACTATCTAAAGGTTCGTTTTTGAGATATTTAGAAGTCTAATTCCGTCTTGTTCACTGAAAACGACGGGGGTTCATATCCTATCCACACGATCTTGTAGCTGATCATACACCAACTGAGACGAATAACATTAACCGTTGTACATTTGGTTGAGCTCATCAACGGCGAACGCAAGAAAACAAAATGTATACAGTATGGCTCGGCCATGCACACATAACAGCTCTGTAAATTTATTCCTTTTGTATTAAATATATTATTCCATTACCATCTTGTGTGCATTATTTAATGGTTCTTACAAATCACAGTACTGATAATCACAGTATGACGAGTTAGTACAGACTTGTAGAACCTTGAGAACTACTGTAAACATCAAAAAGTACTAGTATTTATAAATAATTGTCTACGCAAGATACTGAATGTCCTTTGGCCTGATACCATCAGCATCAGCCTACTAGGAAAGGGAACGAAATAACTTCCAACTGAAGGGGAAATTAGGAAGAGACGCGCGAGGTGAATATGACACACATTGTGGAAATCTTAAAACTGCATTACGAGGCAAGCACTAACTTGAAATCCTGAAGTGGAAACGGAAAAGAGGAAGGCTGGAGAACACACTGAGTCGGGAAATGGGAGTGGACATGAAAATGAAGAATATCAATTGGAAAGAACCGAAAAGAAATGCCCCAGACAGAGTTCGATGGCAAATTCTGGCGGGTGTCTTGCGATCCTTCTTGATGGGCAACGGGTGCAAGAAAGTAATGATATGTATTCGAAGTGAGATATTATGGATCAGATAATCACATCATGGAAAGTCTACAGTGCTTAACCATGTCGATTATTCTAGTAGCATAGAAATTGCACTGGTGACGACCTCAATCTAAATCCAACAGATGCATTCAAAACCATTGGGGCACGTCTGCTCGTGTGGCGATGAATTAACTCACTCGTAGATGTTGTATTTGATTCATACTCGGACGTTGATCAGTCATCGATGCTTAAGTTGGCACTGTATCAGTATAAGGAGGTCATGATGGGATCACGAAAATCCGTAGGCTCTCAGTAAAACGCGCGTTAGTGATAACTGTGTTTGGATTGGCCGTCAGTTATTATCAGTGGTTACTGTAACCGACGAAACAAAGTTTTGTAATTATTAAATCAGGTTAGACGACAACATTTCAATGCAGTACGCAGTATATCCACTACAGCATTCGTCTACTACCTTATACATTAAGCCATAGTTTGCGGCTCTCATTCTAGTATAGTCTGCCACTAAGGTCAAGGCAGTGATAGTGTAGTTCGTGGGAGAATTTCCTTGGATGTCTAAGGGTCATCAAGAAATCCGCTTTTCATTCAGACTTCGAGCCGGTGTCACAGGAGCGATGGAGAGGGATTACTTAAAAGACATTTTTTCACAAAATTGGTTAATAAGCTACCATTGTATGAGACTCGTTTGTTAGAAATGAACAGCATATTCCTACGAGTTGAGCGTATCAATCTTTACCAGACCCTGCCTCAATCTCTAGCTAGTGGAGTGTTGAAATGGCAATGTATCCCCTTTTGGGTTGTAAAATCATTTATTCTGGGCTTTTTTTCATACATAATATTTAGAGGCTCAAAAGTCGACCCGACGAAGTTATTTCCGTCATCACTGTAGATTTCCTTTAGAGTTTCTCTCTTCCCATGAAACATATTAAAGCTATTATGAAAGCGTCTGTACTCAAACTAAATGCTATTTCTTGTTGCACGGCACGCGCTTGAGGACACAAAATATTCATCCATACTTCGTTTTTCCACTTCTTTCTCAGAGAGCCATCACATAAAGGAAAAACAGAACCAGCCTTGCAAAACGCGACAGTCAAAAAAGGTGCCATTATCTGTTGATCCAATGTGAATTTCGTATTCATACAACCAATGCATTTATTTATCACCCGTCTTACTGCTCTGGTTCACCTAACAATTCGGTAACTCTTGAGTATGGCAGCTAACACATATGATGTTGCCTTTCAAGTGCTAGTGTTGTCGGATGAATAGCTGTGTTACAAAGTAATGACTGGGTCGGATCACAGGATGCCTGAGTGAAAGTGGACAGCCTTGGTAGTTCAATCGTCTGCTAGCACGAAGTAATCAATCGATTAATGTGAAGGACAGTTTTGGTAACTCTTCTCAACTGGTAGTTGACTAGGTCTCAACTCCGTACAATAGAGCTATTTTGACGTTGGCGTTGAAAATTTTTTGTTTCGGGTAACACCCTGTTTTAGTTATAGATATTCTCCAGCTAATGGGATATTGATATATCTTTGATCGTTTGCAGTTAAGTCGAGAAGCGTTTGATCTTATCTACCTAGTAGTCAGAAGGGATGGGTAGCACAGCGTACCCATTCGTCCTCTGGTGCGGATGCGTGACCGAGAGCCTACTGCTAGAATGTGTCAAATAAAACCAACGAAGACAACATCAACGTCAAAGACTTACAAGCTTATTTATTTTTTGGATTTATTTGTCTCGATAACCCCCTAGAATGTAAAACTTTGCCCTCCTGTTCTGTGACATTTGAATGGCAGTGATAGTTTTATTTTAGTTGCACTTCGCTATCTTCCGTGATCTACCATACTTTGAACCATTTTTTGGTTAAATTTTATAGTTCTCTCGTACTCCCTTCCCATGTAGTTTCTTCCACTGCTACTGCAGTTTATATTTCCTCTCATCAGCTCTAGTGCTGTTCTCTACTCGTTTGTTTATGCGTTTCCTTCTTCTGTTGTTGTTTGACTGCTAGCCTCTTGTTTATTCCTTCTCGAATTTCCTCCATACTCAAACGACGTCTGTTCTTTAAGTCACTTCGCCTTCTGTGATGTTGAAATTATAACTTCGTCAACTTTCCAGTCGCTGCTCATAATGGATTTCTATTCTTCTAATGAGAGCTATCTTGAACTTACTGAGTTTGTTGGTATATTAAAGAAAAGCTGGTAAACTCATGTGATACTATTTATACAGTTATTCGAAGCTTCCTTACCTTCAATCTCACCTTGACTACCATTGAGTGGAGACCTGAGGCTATATCAACTTTTATCCACACCACTTCCGTGAATCTTTTAAATTTTTTATTGAACTAGATATGATCTGTTTGGTTCTCCGAAGTGTAGTCTGCTATAGCCCATACAACTTTTTTATGCGTTTGTGGTGGAAAATTGTGCTACCCATTGCCATGCTGATGAAAGTACATGAATTTTCAAATCTATCACTCTCGCTTCTTCTTCCGGTCCACGTAGTCTATAATGCATTCATACCAAGAGCTGTCCATCCCGACTTGATCTTTTAGGTCCTCTTTCCAAACATTTCTAAACGTTTTAGAGCACTATTTGTGGGATGGATGGAAGACTCATATAAAACCAGCTCTTATCATCCTCATTAGTATCAGTACCAGACGCATTGAGCGTGACTTAATATTCATAGTCAGATAAAAGTAAGTTACAGACATGTGATGAATACGATAAGAAGTGTACACATATATACACTCATATAAGAACAGTCAAGGTTGATAAGCGAATATTCAACAAAGTCGAAACTTGACTGAAAAAGAACAGATAAATTGGCCTGTCCAGAAGATAGAATATGTTATATGGGTTTAACATAGTAACCGACACTACAACATACAGAATGTGCACCCAGTCAACTGATGGCGTAATTTCGTTTACAGATCGAAATTTATTCCCCCATATCTTTTTACAAGGTTACTATGTGGTATGGCCAAATCATCAAGAGATGAAGCTTGACAGTTTCCATCCTAATGGTAAGCCATATAGGTTGACGTTTAAGATTGGCTGCCCACATTTAACCGCTACATTATGGTTACACCATAGTTTCATGATGATGCTTGTCTTACACCGTGATATAACGGACAAATTAAAATGTTTTTCCTCTGAGGCATACTACACTACTACGATAATACTGTGAAAAGATTGAACGACTGAGTTTGTAATACCGCTAGATGAGATACTCGAACGACATACATTACAGAAACTAGATCAAGTTATATCTGATACATGAATCATGATCAAGATTAAACAATCAGAGTTACTCCAGACAATACTTTATTTCACACAATTACAAGCAGTCACTCTTTGTGAGTTCGGAGTAGAAACCAATAAGAAGAAAAGAAATCACACATTTAATAGTCAGTTTACTGTTCACGTACAATGGTTAATGACTGGTCAATTTCACTACTACATATCACACCCTATAATATTCTATACTAAAAAAAA